GATCACAAACAAAATCCGAAAGTCAACCTCCTCTTCCAGACGAACCAGTTCCTGAAGAATATCAACATCGATCACAAACAAAATCCGAAAGTCAACCTCCTCTCCCAGACGAACCAATTCCTGAAGAATATAAAGAATCTGTTGTCAATGATTCTGGTCTTCCTGCTACTTCCAGTACAGAGGCATGTACGCCTCAGCCCTCGATAGCTTGGTCGAACGATCAACAAGTGGCAGCGATTTGGGATACAAACGCTCAAGCATACTACTTTTGGGACCGTCGTACCAATACCACCAGCTGGGAAAATCCTCTAGAAGAAAATGACTCAGAAGACGAATCATCAAGCAAGTATGCTGCTAGAGTACAATTTAATCGTCTTTCGGGTAAATACATGCCCGAGTGGGCGACCCCCGAGATAAAAAGTGAGGAATACAAGGCCTACAAACACATGGAGCAGTTCTTTGATGTGGATGCTGCTATGTCAAGTACACAAGGAAAAAGTCTTTTGGAGGAGCGTAAAAACAAAAGATACACGAGAAAACAAATGGAAGAAATGAAGAAAAAAAAAAAGAAAAGAAGGAGCAAAAACGTCGAGCAATGTTTGACATTGCTTCCGATGATAAAGATTTCCGGCGAAGAAAAATCATTCGCTACTAACACTTTTTGTACATTATTGCTAAGTCCTGTTCTCATGATCCTGGTAGAACTGTTATAGAGGACTTTTACTATTTTGCTAGTAGTTCATTCCACGTAGAATTTCGTTTTCAACTTCCTGTTGTAATTTATTTAATAGTTAATTTATGTTTTCTCAATTGAAACAACTTCTCATTATTTGATTTCAGTCGGGTTTTGTTTGTTTATTACCGAAATACAGTGATTTTTAAAACGTCCTGCACCAACATACGAATCCAGCGAAATCCTTCAACATAGCAAATACCAAACGTTTTCAATGGCAGCATATCCTTCCAGTGCTAGGATATCATCTGTTTCTTTAAAAAATAAAGTCCTTCAGACTCCCTGTTTTATCTTCCCTACTTCTAAGGGAACAATTCCTCATTTAACACCTGACAACATAAATCACAATGAGGTTCCGGTTGTCTACTTTGGGCTAGAAGATTCGTAAGTTTTTTCTTAATTTTAATAATAAACCTATAGTGCTAATTTTACTGTGAGTGATCAGATTAGATTTATTAGAAAAGTCCCCTATTTTAAACGCGGACGGTGAGATTGACAAGTGGGTAGCAGGAACTCCTTCTCAATCTATCTTAATAGCTCCTAGAAGAAGCAGTCCGCTTCCTTCTGTGTCTGCTGGCCCTCATCATATTCAAGTCCTTACCTCAAGTGGATTGAGAAAACTGACAAACGAAGTCTATGTAAAGGCGATTACCAAGCTTCGCCCTGAAATAGCAATTCCTCTGAATGATAATCCCTCAAATGCTCCTGGTGTAAAGAGAAAACCTAAAATGATAGAGCGGTCAGTTACCTGGACCGATGAATTACTGACCGTTTTGCAAAACAAGCAGCTTACAGAGAAAGTGAAGGTTTTCTTTCCCATTCCGAACGTTGAAGCTCCTTTTTTGAATCCTTTAATAGAACGTTTTCGAGAAAATGATTACCAGCAAAATATTTCAGGATTAGCCTGCTATGGGAATTTACAATCCATACCTTCTGAACTATCCATTTATCCAAAATTGTTTCTTCGTCCTTTGTTAACTCCTTTGGCAATCTTACAAAGTATTCATCAAGGCGCTGATATCGTAATGGCTGATTTAGTAAATCAAGCTTCCGATGCTGGTATAGTTTTCACATTTTCTTTCCCTCCTCCTGTAGAGGACCTACAGAATAGAAAGTTAGAGCTGGCTTGGGATATGTGGCATAACCGTTTTGCTACGGATCTTTCCTCTCTACAACCTGGGTGTAATTGCAATATATGTCAGTCATATAGCCGGGCTTATGTTCATCATTTACTTCAGACGCGAGAGCTTGTTGGTTGGATTATGGTGCAACAGTATGTTTTTTTATCATAAACCACCTCATAAAATCACTACTAACTTTCACTTTAGACACAACATACATGTTTTCCACAACTTCTTTTGTGGAATAAGAGATTCTATAGCAGCTGGAAGCTTTCTTGAAGATACTGAACGATTTGAAAGAATTTACGCTCCTAACTTTCCTCGAACTACTGGTTTAGGACCACGAAAGCGAGGTTATCAAATGGATTTGACCGATGTTCAGCCTATCGAAAATAAACCCAACTGGGTTCAACTAAAAACCGAGACAGATGATGACAAGACCTCCCATATGATTCAGAAAAAGGAAAATGCTCAAGAATTTCAAGAGCCTGAATTACCTGAGAGGTAATGTCTTTTGCCTTTTCAATTCTAACTTATGTTTTGGCAGAGATACTACCGTTGGTAATTTTGCTGATACCTACGCAGCTCAAAGTGAAAATAAAAGTGGATCTGAATTGGAGGAAGATTTGCTTGCTGAGCTTGACGAAATCGACGATAGTGCTTATCGAGAAAACCGAATGCAATCATTGAAAGAAGAGTATGTAATTACGCTAAATCAAGCTAATATTCGATAGATTTGAAAGAGTTTCCGCTGCCAAGGAAAAAGGTCATATGCAATATTTGACAGTTGAAAGTGAAAGAGAAGTAATGGATTTAACAACGTACGTCAGATTCTATATTAGTTTATTCTAACCTTCTTTTATAGCTCTTCAAAGCGTGTAGTCATCCATTTCTTTCATCCTGATTTTAGACGCTGCAAAATAATGGATTCGCACCTTGAGGTAAAGAATAAAGTTAACCAGGAAAAATGACTAATATGTTTAGAAAATATCCAAAAGTCATTGGGAAACTAAGTTTATACGTATCGAAGCAGCAAATGCTCCATTTCTTGCTTTAAAATTGGGCTTAAAAGTGCTACCGGTAGTACTTTGTTACGTTGACGCAAGTCTCGTTAGTAAACTGGTTGGATTCGCTGATTTAGGGAATAATGACGATTTTGATACACCCGTGTTGGAGTTTTGGTTGTTAAAATGGGCTGCAATAGAAAAGATAAAGGAGAATATTCCTCAAGGGAAAAAGTCAATTATGGGATTTAAGGATACGAAAAATGAATCAGAAGACAGCGATTTAGATTAATTTATAGAAAAGATTTAGATAAAGTACCAAAAAGAAATTTAAATACAATCCATGATCATAGGTACCACCTTTTTACGGCTAGCAGCGGAGTTCCTTTGGTTAAATACAACTATAGTGTTCCCTTCAATGTTTGCTAAGAGTTCTAAACCTAAGTCTTTTTGATGTTTCTCCAAAAATTTTTCAGCAAATGATCCTCCCTGCTTAGTTCTTCTATATAATATCATTTGACGACGAAATTCTTCCTTTTTGCTTAGGGAAAGTCCAATAATTACAAGATCTGTTTGCTTCTCTTCGGCAAATTCCTTCAATTCTTGTTGCCAATTATTCCGCTTCTCGACAATCCAATCAATTCCTTTTCCTATGCTGGGATAGGATATAGACACATTTCCTGGAGCGTATTGTTTTAAATCTCGATGTAAAAGATCCATAAAAGAAAATCCTTTAAAGCTTCCTTTTCTGTCTTTTAAAGTATTGAAAAACTCATCACGATCCCATCCAGATGGAACGAACTGGAATAACTGTTCTGCTACCTCAACATCAGTATCTGTAGTCTTTTCATTTTTGAGATTTCCAGTATCGATAAGTAAAGGACCAAGCGCTAAAACGGCTATATCTTCTGCTTCCTTTTGACTTTCCGTTGATTCATGAAGAGACTTCAGTAAATCCATGAAATATTGACTCACAAGAGTTGAACAACTTCCGCATTCTTTGATAATTCTAGGGTTGGCATGTAAATAATTACCTTCGTCTTTGTGGTGATCAATTACACCCTCCACGCTTCCTTTGAATTTAGCTACTTCTTTACGGTCTAGGGCATTGTGATCAACCAAATGAATAGGAGACGAGTAGAACCTTTCGGGTACTGTCGCAACTTCATTAAGAAATATTAAATTATCTGTGTGTAATTTTAGCATGTCAAGAAGACATAACAACTCTGGGCGAAGACGAAGCTCATTTTTAGGAATATTAAAAAAAGGGACAACGCACCTTTCACGAAGCTTATGTTGCAAGAAATAGGCGTAAACTATAGAAGTAGCACAGCTATCCAAGTCTAATATATATGTTAACGACTGGTAGATCATTATGTTACATACCTGCGGACTCATTACCACTAACAAAAGTCAAATTTTTCGTTTGCAGATTAGCTGAAGTTTCAGAAACAATTTGGAAATATTGTTTATAGTTACTTTCTAACAATTTGGCCAGTTTTGAAGGAAATGACATGGCCTTCGTATGAAAAAGTTGCAGATAGCAAATAAATAGGGTAGACGACAGGGAAGAGGCATCTGATATTCTCCTTCACTATACTATCGTTGAATGTAATTTTTTATGTTACTTTTACATCGAGAATAACTATTTAGTCATTTATAACATTCTCATAGGAATATAGTGCATTGCTTATGCCCTTGAATTCTCATATTATCAATAAAATAAAAAGCATAGCAGGGTTTGTAAGGACTGTATAGAAATCATTATTAACACTATCATATTATACTAAATCTAAACATTTTCATTATGGTCTTTACAGTCCCTTTGATTCTAAGGAAACGTATTAGTGAGTAATTATAGCATACCATAAAACATCAAAACGAACAAAAATTGATAAAATTTCAAGCCAATTGAACGACTTCCCCCTTATTTTAGAATTCTAGTTTTTACTTGATCTTCTGTCTTCATGCGGTCACATTGTCAGAGGTATTTTGCCCTATGGCACGCTCAAACTTTTCGAGTACTTCCGGACTTCCAACATAACCACATTTGCTAGATATTGAATCATAAAAGTAAGACAAGTCTTTCTTTATACCGTTCCATTTTGCAGGATCCTGAGCGAGGTCTGTGAGTTCCAATTGCAATCTGTCTTCAAACATCTTTATGACATTTGGAATAACACGAATGCAATCTGGCTCAGAGTAACGGTGTAAAACTTTATAGAGTTTGACCAAGTTCTTAATGAGATCCTTCATATAATCATGAGGCTCTTCATTATCCCATGTAACTATGATAATTTGACCACAGCAAAAGTTTGATCTTTCTTTCATGAGAGCAATAAACTTCTCAGTTATCTGGTCATGATGTAAATCAAAATCGTTCTCGAGACTGAGCAATTCTTGAGTTTGTCTAATCCCAGAATATTTTGATAGAAACTTGACCATTGAAGTTGATAGTGCTTGAAATAAAGTAACCGTTTGTGAAGCTAACGCAATATGTTTACCTAAAACTCTACTGAGTCCTGATGACCGTACAGTTCCAGCTCCAAGAATTAACTGATATACTCGGGAATTTAAAGTTCGCAAAAGGTCTATCATGCCATAGTACAAATAATGAGAGAGTCTTGGGAAATGATATACTAACTGTCCATATTGGTTCATAGTCTCAAGTAAACGTACAGAGGCATTGACCATATGAATTGATTGATTTTGAAGAAGACAGTGTTCCGACAATGCTGACTCTCCTTCCTCTTCTGAACGTTTCATGTCATCTGCACTCGGTTCTTGAAAAAAGATCCAATCATCTGGAACTTTTGTTGCGCATTGGTCGATATGAGATGCCAATCTCTGTACTTTCTGGCTGACTGAAATAGCCTCCCAATGTTCCTTTTCATAATCTAAAGCAAGCAGTTGAATATTCTTTATTTGATGATTTCGAAACCATTTCTGTAGTTCATGCATAACAATGGACATGAAATCGTTTTGTGTGATGCCACATAAATTTTCAAGTTCATTATAAAACAGGGAATGCAACGTAAACAATTTTAAACAATCCTGAGAAGAATAGTTGTCTAAAGCAGCGAACTGTGCGCTATTTATGTTGGTTACTTTTTGTAAAATTAATTCGGAGCTAGCTGTCATTAAATCGTTCAAAACAATAGAATAATGATACTGTTCTTCATCTTTTCTGGACAAAATATCAATTAGAAGTTTAAGCTGTTGTCCCAGTCGGCGTAAAAATTCCAAAGACACGAAATAGATTTTTGCGAGCATGTTATAGAATTCTGAAATAGACGGACTTTCATTGGATGCAGCCGGTAAGGATTGAAAAGAAGGATTTTTTATCGTGGAGAGGTTAGTAGTACTGATACTTTGACGACTGACCTTTCCATTAAGAGATTTCACTTCAGCAGAAGTTTGTGTTATCAACGACTCTAATTCCTTAAACACAGATGTTTTGTATATAGTTAATCCAGACTGCAGACCATCTGTAAGGAGAAGACAATCAATGAAACGTTCTAATTTTTTCATAAAATCTGGAGAAAAGTCCGTAACGAGAGGTAAAGGCTCAGTGTTGACCCGTAGCTTTTTATTTTTCTTCAAATAAATAGTCAATAACTCCAACGGAGATCTCTGGGATGAAAAATCGCGTATGTCCTGAATAAGGATTTCGGGAAATTTCTGGATTACAGTTTGAGATATGGTATTATAAAGTGAGCGTTGGTCTTCTAAAAGTTCAACAATAGGAGGTAGAGAATGGAAATCAATTCTTTCTTGCTTAGACTTTAACTCTAACTGGGCAGTGATGGAATGGATCCCGTCTATCGCATTTAAGAAGTGACCGTCACGGGCGGATTGGTGAGTTTGATTGCTCAAATCAAAAAGCGATTCCAAAAACGACAGTGACTGGATTAATTGATGAAGCTGTGAACAAGAGCGTTCCTGCATGGAAATAGCTTCTCGTTGTTCTTCACGGGCTTTTGTTATTTGATTGAGATTCTCTAAAAAGCCATGAGTATTTTGTAAACAAATCTTTCCATCCTTTTTTAGATTTTTTAAATTTTCCATAATAATGGGAAAACTATCACTAGCATTCTCAATCTCTTGCAACAAATGAAGTTCTACAATATCCAGATACCAAGAGATTTTCTCTTGCAACATGGAGTTATTCAACAAAAGTTTTCTACTGCCATGTTGAGCATCTCCTGCCTGAGTAATGTCGACATGTTCACTCGCAATGTCAAAAGTCTGGGGGTCATCGAGGTTGAAATCATCCTGGAAATATATGGATGGGATGGTAGATAGAGGGAAATTATCAACCACGCTAGGAGTAGGAGGCGGAAGCTCCTCACGATCAAATGTAATGGTCTCTGAGTTTGATGATGGATATGAAGACTCACTTACGAGACCTCCTCGAGTCGTAGACACGGAATTGCGATGCGCAAGTGACTCATGCACACTAGAACCAGAGTTATAATTGATGCGCTTAGCATGACGCCCTACATAGCGATGAAAGCTAGTTTGCTTCTGCTTGGAGTAACGAGTGTATTCATGAGAGATCTGATGCAAATAAGCCTGGAAATCGTGAACCGGAACAATCGGGATGGGAGAAAGAGAGACAGGAGTGATTTCCGTTCTAGTAGGTGTATAGGATGGAAAAGAAGGATTTATAGGGTCCTCTAGAAGAGATTTAAACGATAATGCCGATGCTGTTGGATCAGCAAATGGTGACAAAGGGACTTGAAAGGAAGCCTCTGTAGAAGGATAGGTTAAAGAAGGGGATGGAGCAATTGATTGTTCGTCCATCAAGGCCTTGTAGAAGGCAGTAATTCGCCAATTTCTAGTAAGTGGAATGCAATTGTCTAAATATTCTGGTTGCTCAGTGTAAGCCCAACGTATAGTGTGGTTCGTTCATCTGCGTAAAACGCCAAACATGAAACAAACGATCTAGGAAGGATAATAGCTTTGGTGCATGTCGCATGCACAAAATCAAAAGGTGAAAAGGCACTCATGTCCTATAATAAGCCATCCAAACGATTTTGTTTTGATTTGTTTACAATATTCTACAGATCAATGATCTCTCTTTATAGTTATATTTGCATATAAGATCTGATAAAATCTCGACGTAAACAAAGAGAAAAACAATGTGATCGCGTTGGGCAGAGCACCCTCCAAGCACACGTTTCACTTTTTATTTTATAATACTTTCTTTTCTTTTTTTTTCTATTTTTACTTCAAGGCTTGTAAAAGCTCTCCTAAAGCCTAGCAGAGGAATACGGTTGTATCCAACAATTCCTTCGAGATTGCTATACTACTTTAAACGTTTCTTACCGTGAATGAAAGGCTTATGAATAGTAAATAAGGATACCTTCCGATGCAATGTTCTAGCTGCATAGTGAGTACAGACGATACTTCAACTCTGTCCTATACCTTTTAACAATGGTTTCAATATTTTGTTAAACTGGCTAGTGAACAACGCATGCCATCCTATTCGCTTTGGCCGACTTTCGTCAAGTTGCTTCTTACTCTGCTCTTGTTTCTTGTCTTTTTCTTTCTTTAATTTTTTGAACTGCAGGGATTCATTATGAAACCTCTGGTGAGCGCTGGTTTAGGTACGTGCATTTTGTGGCGATTTCAGCCATTCGTTTTGGTTTCGACCGCTCTCTGTAATTGCTCAGTTGTTAACAAATCCGTATAGCCCAAGGTTGCACGGGCTTATCGTTGATTGGAATCATATTTCTCTCTGTGCTTTCCTATTTATTCGCTCATGAAGCTGAAGCTTTGATGCATGATTTGGCTGGTAGTGGCTTAACAGGATCTCAAGTCGCTAAAACTTGCATTGGCGCCGTCGCCATATACACAGTAAGTAGTGTTGCTATTTCCTGAGCAAGTGCCTAACTTTACTACCAGGTTTTCTTTTTGTTTTGCGGGTCGCAAGTATTGGTTGCTCGGTACCAGAATCGCGTTCAGCTTTCGTAGAATCCTTCAGGCTGTTTTCTTTCTTTTCCTTCCCTTGTTTCTATATATGTATAAACAAACTTCCGAAAATGGTGGAAAGATAGTTTGATTCAATTTCTACAATTGCATGGCCCCTTTAGATTTTAGGCTTGCTTTCCTTTTCGTTTGATTCAGTGTCATTCGTAATATTTTAATTCTTTCTCGGTTACGTGAGGGAGAGAGAGAGAGAAATAAAAAGAGAAAAAAAAAAGAAGGTGAATTCGTATAGCATGTTACGACTAAGCCGACAAAGTTTATGGATACATGTATATGCACTATGATTCATTATTATATGAATTTTTTTTTCAAACTTCCTACTCTTTTAATACAAACTTTTCTAATTACCTATCTACGAAATGAATTGCCTTAGGAGAAATTAATATATACGGTTCCCTTCTCTTTGATTTAATACTACGATTACTACTACTCTATTTGCTTACTTTTACTTTCAGTCATAATTGTGTATAGAAAGAATAAAGCAACACTTTTTTATTCACAGCGTACTTATCTGGCAGTATTATGAAAGGCTATTTTAAAATAAAATAACAAATTTTTAGATACCAGAAGCAGTAAATGGAAGGACAGGGAATTTGCAGAAACGTCCTACATCTATGCCACGATTAGCCCATCCATCCAGGCGGCTAATGTTATATCTACGCCATACTTGGTCCATAGCCCCAGTCAGGCTTTGGACGTACTTTTCGGTGTTGTGAGCTGGTGTAGGAGTAATTCGAAGACGTTCAGTCCCAGCAGATACTGTAGGGAAATTAATACTCTGCACATATATATGATGATTTTGCAATAAGGCATCACTAGCAAGCTTGGCTAATTGAGCATCACCAACCATAGCAGGGACGATATGAGTATCGTTAGAAAGAACGGGAATTCCGATTTCAGACAAGGATTGTTTCACTCGTCGAACAGCAGAACGCTGTTGTTCGCGCTCGACGTTTGAGGTTTTTAAATGCTCAATAGCTGTTTGAGCACCAACCATAACATGAGGAGGTAAGGAAGTAGTAAAGATAAAACCAGGAGCTAGAGAACGGATCATGTCGACAAAGGGAGAAGAGCCAGCAATGTAACCACCGACGGCACCATAAGACTTGGCCAAAGTACCCGTTATAATGTCAATTTTGTCTAGCAAACCAGGAGTTTCTTCAGCAACACCGCCGCCACGAGGTCCATACATACCTACAGCGTGAACCTCATCTAAAAAGGTAATAGCACCATATTTCTTGGCAAGATCGCAAATTTCGGAAATAGGAGCGACATTTCCACTCATGCTGTAGATGGATTCAAAAGCAATTACCTTTGGACGGTTCAGAGGAATGGAAGCCAATTTGGCTTCCAGATCAACAAGATCATTATGTTTAAAAATCATTTTTTCACAGCGAGAATTACGAATACCATTGATCATGGAGGCGTGATTCATTTCATCACTTAGGAAAACACAATTTGGCAATTTCTTACCAAGAGTGGAGAGAGTAGCATCATTTGCAACATAGCAACTACCAAAAACGAGAGCGGCAGGTTTTTGATGCAAGTCGGCAAGTGTCTGTTCTAAACGTATAGCATGCTGATTGTGCCCAGCAATATTACGAGTACCACCAGCTCCACCCCCATACGTGTCTATGCAACGATGCATGGCGTCGCTAACCTTCTTATGGCCGCCCATGTTGAGATAATCATTGCTGCACCAAACCTGAACACGGGTATTTGGCTCTGCCAAATGGGCCAAAGGATATTCCTGAGCTAGACGATTAATGTTGTTGAAATAACGATACGATTTATCACGCTTTTTCTTTCGAAGCTCTTCTTGATAAAAGGTTTCGTAGTCAAATTTTGTAGCACCCATTGGAGAGATTCCAGAAGCATTTCGGGCTGCACTTGGTAGTGTTTCTTGTTTGATGGAAGCAACCTCGTTAGGTTTGCCAGAGGCTTCTTTGACTGCTTGCGCATGACGACACATACCAGAGCTTCGGTCGGTCACACCAGCTTTTAAATGGATCTCTTCCAGAGAAGGCTCCTTGGCCATATGTTTGGATTGAGACTTAAATCCACGATGACCTCGGAAAGGAACCTTGTCACCTGTAGGAAGCGCGCCTCCTATAACGGGGCAATGAGATCCAGCGCGAACCAGACCAGTACCCATCATTCTACGGAGGGTTGTAGCGTCTGTCTTGCTGACAAAAGGGCAACGCTTGGTAGCAGCTTTTACAACGTGTTCCATGGTTTTCTTTTTAATAATCCTATAAAACCAACAGAAAAATAAAAGTCAATGAGAAAAAAAAAGGAAAAAAGAAAAAAAATTCCTTCGTTTTTTTTTTAATAATATAAAAGGATAATATTCCAATCCGAGCAGTTTTCGAAAGTACTGCGACGACAAAAAGAAAAAGATTGTGTGTGTGTGTGTTGTTTTTTTTTTGGAATAGTCTAACCTTTGGTATTGGTCAAGGTCGTCTTCAACACGCTTGTTTTAAACTCGTTTTCGAGAAGCAATCAAAAAAGAGGATCCAGAAATTGAAACTCGATCTTGTTTTAATAACCCTAAAAAGTTTTCGTTAGAACAACTCGATTTCGTTCGTAAATACGAGAATATTCCGATTTATACCTTTTGTGGGTGGTGGTGAAGGTTAAATGGGCATGGTAGTCGAAACCGCCTTAGTAATACTTTGCCCGATTCTTGCGGGAATCACTGGCGAACAAGCGACAAATGAGCGACCGTACAATAGAGCGAGACCCAACACTAGAAGAAAACAAAGAAAGAAAGAAAAGGTAAACATGAGGAAATTGAATGAGATTGAAATGAAACTTTTATAAAAATAAACCAAGTAGGAAAAGAAAAAGGAAAAGAAAAGGAAAAAAAGAAAGAAAGAAAAGAAAAGGGAAATTGGTTTTATGTTGATGAATCCAACCTTCTATAGATTACTGGTATCGATTTCGCAATTTATGTTTTCATGTTTTATAGAAAATCGAATCTCAACGACTTTGTTGATTTTTATAAAAGAATTCAAAGAGTTTGTTAATTTGTTTTAATGACTAGTGAAAAAATGAAATTTGATTTTGTATCCATGTTAAAAAACACGACAAATAGAACCTTTCTTGCTTTATACCGAGTAGAGAATGCTTATAGAAAGTACAAAAAAGATAAAAAGGTAAAATAACTAAAAAACAAGTTTTATAACCCTTTTCTTTTTTTCATATGGATGCTTCGACCTCTTACACTTTTCTCATTCAATCATGTTTATAAACAGAAACTGCATTCCTAACAATATCAAGTAACCCAAGTAGAATAGTCATTGTAAACTTCTTATGTAGTAGAAAGATGTACCCATTTTTGTTTATCGTTGACTCATTTGTAGACATTAATTGCAACTGTCATATAAAATTAAATCATGATGACAATGATAAAAGATACTGACTCATTATATAAGTTTATGCGACGCCAAAACATAAACCAAAGAAATACACTTGTACGTTGTTACCCTGCTCAGAAAAGCTTGCAAACCAAAATCCTTGACACTTTCAGATGTAAAAAAAAAAAGGCCTCTATTTACATTATAAGAAAGACTGTAATTGCATACATTCCAAGACAAAATAGATCAACGGTGGAAAATAAGGGTTTAATTAATTTTATTATTTTTTTTTAAAAAAATATAACATATAAGGAAAATATTTAAAGCGTAAACAATCCACATAGACCAAATGGAATTAAGATTGGAAGAAGAAATCTTGAGCCAAATTGGCAAAGATACAGACGTCCCAGACAAATCGGCAAAGTATCAAGTCCATGAATCCATTCAAGAAAAAGATGATACATTAGATGACACTGATTCTATTGATAGAAAACCCCCATTCATGAGTGCTGCCCTCATCCTATTGAATAATTTGGTACTCTCGATTTCATTTTCTATTGTCATTCCAACCTCGAATAGCTATGTCAAAGTCCTTGGAGGAAGCGAAGTTCTTTCTGGTCTCATTATTGGTCTTCCTATGATTACGGCGCTCTTCTCTTTATACCCTATGTTACTGGTGTCGAATCCTAAATCTGCTAATGGCTTTACTTTTTATAAACGTCCCTACGTCTGCTCATGTGTCACTGCGCTCGTTGGCCATATCCTTTATTCGCTTGCTTTTAAAGCCAAAAGCATTGCCCTCATACTAGTCAGTCGAATCATTCTAGGGGTTGCATGTGTCATGTATCTGTACCATAAAAAGTTCATGTCCGACAGAATCCTCGTAGGTGCCAAGTACAGAACTTTTATGAGTACTCTCAACACAATAATGCTAACTGCTGGGATTGCAATTGGTCCTTTTCTTGGCGGTCTGATGGCTAAAACTTCTTCAAATTCTCACAATGCCGTATGGAATCAATATACTTCCGGAAATTGGTTGCTCGCTATCTTTTGGTTTGTTTTATTTGTCATTTCTTCTTTATTTTATAATGATGTTGATAGTACCATTCCTCCTATCCCTGCCAGAAACCAAAACGACGATTCCAATTCTGAAGCCCGAACAACGCATCCCCGTCCAGATTTTATCTCTCTTTTAAGGATTTTTGTTGCTGGTTATATTGCTTTCTCTTGCTTCTTTACAATGGAGGCATATCAGGCTTCCATCCCAATCTATACTGCCTACCTATACAAGTATTCTCCTTTTCAATCGGGAAATTTCCTTGCACTTGCATGCCTAATTGATATCCCGTTTCTCCTTTTATTCTCTTTTCTTTCTCGGTGGATCGAAGATCGAACAATTACATTGATAGGTATTTTAATTTCGGTTATGACAGTCGCTGTTCATCTCATAGTCAACAGACTTCAAAAAGAGTATCTACAGCTTTATTTCACTTTATTTTGTTTTGTCTTTTTTGGAACTTCCATTGCTTTTTCACCTCTCGTATCTCTTCTTACAAAGCAGCTTCATCCAGCTCATCATTTGCTAGCAAGCGTTGTGATTCAAATAAGCATAGCTATTGCAGACACCACCGGCCCTGTTTTCGGTGGTGCAATCCGTACGGTTACTTCTCTTGGATTCCTGATAACTTTACTCGCATTACATGTGTTGGCAACCATCTTTATGCTTTGTATTTGGAAAACCGCTAAGGTTAAGACTGGTTAATTCTTTTTTTTTGTTTATATAATATATTTACAATGTTAACGAATTAGCTTAATTTTTGTTTTGATATTCAATGTAGATGAATGCGACCATTAATAAAATAAAAATTATCTTTCTAAAGGCGCTTATCGACCTTTAAGATATGTTAATTCTTTTTCCATTTCTTTTTTTTTTGGGTAATAGCCGCTTTCCTATAATGCTTTTAGCGATTATGGCCTTTCATATCTTTTGTACTCCAAAGTAACAATATCATTTTATATACCTTATATAAATGATGTACCTTTTTATGTCTGTAGCCAAGTGTCATAATTAAGTAAAAAGTATAAATAAATTTAGATGATTTCGTTCAAAAACTTGTTCCAACGAACATAAGAAAGAACAATTTATAGCGTCAATCGCTTAGTGTTATCATATCTTGGATGTAAACAAACACGTACCCCATTTCTATTCAACTATTTTGCAAACAGCACGAGTAGAGAGGCCAAGCAAATTATTATTAGAAACAAAATTCGAATAATCTTTTTTTTATTTTGTTTTAAAAGTCAAACGACAACAGTTTACGACACAGAAAGGCAGCTACAAACGCTGCCAACCCTCCAATTCTCAACACCCAAGCGACACTGTTATCGTTTATGTCACGATGGCTTCCTTCTGAATGAATAAATACTATCGTAGCGATAATGGTACTCAAAACTTGAGGAGCTGAAATAAACACATTATGCACACCAATCATTTTTCCGCTGCTCTCACGTAAACCCAGCTTAGCAACTTCGGAAGAAAAAAGTGAATATGGAATCCAAAGAGTACAAGCCCAAGATAACCCACAAATTGCTACCATCACTTGTGCCTCCCAAGATGTTCCCAGAAAAAAAGTACTTAGCATACAGATGCCAAATAACACATGAGAAAAAAGCCATAAATTCGGTAAAGTAAGACCTTTAATTTGTACTTTTGTTGAAAATGTGCTAATAATAGAATGATTTGAAGGCATCATTCTCTGCAAACGGGATGTAGATGCAGAAGGAGCAGGAGAAGGAGCTTCTGTAGGCTCGGATCTTAGAGAAGACCTTTCACTAGGTTCAGCTGAAGATCGTGGTATATATTCAGCAGGTCGTAAATGCCTTTCATAGGCCCTTGAGCTTTCTTCAGTTGCAGTCTCGTCATCGTCATCATCATCATCATCATCATCATCACCCTCATGTTCAAGAAGAAGAGGTAAGGCTGTATTTGAAGCCAAAGAAACAATTGCAAACAAGAGCAATGCAAATGATCCTTGACGTGTTGCCATGTCCCAGTCCTCCTCATGGCCTTTAGGTGCGTGTCTCAGAAACAGAGTACCAACATAAGTTGTTATATAGAATAAAAATGGAAACCATCCAAAGTAAGCAAAAAACTGTACGTAGCATATTTTTCGCAAAGAGTCAGGAAGGCTTGATATGGTTTGTCTCATTGTTCCAAAAAATTCCAGAATCTCGGACAAAACTGACTGATCACTTCCAGAAACAGGAAATGATCTTTCTTTAACAATTAAAGACGTAATGCCAACTGTCATTACAAGAAAAATTGAGGCCATTGTGCAAAATGCTTGAAGCTGGGTAATATTTAAGAAAGCAAATATCCGGTATAACGGAAGAAATCCCAACAAGTATCCGCAAACATTGCCAATACCAATCATTCTTCCTGCCCAAGAGTTTGCATCATGTTGTTGATCTGAACGAACAGAATCGACAATTAGGGAACGAGCACTTGCCATGACTGAAAATACATTAGAGAAATATCCAACTAATAATAAAAAAACATACCAATATTCACAGCAATGTCTAAAAGGTAAATACTCAAGGTTGCTAACACAATGGTTACACGGTTTGCAGTTGTACCCTTGAATAGTAGCTCACTCAAATCTGGGGCCCACCCCATCAAGAATAAACTAAAAGTACCCAATAAGCTAGCTCCTAGCATAAAAGGTCTTCTTCTTCCAAGTTTCGACTGAAAGCGATCCGAAAGTATCCCAGATATTGGTTGAATAATGATCCCCGTCAATGGACCAGCAATCCAAATAATGGATGTATATTCTTTGCGAAGACCGAGAGAAAATAGATATGGAGACCCTGATGTAAATAAATTAGAGTTTATAAAAGAAATAAAAGAAAAGCCTCACTTACCATAACCAAGTTCAACAGACCCTATTATTATAGCATGTTAGTATTATCAAGACAACATTGCGAAATGTTCGATAACTTACAGGTTAGCTGGACTCCCAAAAGAGACTTGAAATAAGTTAGCATAGTTTCCATAGTCGAAAACATCAATTGATACATACCACTGTTAAAGCAATTAAATACCATATGGATCTGAGGGGAATAGGATCCTTGTATGGATTTTCTAAGTCCACATTATTTGAATCATCATTGTTTCTCAACAGATGAGAGCGCTCTGGATAAAGCTCGCTAGACATTGTGGGCAAAGACAGGAAAAGAAGGGAACCTTATGTGATGACAGTTTAAATAAACAAGGCACAAGAAAGATTCAACAATAGCAGGTGGAGCAATATTTGCAAAAGGCAGGTTCTAATAAGAGAAAGAGACCCAAGATGGTCCTGCAAGAAAGCAATCCTTTGTTTATACTTCTGATGTTATCTTTCTTTTTATTGCTACCCAATCGTGTACTTTTATGGTATTGTATAAAAGTAATCAGAAAATCGTTTATACGAATACCATATAGAAAATTGAACAATGCCGAAAGAAAAAAACCAACACAGTCGATGTGAATATAATCCAAGGTTTCAGCTTCCAAGTAAAACGAATGAAAATGAGTATTCAATTCTCTAGACATAGCAATTGTTAATATTTCATTCGCAATCAGCAACCAAATTGGCTCTGTAAACATTATGTTTATGAGATTCAATGAAAAGAAACCCAATTGAACAGCGGAAAAAAAAAATGTCGTTCTTTATCTAATGAAATAGCAATTTACTCACCTTAAACTACGAAAAATAAAGGATTCTATACTCCTTGGATTTTATACGAAGAAATTGGTTTCTAGTTGGCTTATGTTCTCCCCAGTTTGTTTCTGTAACACTGACGTACAGACATACAGATCCGGAAGGATATTAGCAGCGGCGTCTTTTGCATTACGGTATCGTTTTTTACGACACCAAGCAATATCTAACGCACTAGATTTGTAATGTAAACAAATCAGAAAACACGCAGTAGCCTTGCGTTAGTTCCCTTGTTTTAGTTATTTTTTAGTTTGATTTCATCCTCTATAGGTGTAAGTGAACATAGCAATGGTAGTATGGTGAAAGAATATTTCCTTCTGACTCTTCCTCTAGTAAACAAGCAATCGAGTTTTCTAGGTTGAGGAAATACTCGTTCGAGTGTTAATTAAGTTGCTTATCTATTTGTTTTTCTTTTCAGTAGAAAAGAAAGGAAATGGCTCCCTTGTTCAATAGAGACGTAGAAAAAATTGGTCTGCACAGAAACGGGCATGAAGGATATTTAAATACAAAGACACATTTTACTCAGTCTGTAGTGGGTTTTTGGACCTCCTTTTCTTTTTTAATTCATGCTTTCGTTCATTGCTTTTCTTTCCTTTTTTTCTTTGTTTATAGAAGCTTGTTGTCTTTAACTAGTAAATTTTTCAAAAACCTGTAGGTCGAGCATCCTTTGGAATCGCTAGTCTTTCATTATATTTTTTTATAAATCAGTACAAATATTTGAAGAAAACTCTTCTGTAAGTATGTGTTTACGAGTCCACAATTGGTTTTCTCCTCCACCCTCCAAAGCAAACTTCTACCAACAACTAGAACGCTCGACAAGAAAAGATGGGGGACAATCCTTGGGTTCTCCAGGAACAGGTCCTGTTAGAACTTTCAGAAGTGATAAAAAATTCACTTTCTGAAGATTCTCAAACTCGAGCAGCTGCTTTAAGTGTATGTTATTGGATATCATAAAAAGCTCTGTAGACTTGCTTTTAAAGAAGTTTCATTTTCTTTTTTAACATACTCTAACATGTTTGAATAGTTACTTGAAAAAACAAAGGACATTCCTGATGTAAATAATTATCTCGCCTGTATATTGATCAACGGTGCTGAACTAAGCGTACCAATTCGTTCTGCTGCTGGTTTACTTTTAAAAAATAACTTGCGTGTTTCAAACATTGAACTTGCACACGGATTGCAAAGCCTAAATTATACGAAATCGACGGTTGTACGCGGTTTATGTGATCCTCAGCCTTTAATTCGCGGTATTTCTGGCAACGTTATAACTACGCTGATTAGTCGATGGGGGGTTAGTGCATGGCCAGAAGTTCTACCACAATTGATGGATATGCTTTCTGGCTCAACATCTAGTACTACTCAAGAAGGTGCTTTCAGCGCACTTACAAAAATTTGCGAAGATTCGGCCCGAGAATTAGATAGAGACTTTGATGGAACGCGTCCTTTGGATTTTATGATTCCTCGCTTCATTGAATTGGCGCGTGATGGAAACCCCAAAATCCGTACAGATGCTTTGTTTTGCCTTAACCAGTTTCTTTTAATCCAAAGTCAGTCTTTGTACGCTCACATCGATACGTTTCTGGAAACTTGTTACAGCTTAGCTACTGATCCTTCCCCGAATGTTCGAAAGAATGTTTGTCAGGCCCTTGTCTATTTGCTTGATGTACGTCCCGATAAGATTGCTCCCTCATTGGGTAGCATTGTAGAATATATGCTCTACTCAACTCAAGATATGGACCAGACTGTCGCTTTGGAAGCATGCGAATTTTGGTTAGCCATCTCTGAACAACCTGACCTCTGTTCTTCTTTGGGTCCCTATCTCGACAAGATTATCCCAATGCTTCTTCGTGGCATGGTTTACTCTGATATGGATCTTTTGCTTCTAGGAAATGATGCCGATGATTACAATGTTGAAGATCGACTTGAAGACATTCGTCCTCAACATGCCAAGGGTAAGTCTCGGGTAACCATGGATACGGAGGGTCCTATTGGCCGCCAAGGAGCCGCAAATGATGAGTTTGATGAACTTGATGAGGAAGACGAAGATGATGAGGATGAATTTGACGATGAGGATGAAGATGCTGATGCTTTCATGGACTGGAATTTGAGGAAATGCTCAGCTGCTGCCCTCGATGCTTTATCTTCTTTTTGGAAGCAGAAGCTACTTGATGTTATTCTCCCTCATTTGAAGGAAAGTTTGATGAGCACTGACTGGAAAGTTCAAGAGGCTGGCGTATTAGCATTGGGTGCTATTGCAGAAGGCTGCATGGATGGAATGATACAATACCTGCCCGAACTTTATCCATATTTACTTTCCCTGTTGGAAAGTAATAAGCCGCTAGTTCGCACAATTACATGCTGGACCCTTGGCCGTTATTCAAGTTGGGCAACTTGCTTGGATTCCGAAGTGGATCGTCAAAAGTATTTCATTCCTCTTATTGAAAAGTTGCTGAGAATGGTGGTTGATAACAATAAAAAGGTTCAAGAAGCCGGTTGCTCTGCCTTTGCGATCTTGGAAGAGCAAGCCGGCCCTGCTCTGGTGCCCTTCTTAGAACCTATTTTAACTAACTTTGCTTTTGCCTTCCAAAAGTATCAAAGAAAAAATTTGCTCATCTTGTATGATGCTGTTCAAACGCTTGCCGATTACGTTGGTCCTGCACTTAATGAAAAGCGTTATGTTGAACTTTTGATGCCGCCTTTGCTTCATAAGTGGTCTACACTTGTTGACGATGACCCAAATATTTTCCCTTTGCTAGAATGCCTTTCATCGGTTGCTGTGTCCCTTAAAGATGGATTTGCTCCCTTTGCAGCAGAAACATATGCTCGTACTTTTCGGATGCTCCGCAACACCTTGTACCTGATTGACGCTTCTCAGGGCGATCCTACGATTGATGTTCCAGATCGGGACTTTTTAGTTACCACTTTAGATTTAATCAGTGGTATTATTCAAGCACTCGGAAGTCAAATAGCCCCCTTAATCGCTCAGGCAGATCCCCCGATGGGACAAATCATTGGTGTATGCGCCAAAGACGAAGTTGCCGAAGTCCGTCAATCGGCCTATGCTCTACTGGGTGATATGTGTATGTTTTGCTTTGACCAAGTTCGTCCTTATTGTGATGCGTTGTTATTAGACATGTTACCACAAATGCAGATGCCTTTGTTGCATGTCAGTGCCTCCAACAATGCCATCTGGTCCGCTGGAGAAATGGCATTACAGTTGGGTAAAGATATGCAACCATGGGTGAAACCTTTGCTGGAGCGTCTTATTTACATTATGCAGTCTGGCAAAGCGAACAGTACAGTACTGGAAAACGTTGCCATCACCACAGGCAGACTTGGTATGTTTAATCCAGAGTTAGTTGCTCCTCATTTGGAATTTTTTTACCAACCATGGTTTGAAATTATCAAGACCATCGGTGAAAATGAAGAAAAGGACTCTGCTTTCAGAGGATTTTGCAATATCCTGGCATGCAATCCTCAGTCCTTATCATATCTTCTCCCTATGTTTGTTGTATGTGTCGCAGAGTACGAAAAACCTTCGATGGAGTTGCAAGACATGTTCCAAAAGATTTTGCAAGGATCCATTGAAATGTTTAATGGAAAGGCAGCATGGCAAGCTTCACCGGAGATGTTGGCACAAATTCAACTACGTTACGGGGTTTAAGAAAAAGGCATGCATATACACCGATGGATGGTCGAATACACACGTAAACGTTTGGGAAAATAATAATTCATTTTTTTTTAATGATAGGAATACGGTATATTGAATCTTTACATAATCAATTTGTTCTATGTGAAAAAAAAGAGGACCCGCTATGGTAATATGGATGGATACCCTGAAAAGAAACCTCTTCTTATTCTTATTTTCTATAGGTTGATAGGTAGAGAATAAAAATAAAAAACCTTTTTTTTTTTTTGTCTCGAAGGATAAAGGTATTCAACAATTAAGAAGAAAAATAAATTGAATGTAAGTAAAGCTTGTGCTTACACTTGCTTTCAATTTCTAGTGCTGCTTATGGCTACTAATACTATACATGCCTAGCTTTGTCACGAGTTGTGAAACATAAAAGCTGTAGTATGATGAATAACTTAACACCTGGAAAAGATTAAATTACAAAGAAAAACAGCAATTCGATTTGTAGATTTAATTCTTCAAGCGTCTTTATGCTATGTGGATTTTCGTGAAAGTCGTACGAGGTGTAACATACAACAAGGCGTGTATTTATTCAAGGTTTTTCAACCAAAACATGTCAATACTTTCATAAGCCAAACTCATTCTACCATGAGAAACTTCGTTATTTTCTCTTATGCTGAACAGCCCCATACATAATTCCTTTCACCATAATACGATTTTTGTTACCGTAATAAAATAAAATAGTATGATTTGAACCGCTAATTACATATCATCGAAATTCCATGAAAATTTGATTAACGAGAAAGAAAAAACATCATTTCTTCCGAGAGACTCCTACGTAACAGCCAGATTTCATTATCATCTTTATCGCTAATTTTCCATGTCAACTTGTTAACGAATTTGACCAGATATATATATAGAGGATGACCGCTGTAATCTATCAGTAACCACTGTCAAGGAAGAAGTTAAAATAGATCTTTTGAAACATTCGAACTTGACTTGATCATAGTAAAAGAACGAAATTTTTTGAATTAAAAGAAACTGGTACATTTTCTTTTTTAGAACAAGAAACATTATATCGGCAATGTTAGGACCCTTTTTGAAGCTGAACAACGGCCTCAAGTGCCCTCAATTCGCTTATGGCTCATATATGATCAACCGTAGCAAATGCTTTGACTCCGTGTATGCAGCTTTACAATGTGGTTACCGTCATATCGACTCTGCGCAAATGTACTTTAATGAAGGAGATTGTGGTAGAGCCATCCTTCAATTCATGAAGGACACTGGCACGAAACGTGAAGACATCTGGTTTACCAGCAAGCTAAACAACTTGGCTGGTTATAGCGCGACACTCAAAAGCATTGACAGCAGCGTGAAGGCTTGTGGTTTAGGATACATTGACTTGTTTTTGCTTCATTCTCCTTATGGAGACCGCCTCGGCTCTTGGAAAGCTTTGGAAGAAGCTGTTGAAACAGGAAAAATTCGTGCTATTGGTGTATCCAACTTTGGACCTCATCACATTCAGCAGTTGTTGGACCATCATCCTAAGATTGTTCCCTGCGTCAACCAAATTGAGCTCCATCCCTTCTGCTCTCAAAGCAAGGTGGTTGAATACTGCCAAGCAAAGGGAATTGCTTTGGCTGCCTATGCTCCTTTGGCCCATGGTGAAAAGTTTGGCAATAAGCAATTGATTGGCATTGCCAACAAATATAACAAGACAGAGGCACAAATCATGATCCGCTTTTTACTCCAACGTGGTTATATTGTTCTTCCCAAGAGCTCTACTCCTTCTCGCATCAAGGGTAATGGTGAAGTGTTTGATTTTGAACTTTCCAAGGATGAGATGGATACCTTGTATAATTTGGATGAAGACTATCATTCCGATTGGAACCCATGTGTTTCTTCTCTCTAAGTTGATTTCTCTCTTGGTTCGTTTTCCTTGAGGGGAGAAGGTAAAGAAGCTTGAAAACAAACAACTTTATAGATTTGTGATGCTGAGATGCTTTAATGATATTGATTTATGATTTAGCAAATGTGAAAGAAAAAAAAAAAAAAAAAAAAAAAAAAATAATGTAGTAAAATGGGAATTCATGGATCCTTTAATGGTATGTAATTCTACAAATCTATGAAGAAACATCAATCCTGTTGCTTTTGCAATACAACACGTCTAAGTTTCGTCCGTTCTACCTAAATAAATGTGCTCTTTTCAAAGTAATATGCATCGTGTATAAAATAATCTTGCATCTTCTTTACTAGCTACATTCGTTGACTCTCGTCTTAGTTCATAGTACCATTCACGCTACCTTGCTTACATACACTACACAGCGCCAGAGAAATCCTCGAAATCCTTGAAAATCTTGCATAAATTGTACTTATTTGTACTATGATTACTCCTTCTTTTCGTCAATATTGCTTTAAACGCTCATTCTCTTTTTCTCCTGCTCGTCTTCGTGATGTCCAACGTTTAACCTTCACAGGGAATTTAGTCCGTGATGCTGAACGTTTGCAATCGCAACGAGGTAATCCCTACATGAAATACACAGTTGCTTCCAATAATGGAAAGGATGTGCCTGCTACATTCCGCACGGTATTCTTTTTTGATGACCGCGAATTTGATCGTATGGAAGCTATCCTCAAAAAGGGAAACCATATCTTTGTAGAAGCCAATACTGTTTATCGAAAGGCTCCTTCCGGCGATTCCTCCAACCCCACTCCGTTATCGTTGAGTCTCCAACATCGTAAGTCATTCCTTGCTCATTTCCCTCTGAGGATAGATTGCTAATATGCTTAATTTCCCATACTCAGAATACCTTTTTGCTAACAAACCATAGTCAATGTTCATATACTAAAGCGAGCTCGCTCCCTTGCCGAAGAAGAGCCTGCTGAAAAAGACACTGCGTTTGAAACTGGACCCCTCCCCAACAGCTTTTAGAGCGGTTTTGGCTATATTTAGCTAACTAATTGAGTGTGTACAGCGATTCTAACTCATTCCTTGTTCGCTTTGATGTTCTTTGAGTACTACACTCTCAAGTTCACTCTTGTGTCTTTACCTGTATGCTTATTCCTACTTTCCTTCATCGTTTCTAGTATAATTAAATTCTGCTATTACTGTCTTCACTTTCTAAGACCTTGTTCTTCTAGTTTTCGTTGCTCATAGTTATTTGAAGAAATATTGGCAGCGAATTTTTCTTTATGAAATTCCTTGTTGGATTGTTTACACAAAAAGTTGTGTATTTATTCACATAAGAACCGCATAAACATCGTTTATTTTATACAACAAACGATGCATCCGGTGCTTCTAAAAGACTTTTTGACTCTGTTCCTTTTCCTTCGTACTGTTTACATTTGCTGGTTTTCTTTAAACCCGTTTAACGTAAATATCGTTATTTCGCTGCATTTTTGTGGATCGCACTTCCCCTCTGTCGCAAAATGGTTTCGTTACCTTGTTACTTATTCGTGACTGTATTCTGCTCTAGGCGAAATTAGCAAATTGGATTTTTACGAGAGCTATCAACATGGCGGTTTCAGGAGGCGAGTTGAAGGGTAAAAAACGTAAATCTGGAGACTCCCATAAGGAGTCCAAGAAGAGCCTTCAGGTTCTCTCTTTGAAGGAATCTTCCTTGCCCCCGTTTGTTACGACAATATCCGGTTCTTACCCTCCCGAAGGAACTCGATTTCAGCCCATTCACGCAGACGGAAAGAAAACAAACGATGTCTCGCTTATTGGAAGAACCGAGCGTGTCCAATTTGAAGCCAAAAGCAAGCCTACTAGCAACGTTGAGTCCAATTACTGCTTGGCCATTGCTGACAAGCATGGTCGTGTAAAAAAGTTGGTTCCTACCCGCTACCTTAATACCTTTGAGCGAAAAATTTTAGCTTTGAAAGAAAAGGATGAGCATATGAAAAAGCAACGTGGTGCTGTTAGTGGCACAGTGATGGAACAACGCGCCAACCTTGGTTTAGCCTTTGGTACTAAGAAGAACCAAAAGGCGATTATGGAGGAATCTGCTAATCGTGTCAAGGCTGAGGCGTTAGGCGATGTTAAGGACCAACTTGTTAGTAATGTTCAAAAGGCCACTGAAGCTTTACCTACCCAAGAAGAGCTTAATGCCTATCAAGCACAAGATCGACCCATTCCTCCTGTTCACATGGATGCAGAAACTGTTGAAGAAGCTTACAAATTGGATGACATAATTCCAAAAGAAGAAATGTCTGCTATTTATATCAAGCCATTCTTGGATTCTGCCGAGGACAAGGGATGGTCCAAAATGTTGCCATACCGTCATTCTGTCTTTGTCAATGAGCGCTTCTCTCGATTATTGTCGATTGAGGAAGTTGATCACAAGCGTGCTAAAATTCTCTACTATATTTCACTATTGCAAGCATTTTTGTTTTCTCGTCGCTCTGTCACGGATCGCGACACTTTGCGTAGAAAGCTTGCTGACCCTCCGGAGATTTTAATTGATGGCCTTTTCAAGCGTTTCACACAAACAACCGGAACTGGTGCGGTGCAAGTTTCTATGCGTCAGGTTGATCGTATAATGTGCTATCTCATTGTCTTATACCTTATCGTTGACAATTACTCAACGGACATTCTCACTTTAGCTAATGACTTGAACATTAAGGTAATGAAAGCAAATGAACTTTTTAAGACTGTGGGATGCCGAATTATGGCTTACTCAGAAACTCAACGTATGGCTCTTGGTCTGAACAAGACAGAAGCGAAGAATCACAAGAGGGCAGTTTTGAAGATACCCCTTGAATTCCCTAGACCCCGTCGTGGTCGTGCTAGAAACTAATCCAATGATGGGCTTTGGGATTCTGTATCTTGAAACAAGCTCGCCGCATATAAATTGTTTACATCGAAAGTGAATTATTGTCAAAAGGTTATCCATCGTACGGGTTTAGCTTCGATGCGTTGCATTGCTTTGCTACGGGTGATGAAATGAAAGATTGGTTTATATATATGGTCTTAATGGGTAAAAAAGTAATATAAATATATACATATGGATTGGAAAGCAGGAAGGAAATTTTCAAATTATTGTTTTTATATAATTTTCAATAAAATCAATTTTAAGCAAATTCATGTGGTCAAAAAGGAGGATATAGTTTTGATGATATTTTTTCATGTACGAGATAACTGATGATTGAATAGAATGTACACCATCGACCTTTTATTGAAAAGAAAGAGGATAAGAGATCTAACTATAAGGGTAGTATTAGTAAACCATCATTGGAAGAATAATAAGAGAACCATAAGAAAGGGAAGGGAAGGAAAGGAAAGAAATGGGGTTACAGGATGCAAAGGAAAGGACATTAATTTTCTTTAGTATAAGTAGCCCATAAAGAAACGAGCTCATTTCTAGTAATAGGTTCAGCTAAAACCAACCCATCTCGAACAACTTGCTTTGCTTCGTCCATTCGATGCATCGCCTCTAAAGCCTTTGCTTTCCGATAATAGCATTTTCCGTAATTATTACGGATCTTCAAGGAAGCATTTGCATCCGCCAATGCCTCAGGAAACTGTGAGAGCGATAGTTCAGTTGCTGCACGGTTACAGAGCATAGTGCTTACTTCTTCACGAGTCAGCACTGCAGGTTCCCAAGAGCAACGATTGAGTGCTAATTGTAAAGCAAGAGTGTATAACTTTTTAGCTTCCTCAAACCTTTTCCGCTTGAAGGCTTCATTGGCTGTCTGCTTCATTTTATTCACTTGAGTAGAGAGAGCCAAATTTGGTTTTGCTGGGGGGAATGGTGGCGGAATTGCAAACGGGTATTTGAAAGTAGAGATGGATCTTGCATAACTGTTTAATTTCTCCTGAATGAACTGCTCTTCTTCCGTCAAATTCTCCAACTTCACTTGCGGTGCTTCCAATTGTTCGGTCCTTGGAGCCATTCTGAACACGATCTGAAAAGTAACTCTATGTTAGTATGGACGAACCAGTGTATGTTTTCTTTCTTCTTTTTCCAGGACCCTACAATTATAGGCTCTGGATACAGTGAGCATCGTCGCTTTTGCATGCACAGCTTTCAGGTCTTGGTATTACGCATCGCAGTAAATCAGGCTTGGGCATACGCTAAAGTATGGTTTCTTAAATAACGACCCAAAAGGACATGCGGTATTGTTACAACAATTATAATTGTAAAGAGGTGGTTGCTGTTCTGGAGAAAAAAGCATGCCTTACCTTCTCTAACGAACAGCTGCTGCTGAAACTTGAAAAAAGCGGACTTTGCGAAAACCATTCAAATCTTGGAAAATCCGGAAACCATGGACTCCTCACCAAATGATTTTCTAAACAAGGTCATTGGAAAACCTGTAGTCATTCGATTAAGTTCTGGTGTGGATTATCGTGGTATGTGAGGTGGATGTTGGATGTTGGACATTGTCATGATAGCTGGAGGACGATGTACTCTAGATGTTGTTCGTTGCTTCACACTTCTAAACTGATGGATTGTTTGGAACGCTGTACGCTAATGTTGCGATTGGTATATAGGAACTTTGAGTTGTCTTGATGGTTATATGAATCTTGCTTTGGAACAAACAGAAGAATATGTCAATGGTAAAAAGACAAACGAATACGGTGACGCTTTTATTCGTGGTAACAATGGTAAGTCATAGCTGATCGGATGAATCTTTGGTGTGTTCAAGAGATGAATGATCTAACCTGGTTTTCAGTTCTGTATGTTTCTGCATTAAATGAGCAATAGTTTTTTTTTTCTCAATTCATGTTATGACAATTACGCCTCTTTGATTGATTAAGAGTAAATAAAAAGAAAAGCCTTTTACTGGGTTGTGTTCCGGACAATTGCAACGGGATTGTGCAAATGGTTTAGAATTAGTACTTGTGAACATTTTATCTTATACATCATATTATACTCTGTCTCCGTTATTTATATCGATAATCAACATGTCCTTTTTTATCATTATCTGTAAAATATGCTGTTCAGAGTAGTCAAATAACTAAGGGTAAAGTTCTTGTTGCATTTCTCGTCGGTGGTTGGATCTGTTCCTTCTTTGAGCAGCAAAGAATTTGACAGATAGAAAAAGCAGCAGCAATATACATACAAAAATACTTATGAAAACATATAATATATGGCTTTGCATCCAAAAATATGCACTTGCGTCGGACCCATGCCAGCTACTACCGTGAACGTGGGAGAAAAAGGAAACGGGCCCATTTCCATACAGAGCCGGGGGGAGCGTTCGCACTTTGCTGTGTGACTCTGACAAATACTGACAAAAGATAAATGAAAAGAACAAAGGACCCGTGCTCAGCAAAACGGTTGGGTATTTGGTAAAATACCGGTGATTAAACTTGGACAGAGAAGTAATCACTTTGTAGAGAAAAGCATGTCTTGGAGTAGCGGCAAACCAGTCATTGCTGTAACCGATTGGGTCAGTAATAGGAAGCAGAAAGGTGGCCTCATCAAGTAAAGGATCCATAGACTTTTTACAGCCTACATCCAAATCCATGTATACGCCTCCGTAATGGTAGACAATAAAATAGCGAACAGCATCAAATCGTTGAATGTCATAAGGATAACTATGATAGATAGGCATAAACCATTGATAATTTGTTTCCATAAAAGATAGGGCCATTTCATCGGTCCATAGTTTTACTGTCCACCCATCTTCTTCGGGATGTTGAGTTCGGCATGAATTTACAGAAACAGACCACTTATCAGGAATATTCTCGTCTTTCCAAATTTGATGGATAATTTTAGGTATCTTCGATTTCGTTTGAGAAGATGTAGAAGACCCTGAGCTAGCTTCCATCTCTTGTAAATTTAAATGCAAAGTACTGGCCTTTCCATTAGGTAATAGATACACATACTTTTGACAATACGCAGAAAGCTTTAGAAAAATAAATACAAAAGTAAGTAAAGAAATTGTCACAATAAACAGCTTGCGAGTTCGGCGTACCATGGCCGGTGACTTTGAAAAGAAAAAAAGGAAATGAGAAAACGAAAGAGGATGAGACGATACCAAAAAAATGAAGAACTAAATATGATGATTTCTGGAAAAGAAAAAGAAAATATTTGTAACTATAGAGGAAGTCGAAATGAAGTGATTAAGAGAGGGAGGAAATGCGGATTGGAAATCAAGGAAATAGCATGAATTCAACAAAATAAGCAAAGAAAAGTATGCAATTTTCTCTAACAAATAGAAACAGGAAATAATTGAGGGATAAGAAGGAAAATGCCAAGGACGGTCAAAAGGAAGCAAAATAGTAATAGGTGTTTTCTCGGTTTCAAAATAAAAACCTCGCTATCTTTTAGAAATATATATATAATTAATGAGAACTTTGAAAGAGGAATCCTAATCCTGTTTATAGAGAACTTGGGTTTTCGCTGAGGCGAACAGTAGCAAGGCGTTGTTCTATACCTACCTCCTTTGGTGGTAGTAGTATGTATGTAATTACGATAATGGTTGTAAGGTAAAGTTAAAGAGTAAACGAGACAAATCATAAGAAAACATATTTACAAACCAAATATATCGTCAATTTCATCCTTTTTCTTTTTTGATTTTTTCTTCTTTTTCTTGGGTGCTGCAGAAGGAGATTCTAAAGATCGTAACGGGGGAATATCGGTTGCTTGAACACCTCCTCCTATGGATTGTGCTTCGGCAGAAGGTAATTGAGGGGTTCGTATGGATTTCATGTCTGGAGATGGAGAGCTAGTAAGGTCTGTTCTTTGAGTAAAGGATGATTGAGGAGTAGAGGAAGATAGTTGTTCACGAGATATAACAACCCCGAGGTCTGATGCAGCTTTTTCTGTGTCTTTAATAGCTTGCTCTTGCAGGGAAAGATTCGGTGAAAGGATTGGAGACGGGAAAGATAAACTAGCTTCATATTCCATTCCTCCCAAAATATACCAAACACGAGATAAAATACCAAGAAGGAGACAACCAAGCCCTGGGTACTGGCCATGGGCAATTACGTTGGTAAAAAGAGCGTAAGATTTTGGGCATTGTTGCAATAACAAAGATTTCGCAGTCTCGTTTCCAGAGAGCCATTGTTTTAACCTACGATGAAGCATCATAACGTGCCTCCACCAAATCGTGAGACGGTGTTGGTTTTTATTCCTGTACACGATTTTCTGTAACAATACAGCATCTGGCTGCAAGACATCCATAGTTGGGAATGTCAAAACAAAGCGCGTGCGTTCATATTCAATAACCATCTCTCGGTAATACGGTGAAGTCTCGGAGAGTTCGGTGACTATTGTCCAAAGGCTTTAGTAGGATGCTATTCACAATAGAGTCTATATCATCGTGAAATAAAATCTATGATTTAAAAAAGACAATAACAAAAAAATATATACGAGATTACATACTAGGATGATGTTTACCTTGGTGGAACCCAAGAATACAGAAAGTATGTTTTCTTTCCCTATGGGTTCTACCTAGCTATCTGGATCATAGCTTTGTCAACGTAACTCGATTCTTGGTTTTTTTATAAAAAGAGACCACTAGCGAACAAGTAGTAATCGAAATGTGTACTCGAACAAAGGGAATATCTCAATTTCCTCTTGTTTACTACATTTGGCATAAACGTATATACAATGCAATGAACAAACTATGAAGCTGCGAATGTGATGAAAAGTAAGGCAAAAATAAATAATAAAATAAATGGTTCCATTCCTTTATTATTCGCTTTCTCTCTATCTTCTTGTTCCTTTGTTGTATTCCGAAACAATAGTTACTTTTTCATGTTTACAAACTCTGCTTATTTCCAATGATGTTCGTTTAGATAACTTTAAATACGTACTATCTAAGCTCAAAACTAGCGAGTTAAAAATTTAAGCTTATCACCTAAATGAGAGGTGCTTTCCCTTTTTTATGATATCAGTATTGGATATTTCTCGGCAACAATTCTAAAAGTATTCCTCTGCAAGCATCGTTGAAATTGGAGGTTTTTACATGATTTCATTAAGTTCAAAATTTTTCTTGGTTGTCCTTTACAATATTTAAATCTAGAGAAGAAACAATGGGTTTGAAGAACTTCCCCTCGTGGGCATTAACGAAAATCTTTGGTCTTGAAAGTGAACCTAGGCGAGTGCTCTCTTCTCATAGCAATTGCTCTGATGAAGAACAAAGGTTATTAACAGAAGAAGACCATTCATATTTTGATGGTCAAAGTTACGTGGAACCAAATATTCCTTCTTTATATGGTTCCATGGTGCCTGTTCCTCAACAAATCCAACAACACCATGTTCACCCTTGGGGACAAATGTTGGATGATCATGCTCATGGATTGGCTACCGTGCGACATGAATTTGCGGAATTGTTGCGATTGGGTTCGCCAACTGTCATAGCCTATCTACTTCAATCCTCAGAACAATTTTCCACAGTTTTTAGCTTAGGCCATTTAGGAAAAGAATACTTGGCGGCATCTTCTCTTTCGACAATGACAGCTGCCATCACAGCCTTTTCCATCTTCCAAGGAATCATTTCTTCTCTAGACACTCTTGCTACACAAGCCTTTGGAGCAAACAAACCGTACAACGTTGCTACTTACTTTCAGCGCTGTTGCTTTATCCTTCTTCTTTTACATATTCCCATTGCTCTCATCTGGTTAAACCTCGAACACATCCTTGTTTTTCTTCGTCAAGATCCTAAGGTCGCGTATCTATGTGGCCGTTATATGAAAGTGTTCATCTTTGCCGCGTAAGTTCTAATTATCGTTTGTCTCAAAGATTCTTTATACTGACTTTTCTAGTCCCGCATATGCATCATTTGAAGCTATGAAGCGCTATCTTCAATCGCAAGGCATTTTTAAGCCTATTACTTGTGTCCTCTGTTTTGCTGCCCCTTTGAATGTTTTACTTAACTACCTATTGGTATGGCATCCAAAAATTGGCTTTGGGTTTCTAGGTGCTCCTACCGCCGTTGCAATCACTTTCTGGTTTCAAAGTATTTGTCTTTTGTCTTACGCTCGATTCTCGTCTTCCGTCATACCTTGGACCCACTTTTCCATGCGTGCTGTACAAAATTTAAGACCTATGTTAACACTTTCTTTTTATGGCATGTTGATGATTGTGACCGAATGGGCTGCTTATGAAATGACCAGTTTAGGTGCCGGTTATTTGGGAACAGCTTCATTGGCCTCGCAATCCGTCCTTCTCACCACCACCTCTTTGGCGTTTCAAATCCCTTTTGCTTTTGCCGTTGCCTCTTCTACTCGTGTCGGTCATCTTGTCGGTTCCGGCAGACCGAATTTGGCTCGTATATGTAGTCGAGTAGCTACTTGCCTTGCTGTCATAATTTCTATGACTGACGGTCTTTTACTATTTTGCTTCCGTAATTATTGGGGCCGTTTCTTCACTTCTGATCAACAGGTGCTCAATATAGTTCGAGATATATTCGCAATCTTGTGTATCTTTATCGTTTTCGATGCTCTCAACGCTGTCGGGGGCGGTTTACTTCGGGGTATTGGCAAGCAAAGTATTGGTGGTGCCATCAGCATCATTGTCAACTACTTCTTTGCCCTTCCCATCACTGTTATTTTTGTCGTTGTCTTACAGTTAGGTTTAAAAGGTATTTGGATGGGTATGATTGTTGCCGTTACAACTGGTATCACTTGTCAATATACCGTTCTTGGACATATTAATTGGCAAAAGATTCTTCAAGAGGCCCATTATAGAATGGCTCACGTATAAATGCTTTTCCAAAATTGGTCTACAGTCCTTTATCTTACTTCCACAGCTGAACTTTCTTTATAAATTCCCAATGTATCTTGGATTTCTGCTTTCACCCTTCTCTTTATTCGATAATTAGAATACTTTTTTCTCCGATTACCTTTCTCTCCGTTAATTAGTTCCTGGCCCGCACCATCTGTATACAGTTATATTCGCCTGTAAGTTTGGAGCCTTGAATATCAGTATTTGGTGCGACAAATTCATTTGCTCCGTTTCTCTTAATATTCTGACTAGACGGGCGATCATGCTGTACTTTCTGTAAGGCATTCTATTTTACAAATAGATTTGTAACTTATTAGAGTACTATATAGAGCGCTGTTCTTTTAGTTCGGCATAATAAATATCAATAAAAAAAGAAAAAAGAAAAATAAAATTATCTTGAAATCGCTTTGATTTTGATTTTAAATAATATTCTTAAGTTTGTCTGGAAACGCTGACGCTTTTTCTTCATGATCATTACTATGAACTCATAGTTTGTAAGTATAAAATTTCGGTGAAGTATGGATAATCCTTGCAAAATGCAGAAATACGATAGGTATGAAAATAAAACGAAATTAGTTTTACTAATAGTAGGCAAGTACGGATTTGGAAAGCAGAAGGCCAAAATGCCATTGAGCAATCACATATTTGCTTGCTAAATGCCAATACAGTGGGTTGTGAAGCACTCAAAAATACGATTCTTCCAGGTGTGGATTTCTCGTATGGTTTGTTTTTCTAACAAATTACCTAGGAATTCGTGAGTTTACTGTAATTGATGCATCTGTGGTAGATTTGAAACATGATGGATCCAACTTCTTTGTGCAGTACGATCAAGAAGGACAGAGTCGAGCTTTATGCACTGGTACCTTATTACAACAGTTGAATCCCTCGGTAGAAATGAACTATCAACAAATGGTACGGACCTTTTGGGTTGTATTTGAGAATAAAAGACTGATCATGTCCTTAGGAGCCTGAGAAACTAATTGAAGAAGATATTGAGTTTTTTTCAAGGTTTACAATCGTTTTTGCTTCGAAGCTAAAATTGAATGCTATGCTTCGACTTGAAGCTTTCTTGAGATCCAAAGGAATCCCTCTCATTTACTATAATTCTATCGGGTTCGTAGGTATAATTCGAATCTCTGTCCCCGAATATACAAGTATGTCTAATTTTAATTCGTTTTCTAACGATTTTAAAAGCCGTTCAGTCTCAATCGGAGGTCCCTTTAGATTTACGACTTCGAAATCCTTGGCCTGAACTAATAGATCATGTACGCTCCTTGAACGTTAGTCAGATGGATGGAACAAAAAGAAATGAGCTCACGTATATTGAACTTCTAATTCATTATATGCTGCAGTTTGAAGCATTGCATCACCGGAAACCAGAAAATTCAGATGACAGGAAAGTTTTACAGGGCATGATTCGAAAGGATATAAATGGACAAGCTTCTGAAAATTACGAAGAAGCGCTATCAAGCTATTGGAGAGTTTTTCAAGAGTATAAGGTAAAGCGATGTGTAAGCCAACATTCTAACAAAACAGATACCTTCTAATGTGATGGAAGTATTGCAGGATGAGAAAAGTCAATTCATTAACGAAAAGTCTACCGATTTTTGGGTAATGTGTCATTCTTTAAAATGCTTTTATGAAGAAAAAGGCACTTTACCATTGTTAGGTACACTTCCAGATATGCACTCGAACACTCAGCGTTACTTGAGTATAAAGCATTTGTAAGTTTAAGACTATTTAACTGTTTACTGACAAATGAAGGTACAACGAAAAATATCTTGTTGATTTTGCCGCTTTCAAAATATTTGTTCAACGGACATTACAGTCTCAAAACAGACATGTGGATGATATACCAGAAGTTATCATAAAAAGATTCTGCAAGAATGTTTTAAACATAAAATTCCTTCGGTACAGATCAATACAAGAGGAACTTGAGTCTCCCAAACATCTCGGTATGTAACAGCATTGTGGTTATGGAAATCTAACAAATCCTACAGATTCATTTCTTTCTGACGAAAACTCTCTTATTCCTTGGTATTTTGCATTTCGAATCTCAGAGCAACTCTTAAGTTCTCCCACACAATCATCACTAGAAAAAGAATCTCCAGTCGTTAAGTCCTTAGTGGACACTCTCTTTGAAAAGTATTCATTAAAACAAGAATATAAAAAGAAAGTTCTAAAATGCATTGATGAACTGTATGCTAAGCTATTCGAATGAAGCACTTTAACTGACTGTAAATTAGGTCTCGAGCGTCTGATTATGAAGTTCATCCAGTTTCCTCTCTAGTAGGTGGAATTGCTGCTCAAGAAGCGATTAAGGTATGTAAAGATTGCTCTCAAGTATATATTTTGAACCTAATTCTCACATCCACAGATTCTTACAAAGCACTATCTACCTCTCAATCACACTTGCATTTTTGACGGAGTCCTTAGCAAAACTGAAACATTCAATATTTAGAAACCAAGAAATAAGTAGCAGAGAATTCTATTTCATGATTCTAGCGAGAAGTAATTCTTGTACAGCATAAGTGAACCGCCTAAAGTAAAGTTCACCTTAGCTTAGCTTTATAGAAATTTAAATGCACAACCAAATGATTCCCACTCCTGATACTTCTTGCTTATCAGAAGACATATTCCAGGATGTATATGAACCTGCAGGTATTCATAGTTTCTGTTAATATTTTACTAATTTTGAATAAAGAGGATACATTTGCTTTGTTGGACGCTCTAGAGGAGGATAAAGACAAATTGTGTAATTTTGCAGATGAAAGACTACTAATTACTGCAGAAATAGGGTAAGAAAATATGTTGACACTTTGCGTTAACCGTTCGTCTTGAAAGTTGTGGATCTGGATGTGTATCGTCGTTTTTCAAAAGTGGAATATTACAAAACAGACCAACAAGTAAGAAACTTGACTATAACCGTTTTGACTAATGAACAGTACATTTTATGACAGATATTTCAAGTGCCGCTTGTAATGCAGCAGCTTATGTGGTAAATAAAAATCGAGAAGTATACAATGACAGAAGTGGCGCATTCTTAACTGCACAAACTTGCTTCTTAGAAGGATTAAGGATTAAAAAAAGCATTGATGTCTTACTTTTTAATCCTCCTTATGTTCCTACCGAATTTGAGGAAATCCCTAAAGAAGCTAACATAGCTTCCACTTGGGCAGGAGGAGCTGATGGAATGAATGTAACAAGCCAATTGTTGGAAATTTTGGATGTAAGCATATCACTTTTCTCTGTCTGCCATTTCTGACTTATTCATCTTTAGGACATACTTTCTGCAGACGGAATCTTTTATATGGTCGCCGTTGCTCGAAATAATCCAGCAAAAATCCAAAATTATATGTCTCAGTTTGGTTATAATTCAAAAGAAGTGTTGCGAAGAAAGGCAGGAAGAGAAACACTATGTGTATTGTGTTTTTCAAGGAGCAATGCTTTATTTTCTTAATATTATTATATCGGTTCTTTTAGGTCATATTTAATTTCATTCAAGAAAGCTAAGATTACAACTAATTGTATGACTTGACTTAAGTATCGATTCGTAATTTTCCTTGATGAACATGTGCACGAGCGTTAACACAAGCTGGAATCTCTTCCTCATAGTGAGAAATGATAACCATTGCTTGGGAAGGTAAAAGATTTTTATTTAACCACTTGTGAGCTTGGTGCATATATCTGATATCTACACCTTGGAAAGGCTCATCCAAAACCAAAAAACGAGGCCTTTTAATTATGGCTCTACAAAAAAGAATAAATCTTTGCATGCCTGTAGGTAATTGGGACAAAGGGATATTCTCAAAGCTGCGGAGACTCAGTTCATCTAAAAGTTTTCTAATGGCCTCTGAACGGCTCTCAGTTTCTCTTGGGAGTGTGAAGGTAGTACTCCAAGCACTTAAAAGAGTCTCTCTGCAGGTAAATTCTTTAGGAAAATGTGTGTGAACTTCAGGGGACTAGTATAATGTTAGTAAAAAGACCATTTAGGGATAACAGTAACATACACAATGACCGACGTTTTCTTGAATATCGAAGACTGAAATTCCTGTTCCTGGTCCAATAAACTTTCCAAAAAACTTTATGTCTGTAGCAAAGAGCTTTGGATGATCACCAAGGGCGAAAGCTAAGAGAGTAGTTTTTCCGCTACCATTGCTACCGCTTAAAGACCATCGTTCTCCTTCTTTAATAGTCCAATTAACGTTCTCTAAAACAGGTTTGCCCCAATACGTACAATTCAGATTGTTCATTTCAATGATCGGCTTACCAATCTTAGGAGGTTTAGTATCTTCGAGCTGAGGTTTTGTCAAAACTGCGGAATTTAAGGATGGATGATAGTGATCCTTGACTCCTTGGTAGGTTATCTCGTGGTTATTTAGCTCAACAATATGAGTCACGAAATCAGGTATTTCGTCCTGTTGTCGGAGGGAAAGAACAATTTTAGGAGAGCAAACGCTGGACATATTTCCCAAAAGATTAGAAACAATTGAACGAGAAGCAACATCTAACCCAGCTAACCTTTGTTAGTACTGAAGCAAAGGCTAAGTATGTAAACGTACCATATGGCTCATCTAGTAATAGCAATTGGGACTCTAATAATAATTTTACAGCGAGCATCGCCCTTCTCGATTGTCCATTGCTTAAATTAATCAAACTAGATTCGAGTAAATGCTCCAACCTAGTAATTGAGGCTGCATATTGAACTTTTTCCAATGCTTTTTCTTCGGGACCTCTGTATGCATCAAGTAACCATTTTTGCAAACTAATATCTTCTCGTTTATCGCGGTGCGAATGATACCTTTCTGAATAGTAAGCAGCACGCTGAAGACCCGAGCTTTGAAAATCCAAAAACTGAATCGCTTGCCAGGGACTTTTGTTAGTATCTGATAGAAATGGGTATTTAAAATTTGTAGCAGGAGAAGGTGTATACGATCCTTTTAAGCACTAAAATCAGTCAGTAAATAATACATTATCAGGAATAGTCGGGCATAAGTAACCAGCACTCTAGAAGAAAGTTATGCTTTTCAATGCATCTGTTCCAGTGAATGGAACTAAGTACAATAGTGATCGCGCACCCTTCCAAGACCATTCTTTTGAGCCTCAACTTACTTTAAGAAAAGTAGTTCTTCCACTCCCAACAGCGCCGACCACGGCCCAATTTTGATTTTTGGTTATTTCGAAGGAAATATTTTTAAAAACTGGAAACCGGCCATCCAAAAAGGTTGTTTTGGCGATTCGAACGAAAGAAGCCATACTTTCGAACGTGTACACAACTTATGATTACGGTTTTTATTGAGTGTCAATTATAAAATTTTGTTAAATTTAAAGAAGATAAAAATAATTAAGGTGTAAAACGCTATACAGTTTGATCTCTGATTTTGAGATATAAGAGGTAGTTTCGCAAAAAAATAATGGAGACAGCAGTAAATTGCATCGTACGGCAATTACAACGTGATGATCTTTCAGTGAATCTGTAAGGATTAATTAATACTTAGAGATTACTAACGATCTAGCCTCATTAAATCCATAACCGTTACGCTACCTAGACTTCGAAATCAGCGAAATGTTTACCTAGTATTTGGAAGATTACTGCATTGCGAGCCCTTTTGGAGACTGAAGGGAAATGTTCCTAATAACTTACTATCATTGATTCATGGACTCCTAGAAAACCAAACAGCTTCCCATGATCAACTTGGAAACACTAAGGTGCTGCAGCTAATGATGGAAACCCTAGAAATTATGCCAAAAGATAAAGATATCATTGCTTCAAGAAAGTTACTATTGATGGGTGCTTTGTATAGAGCCTTAAGGTCAAATCCACATTTTTACTTGATGTATGCTTTGGAGCAAAAAGTAAAAAAGGCACTTAGGAAAAGGATTCAAACTACACGTTTAAATGAAATAGAAGCTTTAGAGATTATCCAGATCTTATTTCAAAGCTTTCATTCAGACACTGGAGTGAACTGGAATTGTTTATCGCTTTTTTCACATCCTCTAGTATGTTCTTTCCTGAAGTAAAAGGATTAAATCACTGACTGCTTATAGGAATGGTATTCATTAACTTGGAATGCTCTATCTTTTGCTTTTTCGGACAATGCTGAAAATGCAGTTTTGCCGGCAATTGTGCTATCTCGTTTAATTAGTCACTTTTCGCATAGAACGTTAGAAGACTTGTTGGAACGGTAAGCATCATTTATCCTGTCGTATTCATTAACTTTTTTTCTCAGACTGATCCATTTAGCTGGTCAATTAAGGAAGATCCCAAATGCGCTGTCTTCGGTTTCTCAAACAAGATCCAACTTTTATATCTTTGTTATTTTTCTAGATGCAATTAGCCAAAAACAGTACGCAAAAGTTGGCTTTACCAACAGAGATCAGAAAACTTGCCTACAGACGCTTCGTGTGTTAAGTGAATTAGAATGGGGATATAAATCTATATCTTCGTCCTGGTCCACTTTGGATTTTATTTTTGTAGTTGTTTTGACCAGGGGTAAAAATATGATTGCTCCATATATAGAATCCGTGGGCCATGCAATTCATCGTTTTAAGTCAGAAAGGAAAGAGTTGAAGAATACTTTGCTTTCAGGTATCCCACTTTCATACGCTTTGCTTCTGATCAAGCAGATGCTAAAATTAGAAATCCAACAGCAAGTTTCATCCAACTATGACTCTCAAGTTATTCCTTTTACGAGCTCAACTATGGAACAGTTTGCAAGCATTTCAAATTCTTGCTTGTTTTTGTTCCACTTCTTAAGACAGGATTCTCAAAAATCCCCTTGGAAGCAGTACATGCTACAACTGAGTCTATACAATTTCTTATTCGCAGATCTTTTCTCTAAATATTCTTCAGAATCTCCAGCTATTACTGAAAAAGAAACGATCATGATACATCTTGATTGCATTTTCAATTTCGCCCTTCTACCGGTTTTTGAAAATGATTTACGGGACATTTTATGCTCAAGATTGCAATTGTATGAAGAATCTGCCAAAGAACTTTTTCTGGCGAGTCTTTTTTCTATTATCAAGAATAATATTGTTGCTAATTTGGATAACTCATGTCTCCTTTTCAAGGCATCCATAGGCCTGCTACCATTCCTGACTGAATTACAACAACGTGTATATCTCGAGCAATCGCAACTTACAGTCGATACCTTCCCAAAGGATTACCAAAATACCATAATTCTTCTTGTTACCAATCAGCTCTCTACCCTTCCATATTCATCTGCCTCATCTTTACTTGCTTACTGGGCTTCTTTATTGATTCCTGCTGCTCGATAATAAGATATCGTTACAGCTCGTTATTTGATTTAAGGGTATACACCGTAGTACCAAAAATCAATAGGTACAGGAATTCAGACGAATACTCATCTTTAGCACATTTCTATAGCAAAATGTTTATGACTAGATCAGGTATGAAATCCAACTAAACTAAGGCTAATATCTTAGAATACGATAGAGGTGTGAATACGTTTTCACCTGAAGGACGATTGTTCCAAGTAGAATATGCGATTGAAGCCATTAAGTTGGGATCAACTGCGATTGGGGTGAAAACAAAAGAGGGAGTTGTGTTGGGCGTTGAAAAGAGACTTAGTAGTCCTCTAATGGAGTCATACTCTGTGGAAAAGTTGTTTGAGATCGACACGAACATTGGTTGCGCTATTTCTGGTCTTACAGCAGACGCACGCACGATTATAGATCATGCTAGGGTGCAAGCACAAAATCATCGCTTCACTTATGATGAACCTCAAGGAGTGGAAAGCATTACACAGTCTGTTTGTGATTTGGCTCTTCGTTTTGGTGAAGGAGAAGAAGATGAGGAACGCATTATGTCTCGTCCTTTTGGTGTGGCTCTTTTGTTGGCTGGTATTGATGAGCATGGTCCTCAACTTTATCACTCAGAACCTTCTGGTACCTATTTCCGTTATGAAGCCAAAGCGATTGGCTCGGGCAGTGAACCAGCAAAGACCGAATTGGTCAAAGAATACCACAAAGACATGACTCTTCAAGAAGCAGAAGTATTGATTCTTAAAGTCCTTCGCCAAGTCATGGAAGAGAAGTTAAACTCGAAAAACGTACAACTTGCGAGTGTTACTTCCGACAAGGGATTCCACATTTATACCGATGATGAAATGGCTGACGCTGTTCGTCGTGAAGAGCACAGATCAGATTAAGGTATCTATATTTTTTACTATACTGTCTACGAGCCTTATATACGACTAGAGTTGCATTCCTTTTCCTTTTTCATGCTCCAATGAACGGTTTTACGAAAAATAGCTATCTTTCTATAGGTGATCATCCGCGAGAAGAAGCCGGTGATTATAAAGAAGAATATAAGAGATGACAGATGCAATTAGAATGTAAATGATATCTATAAAGATAGTGATTTGTAAATACTTTGGCTGTAGGATTGTCATTCATAACAAGGTACACCAGATTCAATAGAAATGAAATTTATATTAAGTGATTATTTCTAGTGAGAACAATATCAGGTACTTTCGTTCCTATAAATATATGAGATTGGCTATATACTGTAAAATGCGATCCCTCTAATAATTTTTCCATTTACCTCATCATATCCGGCAATTCTACAAAGATTGCATCAGGCAAAGTTGGTATTTAAGTATTTGCTGTATCAAACTGAAAACAGAAGAAAAGTTAAGAAAAAGATCTGCTTATGCTTTTACGCAGACAATTTCAAACGGCGTTTGCTCCTGTCCAGTTAAGTCATCTTTACCTAGTGACTAGACAGCAATTTCGAAGCTTAAGAAATGTTCAGGTTTGTTTCAAGTCTACCTTTACGGGAGCTAGTATAAAGTATTTACCTCCAAGAGTCACACCAGTATACCAAGGTACGAATGCCAATGACATATAAACTAGCTTACAGTATGACTAACATTGCGGTTCTCATTAGACTGCAGATCTCCTCAATCTATAGGAGGGAAAGCAAATTTAAAACAATTACAATGGCCGCAACCACCCAGAAATGTTTTGATCTTGAAGAAAACAATGGACCTAAAAGTCAATGAGTGCTTTACGAGATTGGTCGAGCATCTACAGAAAGTTTATCCTGAGATTTCTTTAATTGTTGATAAAGAAGCTGCGAAAGCTTTTCCACAGTATGGATTGTATACCTGGGAAGATACGGAGGATTTGGAGAAGAAGGTAGATATCGTGCTTACAGTAGGCGGAGATGGTACTATTCTACATGCAGCCTCTTTGTTTGCAAAATCAGGCATGCCACCCGTTTTATCATTTTCCCTAGGGACTTTGGGATTTCTTCTGCCGTTTGATATTTCGGATTTTCAGACGGCATTTGCAGATATGTATGAGTCACGCTCTTATGTACTAATGCGAATGCGCTTATCTTTGACTATGAAAAGAAAAACCCATGATGAGACTACTTTTATCATGAATGAGATGCATATCCATAGAGGTCTCTCTCCTCATATGGCTGTCCTGAAAGTATTCATCAACGATCGTTTTCTAACTGAAGCAATTGCTGATGGAATAATCATATCTACTCCTACTGGATCAACTGCATATTCTCTATCTTCTGGTGGACCTATTGTGCATCCATCCATAAATGCTCTCTTGCTTACACCCATTTGTCCCAGCTCTCTTTCCTTTCGACCTGTTTTATTCCCTGATTCTTTTACTATTAGTGTGGAAACTTCTGAAAAATCTCGTGTCCGGCCTCAGCTTTCGGTTGATGGTCGCTTGCTTGGGTTGACGGATATCGGACAGCGTATTCATATTTACAGTAAAAAAGATAATGGAATCCCTTGTGTTATTCGTAGTCATAAAGAAGACGATTGGATGACTGACATCGTTGGACTCCTTCGCTGGAACCACCCTTTTGATCGTAAAGGATGGTAAGGAATTTTTCGGCTAAAAGATGAAAACAGCGGTTTTTTGGTTTTACATAAAAAAAAGGAGACAGAAAAGAAATTTATTCAATTTTTCTTTATAATATCATGCTCCTTCCTTTCTTGGGTTTATTTATCATGATGTTTTAGAATTATCGTTGACCTTGTGTTTTTATTTATAAATGGAATCATAATAATAAAGAATACTATAACAATTGGAATCTGATTTGTTTTTCATTCTGTTTGAAGTCATTCACAAATCCGTATTTCTTATTATACTTGTATATATCGCAAAGTAAACACATGAATAATTTCAGGTGAGCATTAAGTTAGATAGAGCTGTGTATATCTTTTTCTGTTATAATTGTTATGATTTTTGTCGCATCTTTAAGCAGCTTATTATATTTAGATTTTTCTGAAGGCTTTTTGTCACGTATCTTCGTAAACAAACTAAATGAAAACTTACTTTCAGAGATGAAAAAACTACACATTATATCTCCAACCGAATTTTCAATTGAAGCAAAAAGCGCATCTTTGAACGGTTGTTTCTACTTTTACTTTTACTTTTACCTTTTGTTTATTTTTATTAAATTGACCCGACTTTTGTTTAATTTGTCACCCACAGGAAGTAGCAGCACTGAAAATCACCTCGAATCTTCTTTTATAGAAGGCCCCACAATAGCGAGAAGAGCGATGGCAATTAAGGAGGGACAGAAAGATACATGGAAATCATCAAAAAATTACTCAGAGAATATAATTTACATATTTCATATTTTTAAATAGAAAGGTCCTTTTGCTTTATTCGGTTCCTAGTGATTGGGTAGCATGTGACCTATCCGTGTGGAAATAGCTTTGAACGCGTCCGCCTCGACTTATCCATTCCCAACAACAAGATTTGGTCTGGGAAACTGTTCCAGAAAAACCTTATCTTTTACCTGTATTATATATATATAAACAGTTTCTTAACTGGTATAAATTCGTGCAATCTTTGACATCTTTCCCGTTTTTGACGCGTATTAACGGTGTAAAGACTGTACTGAAGAAGAAATCAATTCAAAAGGACGAGTTTTGATCAAGAAACGAGTTCTCGTTGATTTATCTTTAGAACAAAGAGCCATACTAGGAAAACTTTCCTTTTTCTAGGACTGTTGCATTTATCTTTTAGAGATACCGCAATTCGTTCAGGGTATAATTCATACATCGTCTTTTCTGACTAAGCTTTTGCGGAATTACCCTGCATTATAATTACTCCTCATTTTCAAATCACGATCTTTACGTTCATCTAGTTTTATTGTATAATCATGGTTGAGACTGGTTATGCATCTCCTCACGTTCATCAATCGGTGAGATCGTTGGCTTTGACTTATGCCCATCTTTGTCCATCTATTTTAATTCCTTCTTCACAATACCTTTTGGCTGCTCAAATACGTGATGAGTTTCAAGCTAAATATGTAGCTCCATCTGCTGATGCTGTCGAAAAAGAAGGAGCTGAATTAGAATTTGAACATGAGCTTCATTTAGTCGCCCGTTTTCTGGGTTTGGTCGCATCAAAAGAAGAAAAAAGCTCGGGTCAGTATAACCAACTTTTGAATACCATTACCCTTGAGTTTGAACGTACGTTCTTAGCAGGAAACGAAGTCCATGCTGTTGTCCATAATGTGGGCTTGAGTGTTCCAGCGCAAAAAGATGTCGTTTGCCATTACTATCGTTCTAGAGCTTTAACTGGAAGAGGCATGAAATTCCACGGTTCCGCTATGTTGAATGACCCTTCAGTCAAGTTGGCTGCCATTTTTGGAGGCCAAGGATATGAAGACTACTTTGATGAATTAGCCGAGCTTTATGAAGTCTATGCTCCATTTGCTTCGGAACTTGTGCAAACTCTCTCTAAATTCCTTTTTTCTCTTGTACAAAATGAACAAGCATCTAAAGTGTACTCTAAAGGACTCAATGTACTTGATTGGCTCGCTGGCGAGCGACCAGAGCGTGATTATTTAGTTACTGCTCCTGTCTCCCTTCCTTTGGTAGGTCTTACTCAGCTTGTCCAATTCTATGTCACTGCTCAAATTTTGGGTCTTAATCCCGGTGAACTCGCTTCTCGTTTTACCGCTGCTACTGGTCATTCCCAAGGTGTCATCGTTGCGGCTGCTGTTTCCGCTTCTACTGATGACGAGTCTTTCATTGAAAATGCAAAGGTAGCTTTAACTACTCTTTTCTGGATTGGCGTTCGCTCCCAACAAGTCTTTCCTACCACCACTCTTCCTCCTTCCGTAGTTGCAGATTCTGTCGCCAACTCCGAGGGTAATCCTTCTCCCATGTTGGCTGTTCGTGATCTTCCTTTAGAAATTTTGAATAAGCACATTAAAATTACGAATACCCATCTTCCAGAAGATAGAAGAGTTTTCCTCAGCCTTGTTAATGGTCCTAAAAGCTTTGTTGTCAGCGGTCCCGCTCGTTCTCTATATGGTTTAAATCTTTCCCTTCGTAAAGAAAAGGCAGATGGTCAAAACCAAGCTCGTATACCCCACTCTAAAAGAAAACTGCGCTTTGTTAATCGTTTCCTTAGCATCTCTGTTCCTTTCCATAATGCATACCTTGCCCCTACTCGCTCTTTACTTGAAAAAGATTTGAAGGGTATGGAATTATCTCCTCTTAGATTTCCTGTATATTCTACCGATGATGCTAGTGACCTCCGTTCTGAACATCCATCTAACTTGCTTATGGCCCTTTCTGTAATGATTACCGAGAAAGTTGTTCATTGGGAGCAAGCTTGTAGTTTCCCAGAGGCTACCCATATCGTTGACTTCGGTCCTGGTGGCGTTTCTGGTGTCGGCTCTTTTACCCGTGCTAACAAAGATGGTCAGGGTATCCGTGTCATTGTTGCTGATGCTTTCGATGCCTTGGATCTTGGCTCCAAGACTGAGTTATTTGACCGTGAGATCAAGTCTGTAAAGTTTGCCCCTAACTGGGTAGATCTCTACAAGCCTAAACTTATAAAGAATAAGCTTGGTCGTGTATATGTTGAAACTAGACTTTCAAAAATGCTTGGCTTGCCTCCTCTATGGGTTGCTGGTATGACTCCCACTAGTGTTCCCTGGGATTTTTGCTCTGCCATCGCTAAAGCAGGTTACGCTTGTGAACTCGCTGGTGGTGGTTACTTTGATCCTAGAATGATGCGTGATGCTATTCATAAACTCTCCTTGAACATCCCTCCCGGTGCAGGAATTTGTATCAATGTTATTTACATCAACCCTCGTAGTTTTGCATGGCAAATTCCCTTGATTCGCGAAATGGTTGCTGAGGGTTACCCCATTCGCGGTGTTACTATTGCTGCAGGTATCCCTTCTTTGGAAGTAGCTAATGAATTGATTGAAACCTTAGGTGTTGAATATATCGGTTTGAAGCCTGGATCCGTCGAATCTATTAATGCTGTTATAAACATCGCAAAGGCTAATCCTACCTTCCCTATTGTTATGCAATGGACTGGTGGTCGTGCCGGTGGACACCACTCTTTCGAGGATTTCCATGCTCCTATCTTACAAACTTATTCTGCTGTCCGCCGCTGTGACAACATCGTCCTTGTTGCCGGTAGTGGTTTCGGTGGAGCTGATGATACTGAACCTTACTTGACCGGTGAATGGAGCACCGCATTCAAGCTTCCTGCTATGCCATTTGACGGTATAGTATTCGGTTCGCGTCTCATGGTTGCTAAGGAAGCTCATACTTCTTTCAGTGCCAAAGAAGCAATCGTTGCTGCACCCGGTGTTACTGATGCTGAATGGGAAAAAACATATGATGGCCCTGCTGGTGGCGTTGTTACAGTTATGTCTGAGTTAGGTGAGCCAATTCACAAGTTGGCTACTCGTGGTATAATGTTATGGAAAGAGCTTGACGATACCATTTTTGCTCTACCTCGTCCCAAGCGTGTTCCTGCTTTGCTTGCAAAGAAGCAGTACATTATTAAGCGTTTGAACGATGATTTTCAAAAGGTTTATTTCCCTGCTCGAATTGTTAGACAATTGTCCCCTGAGAAGCTTCAATTTGAAGCAGTTGATGGTGTTGAAGAAATGACTTATGCTGAAGTTTTATACCGTACCATCGACTTGTTATACGTTACAAAAGAGAAGAGATGGATTGATGTTTCGTTGCGTACCTTTACCGGTAACTTGATGCGTCGTATTGAAGAGCGTTTCACCAAGGAACTCGGCAAGCATACCCTTATCGAAAACTTCGAAGATTTGAATTGCCCATACCCCGTGGCTGCTCGTTTCCTTGAAGCATATCCTGAAGCTAATCAACAAATCTTGAATACCCAAGATGTCCAGTTCTTCTTCTCTTTATGTTCTAACCCTTTCCAGAAGCCTGTTCCTTTCATTCCTGCCATTGACGATACTTTCGAGTACTACTTCAAGAAGGATTCTCTTTGGCAAAGTGAAGACCTTGGGGCTGTTGTTGGTGAGGACGTTGGACGTGTTGCTATTCTTCAAGGACCTATGGCCGTTAGGCATTCTACGAAGGTTAATGAACCTGCTAAAGAGCTCCTTGATGGCATCCATGAAGCTCACATCAAGCATTTTGTTGATAATTATTATAATGGAGATGTTAACAAGGTTCCCACTGTTGAATATTTCGGTGGCGTGAAACCTGTTAACTTACCTCCTTCCGCCGTGGATTCCGTTTCTGTCACAAAGAACGCTGATGAGGAAATTTATGTTATACCGGAAGCCGGATCCCTTCCTTCTGCAAAGGCTTGGTTTGAACTCTTAGCAGGCAAAGAAGTTTCTTGGCGTAGAGCTATCTTCACTACTCAGCGAGTTGCCCAAGGTTGGAAACTTGAACAGAATCCTGTACGCAGAATCCTTGCACCTCGTTATGGCCAGCGTGTTGTTGTTAAGGGTCATGGAAACGATGCGGTCCTCGAAATGTTTGAGCTCCAATGTGGTGAGCATGTGCTTGCTGTTCGTCTTAGTTATAGCAATGACACCATCACGGTGTCTATGTTTGAAAATCGCAATGCCCTTAAAAAGAATGTAAATCTTGACTTCTTGTTTAAGTATGATCCTTCTGTCGGCTATGCGCCTGTTGCAGAAATCATTGAAGGCAGAAATGACCGTATCAAGCATTTCTACTGGCAATTATGGTTCGGCGATGAGCCATACCCTGAAAGAGCTTCAATCACTGACACATTTACTGGTCCCGAAACCGTAATCACGGCTAATATGATTGAAGATTTCTGTAGAACTGTTGGAAATCATAATGAAGCTTATACTAACAGAGCTAACAGTAAGCGTATGGCTCCTATGGATTTCGCTATTGTTGTTGGCTGGCAAGCCATTACCAAGGCTATTTTCCCTAAGGCAATTGACGGTGATCTTCTACGTCTTGTTCATTTATCCAACTCTTTCCGTATGGTTGGAACTCCTTTGGTCGAGGGTGATAAGGTCACTACCGCTGCAACAATCACCGGTATTGTTAACAATGATTCCGGTAAAACTGTCACTGTTAAGGGCGTTGTATACCGTGACAACAAGGAAGTTATTGAGGTCATTAGTCGCTTCTTATATCGTGGTAACTTCACCGACTTTGAGAATACCTTCGAACATACTCAAGAGACACCTATGCAACTCACTTTGGCTACTCCTAAGGATGTTGCTGTACTACAATCTAAGAGCTGGTTCCAATTATTGGATCCCAGCCAAGATTTGTCTGGTTCTGTACTCACTTTCCGTCTTAACTCCTACGTTCGTTTTAAGAATCAATCTGTTAAGAGCTCTGTACAAACTAAAGGTATCGTATTATCTGAATTGCCTTCTAAGGCTATTATCCAGATTGCTTCCGTTGATTTCCAATCTGTTGATTGCCATGGCAATCCAGTTATAGATTTCCTTAACCGAAATGCAAAACCCATTGAGCAACCCCTGGAATTTGAAAGTGGTGGCTACAGCGTCATACAAACAACTGATGAAGGTTACTCACCTGTTTTTGTTACCCCTCCTACTAACTCTCCCTATGCTGAAGTTTCCGGTGATTATAATCCTATCCACGTTTCTCCTATTTTCGCTGCCTTTGTCGAGCTCCCTGGTACTTATGGAATTACACATGGTATGTACAGCTCCGCAGCTACTCGTAAGTTTGTTGAAACTTTCGCCGCAGAGAACGTTCCTGAGAGAGTTAAGCATTATGAGGTTACTTTCGTTAATATGGTCCTTCCCAACTCTGAGCTTATTACTAAGCTTTCTCATACCGGTATGATTAATGGTCGTAAAATCATTAAGGTTGAAGTTTTGAACAAGGAAACAGAAGAAGCTGTTCTTGTTGGTACTGCTGAGGTGGAGCAACCAGTGTCTGCCTATATATTCACAGGCCAGGGCTCTCAAGAACAAGGAATGGGTATGGACTTGTATGCTACAAGCCCAGTTGCCAAGAAAATCTGGGATAGCGCTGACAAGCATTTCTTGTCTCACTACGGATTCTCTATCATTGACATTGTTAAGAACAACCCTAAGGGTATTACAATCCACTTTGGCGGTACTAAGGGTAAACAAATCCGTAGTAATTACATGGCTATGGCTTACGAAAAAATTAATGATGATGGCTCTACTTCCGTTGTTCCTGTATTTAACACCATTACTGAGGAGTCTACTTCCTTTACATTCACACATCCTTCCGGATTGTTGTCGGCTACTCAATTCACTCAACCTGCTTTGACCTTAATGGAGAAGGCCGCCTTCGAGGACATGCGTGCTAAGGGATTAGCTCAACAGGATTGTGCTTTTGCCGGTCACTCTCTTGGTGAGTATTCTGCGTTGTCCGCAATGGCTGATGTTCTTTCTATTGAAGCCTTGGTTGACTTGGTGTTCCTTCGTGGCTTGACTATGCAAAACGCAGTCCGTCGTGATGAATTAGGACGCTCTGAATATGGTATGGTTGCTGCCAATCCTTCTCGTGTTTCCCCAACATTTACTGATGCTGCATTGCGTTTCATCGTTGATCATATTGGTCAGCAAACTAACTTATTGCTTGAAATTGTTAACTACAATGTTGAGAACCAACAATACGTTGTTAGTGGAAACCTTATGAGCTTGTGTACCTTAGGCCATGTCTTAAACTTCCTAAAGGTTCAGAAGATTGACTTCCAAAAATTGATTGAAACTCTTACAATGGATCAATTGAAAGAGCAATTATCAGAGATTGTTGAGGGTTGTCATGAGAAGACTTTGAAGCAGAAGGAAGAACAAGGCCATCTAGAGTTAGAACGTGGATTTGCTACTATTCCTCTTAAGATTGATGTTCCTTTCCACTCTTCCTTCTTACGTGGAGGTGTACGTATGTTCCGTGAATACTTGCTTAGGAAGATTTCACCTCATCAAATTAATGTTGCCAAGTTACGCGGAAAGTACATTCCCAACTTAACTGCTAAGCCATTTGAAATCAGCAAAGAGTACTTCCAGAATGTTTATGAATTAACGGGATCCCAACGCATTAAGAAGATTCTTCAAAACTGGGATCAATACAATTCATAGAGATGTTTTGTAATCTTTTGCTACTTATGGCAGGAGTGGTTTAAAAAGTACTTAATTTACTCACTTATTTTGATATATAGTCTTCGTTTAATAAGGAGTGTATTGTTATCTCTAACAATGCGCTTAGATTTACTTTTTTCATTTATGGTACTTAAGTAAAATTGGTTATCTCCAGTCTCTACGTGAAGCGGTGGTTTATGATTTACTTGAATAAGATAATTTTAATAGAAGAATTGAAGTTGTGTGGTATTGCAGCTTAATTTCAATCATATATTTGTCCTTCATTAAATTACTACTGCAAGCATTTTTTATTTTCAAATTCTCATGGATATGTGTAAAATGTTCAGAGAATCATAGTGCAATGTAGCGTGTCTCGGTATGTAAGTTACTGTGGCACAATTATTTTCGACATTCCTAAAGTGAAAACAAGTACAACTTGAAGACCTGTCCTTTACCAATGCTTCGTCAAGTGTAAGTTAGATAAAATTTCAGTAAATTGGTATACTAACGAGAATAGAAAGCCTAAAAATGCACGCACTAAGCGTGTAATGGATAAACGCGAGCCGAAAGTCGTAGAAGGAGCGAAAATTGCTCTTTTCTTAAGAGGAAACGCGACTTCGCAGCTTGTTGTTGATGCTTTACATGACTTGTACGCTTTAAAAAAGCCTTTTGCTGTTAATTTTCAAAAGAAAAATCCCATTCTTCCTTTTGAGGATAGCTCTTCACTAGAGTTCTTTTCTGAGAAAAACGATGCCGGTTTGGCTGTTTGTGCTACTCATAACAAAAAGAGACCCCATAATTTGGCTTGGATTCGCTTTTTTGATTATCATGTGCTGGATATGATTGAACTGGGCATAGTAGACTATAAACCAATTTCTTCTTTTCATACTGTGCCTATTGTGCCCGGTACAAAGCCGATGATGCTTTTCCAAGGGCCTTCTTTTGATTCTCATCCCGTTTTTCGTCATGTTAAGTCTTTATTTTTGGACTTTTTCCGAGGCGAACCCATCCAAAAGTTGGATTCTGCAGGTTTGTCTTATGTAATTGTTGTTTCTGCCGGTGAAGCCAGCGACGACGAGACGCAAGCTTTACCGAAAGTGAATTTCCGGGTGTATTCCACAAAATTGTTAAAGTCAAACACGAATCTTCCTCGTGTTGAATTGGAGGAAATGGGACCTCGACTCGACTTTAGTATTCGCCGTGTTCAAGCTGCTCAAGCAGATGTCTTAGGTGAAGCGTTGAAGAAACCCAAGACCCAAGAACCAAAGACTAAAAAGAATGTGGATGTTGACTTGGTCGGCAACAAGGTTGGCCGCGTTCACGTGGATCAGCAAGATCTTAGCAACTTGCAAACTCGCAAGATGAAGGGTTTGAAGCGTTCTGCTGCCGAAGAAGAAGAGGAGGAAGAAGAATCGGAAGTCGAAGACGAAGATGTTGTTTCCGACGTTGAGTAAGCAAAAAAGCCAATGTTTGCTTCAGCCTTGGAAAATCCATACGGATACAATATTTTGTTTTTGGAAAGGCATTTTGGAAATTCATGGTTTTCTTTTTGAATTTGGTTCCTGGTTTATATAAAGGTAATTTAACGGTCAGTTTCTTTGATTTTGGGAAGCAGTCTAAAATTTAGATATAAATATTTGTCTGTCTCTATGGTTTCTATAGGAAGTTTTAATAAATTTTAATTTACATTTAGAAATACTCGAGTTCTAATAGAAAGTACTGGAGTCTCTAGTAACCAGATCTTTTAGTCGTTTTAAGCAAGTTGCACTATTCCAAACGGAATACGTTCAGCGTGTTGCTTAGGGCATTTGGATGTATTTCTTTAATATTTTAAGGTGTTGAACAGACCTCAGAATGGTAGTAAGGAGTTACTGACTTCTTACGAATTTCTTTTCTGGCCTAGCAAAAGAGAGGAAATCGAAGGAAATTGAATGAAAATAAAAGAATCTAGTAAAGATATTAAGTCAGAAACCCCAACTTGGTATGACGGGTCTCTTGTGAATATGCTAACGAACATCTACTACCTTAAACATACTTCAGGTCAAAAAACAAAAATGCAATTGAATACTTCGAGAGACGTTAACCCAGCATCAGTAGAGCGTCTCAAAAGTGACGCTAAATTAATGGTAGTCATTAAAGCTGTGGACATGGTAAACAAAGAATTTGATTAGATTTGTAAAGCAAAGGTGCTAATGCCAAGTGATTAGGAGGAAGAAATGCAACAAGATGCAGTACATACAGGTAAAGGAGAGAAGCTTAAGAAAGAAACTAATGGACATTTAAATAGCTGTGCAAGCGATGGAGAAATTTACTGTTGAAAAGGTAACACGATATTTAGAAAGAAAAACCAGCTGGCGGCGGAAAGAAACTAATAGAGTTTGTTTAGGACGTTGCTGCGTTTGTAAAAAGAGAGTTCGACAAAAAGTACTCTCCTACTTGGCATTGTATCGTTGGTCGAAACTTTGGTTCCTATGTGACACATGGTAAGAAGATCTCTTGTTGCTGAATTCCTTGATGGTAGCGTCCAAGCTAACAACATTCAGAATCCCATAGATTTATATATTTTTATTTGGGAACGATTGCGTTTCTGCTATTTAAGTCTGGTTGAACAAAAAGAGTTTCGTCGTGGGTCGGCATTATGGGTCCTTATTTATTTTAATTTGGATAGTTTCTACTGTATTCTATGCAATCTGAAATTCCTAGAAAAAAAAGTATTTCTCTACTATGAGTGTTTTCACTTATTTAATTTCTAGAAAGAAACCTTATCCATATGTTTCTAGTGCTACTTATGCCGCCGAATTTACCAATTGTTTGGGAATTGAAGGGTTTCGTAATGGAATAGGTATCTGCTGCTGAATGTCAGGACCAAGTTGTCTATTTGGCAAAATCTCTGCATTTGTCTTAATCTTATTCAGGCTGTTGATACTGGTTATAAGATTCCTAAGCAACAGGAGATTGCAAAATTCTTCCATTGGTTTGCTCGCTGGATATCTTGCAGGAAGTGAAACTTTTGTGAGAGAATCGTTAAAAACTTCCAAATCTATTACTTTGATGTCTGCCTATCAGTGGATTCGTTTTGTAAATAAAAAAAAAAGAATTTGAAAAGGCTCTTATTTTATTCGTTTGTGAAAACCTCACATAATTGTAACTCATGTTTTAAAACTGCAATAGAAAGGTCCGATACTGTCCAAGAAAGAGGAGACCACAGCTGAATCAAAACCATAAACCCAATTGAATGCTAAAACTGCAAAATTCGATTCTATCGTCTAACCCACTAATAGGCTCGATTCCATTCCAGTCTTTGTCGACGCCATTCTTGAACATCATCCACTCGACTCGTAAAACCTTTTGAAATAATTTCGTGTTCTTATTCAATATTCAAGCTTTTAGACATGTTCTTTTCATTGATTCAAATCTCATTTTACTTGCACACACTCATACCTAGTAGCAAGCCTCTTTCACAGCTATCCGCTCCTTACCTCTTCATCTCTTCACTGCCATTTCGAACCGCCAAAAACCCTTGCATTCGTAGCATTATTAATATTGTATACCTATATGTTTATAACATTTTATATTTGTTTCGCCGAAGTTAGCCAGAAGTGAATTGAACCAACGCGACTACGATCTTATCTCATTCCTGGTTTATGGTACAGAAGCCACCCGTACTGTCTTTGCACAGTAATTAACCTAAACTACTGCCATTTACTAAAAAAGACGTTTTCTTTTTTTATATAGAGCAATTGTTTGCTCAATTTCTCTCTTTTCACCAACACAAAGCCACATTGCACCACTTCTTACAGGCTTTACAAAGTACGAAATCAATTTGAGGCAGATTTCGTTCCCTGAACATTTCTTTTGTATGTTTTCACATCGTCTGTCATTAATTTCTGTAACCTAGCTCACAGATATCCTGGCTTCAAATTTGTTCGTTACTTACTTCATACGCAAAGAGTCATTTTTCTGCTTAAGATGGGAATTAGTATTGACGGAGAAAAATATATCCGTAATCTAGCTTCTTATATCTATACTCACGAAAAACGTTTAGCAAATGCTTCCAGCCAATTTACCAGTACTTCAATTTTCAGCAGCCAGCCAGTTCGATTGCATCTCACCCTCCACCATTTATACTTCTTATTGACTCAATTTGAGGAAATCAATGTGAATACGGGCCCTCTTAATATCCGTATTGAGAATCTGCATTCCGAGGCATTTCCAAGCGACTACACTTCTTTCCTCAGAAATCGAGCATCTAGAAAAGTAGACTTTGATGATAATATGAGCATGAAGAGCGTCGCCACCATTGGTAGTATGCTTTCTCAGGTGTCTTCCATGTGGAGCCGGTTCTCAACTGCTTCAAACGAGTTCACGGAGCATAGAAACAGGCTAAAGTTACTTTCTTTGCTGCGCTATATTTATTCTTCTTTTACCAAACTCCCCTTTTTAAGCCTTGTCCATAACCCGAAAGCAATTCTAATCTCTCAGTTTGAAGAGTTTCCTCTAGATACTGCAGTGCCCATCACGGTATTTAAGAACCTATCTTCTTTGGAAGTTCGCGGTTACGATGTAAGATCCATCTTTGGATGGAATTGTCTTTCAATAGGTTTGAAAAGCTTAATTCTGCATCATTGTGATCTGGTGGATTTGTCCGAGGTGTTTATCAAGTTGGTCCTTGATGATTCTGATCTATACCGGTTTCGTTCATCTAGACAACAGCAATTCGGTCAATCCTCCTCTACTGTCAATCAAACTCGTTCTCCAACAATGTCGATGAATCTCCGGCGCTCTGTCTCGCTTGGGTCAAAAGATCAATCAAGTCCACAGCATTCAAATAATTTCCACCGCACCCTGTCTCAGTCTGTATTAGTTTTGTCAAAAGAAGGCGTTGATTCTTCTAATCTTAGTGTCAAAAGTAATGAGCAGTTATCCGACGCCCAAAGTGTATTGTCATCCCATGCTTGGAGCCAACTCCTATATTTTCGCTGCTCTAATTGCAACCTTAAGTATATATCCGAAAATACATTTCTACCTCTTGTCTCCCTTTTATCTTTGGACTTAAGCGGTAATCAGCTTACCGAAATTCCCTCTGCTTTGGCTGAACTGCCGCAGTTACGCTCTTTAAACTTGGCTTCCAATAAACTCGATAATTGTCGTACTTTCTATCATATAGAAATACCTAATCTACAAAATCTTGTCCTTGCGTGTAATCAATTGAAGGATCTGTCGGGTTTGGAAGCTGTTCCTTCTCTGGAAAGATTCGATGTTCGGGATAATTTGATTGTTGATCCAGTTGAATTCCGTCGCCTCATTGGAAATACAAATTTTGAAGAAGCATATATAGCTTCAAATCCATTTATAAAGACTCATTCCTCACATCGAATTATGATTTTCAATTATTTTCGAGAGTTTCCGGGGTCTAAAGATATTTTGCTTGATGGACGAGGACCTAGCATGCTTGAGAGAATATATTTATCTGAGAAGGCAACCCCAAGTACGAGCCAAGGTGGCCAGCCCTCAGGAGGGAGCGATACAAATGCCGTCATTCATCCTACAAAGTCTACTTTGAAGAAAACAAGCAAAACAAGGATTGTTGATTTGTCGTTACCCCCTGCCAACGTTTCTCTTGCACGTCCAGAAAGTGATATTATATCTACTCAATCGGGATCCTCCATTACTAAACCTGGAACCTCAGAATCTAGCCATGATGCTGGAGAATTATTTCGAAAAAAGATTGAAGCTTTGCGTCAGGAGGCAGGTAATGAGTGGATAGAAGCTTTAGTACAAGAAAGCTTGACGAGACACAAAAATCATACAGAGCAAAGCTTGAAATAAATCGTATCCTTCATGTTACTTATGCTCATGGATAATGCCACTTAATCTACGATTCTAATTTCTCTTATGGACATGATGTATTGGTTTTTTTTTATTTATGATAATTTTTACTTTTATTTATAGTATCCTTCTGAAATGTACATAAGGTTTCTTCTTTTTTTTCGAGTTTATTTAAGTTTCATTATATTGCTGGATATACTAATCCCGGACGTTACAAGTTATTTTTAGGTGTGGTTCAATCGGTTCCTGACATTGTTAATTGAAACTGAGGTTGACTATGCGGCTTCCTATCACCAATTTTGTTTATAGAAACGACGTCCCCGTAATACTTGGCAAGGAAATTTATCACACTTCTGTATACTCGAAAAAAGACTCGTCTGTTCTCTTTAGAAACAATACGTGGTTTTCATCGCATAATGTGTTGCAAGCACAATTTGCTCTGCTTTTGAAACCATTGTTATGGCATCTCTGTGAAAGAATGCTGTTAAATTTTTCCTTGCTCTTTTCCTTAGTCCCCGCTGATCTCCTTTATTTTTGTTGAGTGTATTTGAGTTTAATCCAGTTTGTTGTTTGAAGTTATGGACATGAAGAAGGCAAGATCTGCCTTCCTGTTAATCTAAACCATTGAAGAAATACGTTTTATTTGAAAGTATTCCCTCAATAGTTACGAGCTTGTGCATGATAAGATGAAAAACAGGCTTGTATAGATGGAATTTCTGTAAATATATTTCTTCCATTCGTTAGCCTATCAACTATTTTTTTTAAAATTGATTTTGTTTCAGATCTTCATATTTGGGTTAAGCTCCTTACGTTTGCAAGCCTCCGGTGTATTATGTTTGTCCAAACTTATTAATGAGATATTAAAACTATCAAACGGTCCTTCCAGCTTTTTTTAATGCCCTATAACCATGGATACAACAAAAACACTATAATATATTTAAAAAATATTAATTATAGAAAACCATTTAGGTGGTTAAACTAAAACAAAAATTGTTACTAAAAGAGACCAAATTTACTCTTTTGGAATGAAAAATGAAAAAATAAAAATAAAAGTAAATTAGAAAAATAGTGAAGTGTACTTGCATCTCCTGTTACATGAATTTGGTTTCTGTGCTTTCAAGTCTTATGCAAGGAAAATTCTTCTTGAACCGTAATGAACCCCTATGCGGTTCTAAACCTGGAGGAAGATGAATTATACACTGATGAACAAGTAAAAGAAGCTTATCGAAAAGCTTTAATACAATCTCATCCGGATAAACGAAAAGATATTCTGCCTGGTCGATATAGTGTTGACCAAATTCGTGAAGCTTTTCAGGCCATTGGAAGTACGGAAGATCGCGAGAATTTTCTCAAAACCAAGGAATCTGGTAAGTAAAGAAACGGTATGCCTTAATTATAAGAAAGATGTTAACTTGTGTTTCCAGAGCGCGCACAATATTATTCTGTGGTTGATTTGAGTGAATTTGATGAGTTGGAAGATGGCTCCTACTACTATCCCTGTCGTTGTGGTGAGTTAGGTGGTTATGTCGTAACGGAAGAGAATTTGGAAAACGAAGAAAGCATTATTCCTTGTTTGGGATGCAGTTTGACTATCCAAGTAGCTTATGAGGTGGTAGAAACGGACGGAAGTGAACAGTAAAAGTGGTCATTTTTCATCTAATAATTCAAATTCTATTTAGGAACAAAAGACCCGAACGAGTGCTTGTCTTTGTCGTTACGTAGCAAAACTGCTGTCAACAAAAACTAAACTACACATGGTGCTCGCTTTTTGTTTCCTTAGCGGTCTTTTCCGAGAAGCATATTACTATTGAAACCATCGTTTGGAATTTTGCTGTTCTTAGCAATCATATATCTATCAGCAAGCGTATATAAAAGGGCGTGACATTGCAACAGTTGTCAAAAAAATAAAACTTCAATTTCTGTTGGGCATCGTTGATTCCAAAGATATATACGAATATAGATTTGTCTATGAAAGGACGAATTTTGACTCTGTCTTTTCTATGTCTAACTTGGAATTGGAAAGAAAGCAGCATATTTGAGACTAGATAAAAACACTTTTCATAGCATGAAGAAATATTCCTATTTCCAATAGAAATTATAAATGTGAAAAACCTTTTGATTAATTCAACATCTATCCTATAGGATTATTCTCTTCTTGATTTTGTTTCATAGCATTATTTACCAACGAATTTGGCAGTTTACAACGTTATCTATATTACCGTACCTTTGTGTAGTTGCTTCTGTTCTTTCCAGCGATGATAGTCACTATAGGGATGTCTGCCGTAGTTTGTTATAATAGATAATTCGCACTCACAGCAGCTTCTCTAATGTCCTGGGCGATTCTGGCAGTGTCTGGAGCCTGTCTACTGTACTTCCACACACTGCCACACTATTCCTCCTTCTTCCATGGGCTTCCACCAACCTACAGGGTTAGGGTTTGGAATCTTCGAGGTTCTTTGTTTACAGAATATAAACAGGACGAACCTACCGTCTTCACGTATCGTCACAAAAGGTAGAAGGCAAAGCAGCTAACAAACCTCTTACGAAGGAACGAATTTTTTTAATTAAAATTTAAAATCTGTGATTTTCCTTTTTTGGAGCTTACTGAGGGAATCGCTTTACGAGCACATCATTTTTGCATATTCAAGCTCACTTTAGGATTTAACGAAATTTCTATTCATTTGTTCTATCATTTATATTTTTTATAGAAACTCAAAATGTCAAACACTGAGACTTTCAAGTTCGAGGCTGAAATCAGCCAGTTGATGTCTTTGATTATCAACACTGTCTACTCTAACAAGGAGATTTTCCTTCGTGAAATCATCTCCAACGCCTCCGACGCTTTAGACAAGATTCGCTACCAAAGTCTTTCTGATCCCCATGCCTTGGACAGTGAAAAGGAACTTTACATTCGCATTACTCCCTATAAGGAAAGCAAGGTCCTTTGCATTCGCGATACTGGTATTGGTATGACCAAGAATGACTTGATCAACAACCTTGGTGTTATTGCCAAGTCCGGTACCAAGCAATTCATGGAAGCTGCTGCTTCTGGTGCTGACATCTCTATGATTGGACAATTCGGTGTCGGTTTCTACTCTGCTTACTTGGTTGCTGACAAGGTCCAAGTTGTCAGTAAGCATAATGATGATGAGCAATACATCTGGGAATCCTCTGCTGGTGGTAGCTTCAACGTTACCTTGGATACTGAGGGACCTCGCTTGGGTCGTGGTACTGAAATTCGCCTTCACATGAAGGAAGACCAACTCGCATACCTTGAAGAAAAGACTATTAAGGATACCGTTAAGAAGCACAGTGAATTCATTTCCTACCCCATTCAGCTCGTTGTTACTCGTGAAGTCGAGAAGGATGTCCCTGAGGAGGAAGACACTACTGAAGAAGTCAAGGAAGGTGATGATAAGGCTCCTAAGATCGAGGAAGTTGACGATGAATCCGAAAAGAAGGAGAAGAAGTCCAAGAAGGTGAAGGAGACTACTACCGAGAACGAAGAGCTTAACAAGACCAAGCCCATCTGGACTCGTAACCCTAATGAGGTCTCCAAGGAAGAGTATGCTTCTTTCTACAAGTCTTTGACCAACGACTGGGAAGACCATCTTGCCGTCAAGCACTTCAGCGTTGAAGGTCAATTAGAATTCCGTGCTGTTCTTTTTGCCCCTCGTCGTGCCCCTATGGACTTGTTTGAGGCTAAGCGTAAGAAGAACAACATCAAGCTTTACGTTCGTCGTGTCTTCATCACCGATGACTGTGAAGAATTGATTCCTGAATGGTTGGGTTTCGTCAAGGGTGTTGTGGACTCTGAGGATTTGCCTTTGAACTTGTCTCGTGAAATGCTCCAACAAAACAAGATTATGAAGGTTATCCGCAAGAACCTCGTCCGTCGCTGCTTGGACATGTTCAATGAGATTGCTGAAGACAAGGAGAACTTCAAGACTTTCTATGAAGCTTTCAGCAAGAACTTGAAGCTTGGTATCCATGAGGATGCTGCCAACCGTCCTGCCTTGGCTAAGCTCTTACGATTCAACTCTCTCCACTCTACTGATGACATGATCAGCTTTGAAGACTACATCACCAAGATGCCTGAACATCAAAAGAACATCTACTTCATTACTGGTGAATCTAAGCAAGCTGTCGAGAACTCTCCTTTCTTGGAAGTTTTCCGTGCTAAGAAGTTTGATGTCTTGTTCATGGTTGACCCCATTGACGAATATGCTGTCACCCAATTGAAGGAATTTGAAGGAAAGAAGTTGGTTAACATTACCAAGGACGGTCTCGAATTGGAAGAGACTGACGAGGAGAAGGCTAACCGTGAGAAGCTCGAGAAGGATTACGAAGAGTTCGCTAAGCAACTCAAGACCATCTTGGGTGACAAGGTTGAGAAGGTTACCGTTTCCAACAAGATTGTTGGTTCTCCTTGCTTGTTGACTACTGGTCAATATGGCTGGTCTGCTAACATGGAACGTATCATGAAGGCTCAAGCTCTCCGTGATACCTCTATGAGCGCTTACATGTCTAGCAAGAAGACCTTTGAAATCAACCCCAAGTCTGCTATCATTGCTGAACTTAAGAAGAAGGTTGATGAGAATGGCACTGATGACCGTTCTGTTAAGGACTTGGCAACTATCTTGTTTGAGACTGCTCTCTTGTCCTCTGGTTTCTCTTTGGATGATCCTAGCGCCTATGCCTCTCGTATCAACCGTCTCATTTCCCTCGGACTTAGCATTGATGAGGAAGAAGAAGCCCCTGCTGCCGAGCAAGCTGCTGAGCCCTCTGGTGAGCAAGCTGTTGAAAGCAAGATGGAAGAGGTTGACTAAATTAATTGAAGTAATCAGGAAATTTGTCAAGTTGTCTATGCATCATGCCTTTTGGAAGTAAACGACTTTGCAGTATAGCAAGTATTGTATGGTTTAATAATTTCGTCAAAAAAGTTTCTTTTCATGAGTTATTTTAATTAGAGACTAGATAATAGAAAAGAGTCTTTTTATATTATTTAATGGTTTATTATCTATATTGCATGAATAGTAGGTACTTATAGTGTTGAAGTAGCAAGGATTTCTTAGAAATCTGTGATAGTAAAGACGAGAAATGTGAATGGATAACTTTGCAAAGTAGTGTTATTATAGTTCTGTTATGAATGCTGGGTGTGATTTAAAGAAAATGTAAGTTGTCAATAAGCGTTAAAGATAGAAGGAATAAATGGAATATGCTTATTTGGTCATAATAAAACTGTAAGATACCTAATACATATTTGAGCACAGTCTTTGGTGCTATTAGACGAATTCAGACGTCGTCTTTGTAAGGACGCTTTTGTCAACTGGAAAGTCAAATTTCACGAATTTCTTGAAAACAATGTGAGTTTTTTCTTTGTTCCCCATTGATGAATGGCTGACTTGCAGAATTTTTGCCTTGACATGTATTGTTTATGCTTGAAACGTGACTTTTCATCAGCATACAACAGAGAAGTGTAGCAAGCAGTTCCACATAAAGCTGTGTATGAGTTTAAAGGATGAGAGAGAGAAAAGCCCGGAAGAAGGATTATTAGCTCTGGAAATGGAAGAAAGCTTTAGTGTAATAGTTTTACCAAGCCAGTTTCGTCTGTTTATAAAGTAATCCTCGGGAACTTGGCCTAAGAAGAACATGAAAATAGAAAGGAAAACAGTAAACTTGTGTTGCTAAAAATTTGTCAACACCCTAAGTGATATATCTGTACAAATTCACAACACAGTAGGCAAAGGTAAAGCATAAAGAATAGGAATGAAAACGGGTTTGGAGTAACATAAAATAGCAAAAAAATAATAATAATAATTTAAAATCCTAGGATATAAATTCATGAGAGTCAATAGCGCTCGTGCAAGGCAAAAAGGTAAATATGAAGGAAAAAATACGTTTAGAGAAAAAAAAAGAAAAGAAGGATAGTAAAGAGGTTTAGTTGTTGTCTTTAGAGCCAGCTACCGCGTCCACAAATTTTTCATAATAAAACATTCCATGGCTCGTGTGTGAACGGAGAATGGACTCAACGTCTTTGGCATCAATACGATCTCCCATGGTGGACAAGGCTTCTTTTAAAAGACCAATTGGGATTTTTCCAGACTGAGTGTCATCAAAAGTTGCAAAAGCTTCTAAAAGGTCCATTCTAGGAGAGATACGACACAACATTGAACCCATAAAAGTAAGGAAAGAAGCTAAATTAATAGGAGGACGAACAGAATCGAACATTTCCTGAACTACTTGACTAGAAGATTCTTGGTTTAGAGAGGTAAGCATAGTTTTCAAATCATCTTCGCCGATATTTCCATCGCCATCCTTGTCAAGCAGGGCGAAAGCTTCTTTGAGTTCTTGAATTTGAGAAGAGGTAAGTTGAGCAAAAGCACCAGAAGAAGCCCTTACAGCAGCCTGCGCTGCTACTTTTTCAGAAGTAGTAGAAGAAAGAGGAATTCTTTTCTCGCCCAAAGAGTTGGATTTATCTGTAGCCATCGCTGAATTTTTGTATGTCTAACCTATGTAAATACGAGATAAAAATAAAAAAGAAAAGAATAGATCTTTGAAAAGAGATGTTCTGGAAACCTTCGAACTGGATATTTGGTTATGGGTGAAAAGGAAGATTTATCAAGGAAAAAAAAAATAAAAAACAAAAAAAAGTGAAAAGATTTAAGAAAATAAATAAATGAAAATACTGCCCTTAATCCTTCACACAGAAGAAAAGAAAGAATGGGTAAAGTGTGCTTTTGGACAGACGAACTTTTTTTCTTGGTGAAGGGTATTCTTTGGTTTTTGTTCCAACCAATGTGTAAACAAACATTTCAGATCCTCGGGATGGAATGAAATTAGAGAATCCAATAACGATCAAACAAATCATTTTTCCTTATGCAATCCAATGGTTTCGTTTTGCCATGTTTATGTTGTATAATTACATGGCAGAAACTTACAAAATTAAATGTTTGGTCATTTGAGGCATGCCATCCAACATCGTTTTCTAAAAGAAGAGCAAATAATTTTTTTCTAATTGATAAACAGGTTCCTATTGTTCCAGCGCATCGCTCATAATCTGTTTTTTGTGACTTTGTTCATTCGCAGTGTTTCACTGTAGTAGTAGTAACTTCCAGTGGAATAAAGGTGAAGGTTTACTGAAGACTCGCACAACAAAAAAATGTACAAAATATTTAAATAGTTTAGATTCCTACGAGAACTTTTAACGCCCAGATTTTAACGTATTGTAACTGACTTATTTGTTTATATCGTTCTAATTAATATGATAACTACAAAGATCATTCATTTTCTTTATTATGATAGTGATGAAGAAGTAAAATTTAGTAATAGTTCAGTTAATTCAATTCTTTAGAGTGAAAAGAAGACAGGCTTCTCATTTTACACAAGTCAGTCTTCCTCTTTCCCTTCTCCCAAAGTTTAATAATTGATATTTGTTGCATAAGTAATTTTTAAAATGGATTTCAACTGGAAGCCAACAGACTATATAATGCTGTATATATATTTTATACTTACTATTTCAACGTCTACGGCCACACCTAGGCGAAAACACCAGTTCCCGTCCGATCACTGAAGTTAAGCGTCTGAGGGCCTCGTTAGTACTATGGTTGGAGACAACATGGGAATCCGGGGTGCTGTAGGCTTTTCTTTTGTTGCTCTTTACTTCTTTTTACGTAGACTGTTGCTTGCAACCGTTTTCTCGATAGAATTTTTGCAAGCTGTTCCTTTACAAGTGACAAAAGACTAATTACAAGTTCAATGAAAAGAAATGAAACGAACGTATTCAATTGCAAATAAGAATAAGAATAATAGTAATAATAATCATTAAGAACGTAGGATGATGCCAATGGTCTCAGATTACGGTTCCTTTCAATGCGCGGATTGTATGCATGCCTTTCTATTGTCCATTTTTCTTCGTTGCTTCCAATTCATATTGATACAAAGCAAAGGCATAGAAATAAACCTTCATCGGAATAAACCACTTGTAATGTTCTCTTTTTCCACTTACTGACTTTCGATCGGAAGAGTTAAGGCTCATGAGAAAAGAAAGGTAAACAAATTAGCATTAACTTTGAGTGGTAGGATTGCTCTGCAGCTCTATTTCTTCGTTCGTAGTTGTCGGCGGAGGAGCCAGTGCATCATCCCTTTGTTGATATCCGGGCAGCGTAGGCGAACCGGTGGTTTCAGTTGTATTTGCATAGTCTAATCCAAGGAAACGCATGAAAACTATATAAAATCCTTGGGCAACAGCATAAATAATATCACCAAGCAATACTCCAATTTTATATATGACACCACCAAGCAATACTCCAATATTACCAATGGCAATACACACAAAGATTATGGAGTAGGGCAAGGCTCTTATTGCCCCGATGGCAATTGGATGAAAGACTGCCTTTTGTTAGCAAACAATTGCATTTTTTTTAAAAACAATAACAAAAATGATTCACTTACAATAGAAAAAAGCATAGAATATTGCCCATATCACAATCAAAAGAACTAAAAAACCAAGAAGGGTCCAATCGTATTTAATTTCATTAAAGGCATTTTTTAGCCAAGAAAAGGGTTCGAAAGGATAGGAAATTGCTAGCGTACACAACAACGAAAAGATTGCTGTTGATAGTAAACGATAGTTTCTGTGTTTGAGGACCACATTTTCGGGAAAACCATAGTTTACTATTTCTGATGTTTTGCAGTGAAGCTCCTTTATGGACTCAGGAAAGCTGCTGGATTCAGTCATTATCGTTTTTTTGCTTTGTTTGACTTTGACAGACGTTGAATTGGAAGTTTTGTTTATGTCTTTTGGTTTATACAAAGGAAGTCCCTTTTCGAGATCAACATTGTAAACATTAGCATGGTTGTATGCAGGAGGGTCGCTTGAATCGAATTTTAGCTCCTTTTCCGACATCCTAAAAATAAATAAAGAGAAATTTCAATGAATAATTAGCAAAAGAGCGTCAAATAAAAGCTGTTGATCCCTATTCGATGCAAAAATTTCGCAAATGCAAAACTCATCAGAAATAGCAGCCAAAAACTAAAGCAGCTCTACCTGGTCATTCCAAACATTCACATGAAAGTCAAAATCAGCCCAATTGGCAGGAATTGAAGAAATAAAAAGTTGGCTTCAGCAAGAAATTTCGCATCTCTTACGCAACATTTTAGCTCAGGATAGTGATATGTTCAGTTGCGCTATCTCCTATACTGATATATAGCATAAATCGTTGAAGATACGTTTGAACCACAATGAACAAGTAACAAATTTCGCTAATTTCGCGTTTGTTTACACCTCTGTAAACAAAGCAGATCCCATTTCTCTATGAACTTATGAACAATTTTTTACCTTGAAAGTGAGTTACTAATTTTTCGTTGCACTAAAGTTATTCAAACAGAAGAAGTAACAAACAAAACACGGAAACTGCAGACGCATTAGCTAACTGCTTTTCATTAGACAATTGAGTAACAGACTACAACCAAAAAGCAGCTTTCACGGGTTCTTCAGGATTAAAAAAACCTATAAATTACTTCTTTGAACTGAAGGAACTGTGCACGGCCATACCTAGGCGAAACCACCAGTTCCCGTCCGATCACTGCGATTAAGAGTCTGAGGGCTTAGTCTCGTTTGTGCTATGGTTGGAGAGGTGCTGTAGGCTACGTCTTTTTCATAATTTATCCATTTTTTCTTTTAATTTATACACTTTCTCGATTAATATGGAAAAAACGTACAAACTGGTTTATACTTGCTGCAGGATGTTACCCTAAAGGTAACGATTAACAAAGATCTCAATAAATCAAATGGAATTACAAGTTCAAGAAAAAAGGAAATCAACGATAGTATTCAATTTGAAAATAAGGATATTAATTGATGGATGTAATGACCAACGACCCAAAAACGTTAGGCTCCAGTAATGTTCTAGCAAGTTTACCAACTCCATGCCTCTAAAGGCGACGAAAAAAAGCTTCAATTATTCATATTAAATAATTGGTTTTTCATTGCAAGACTTTACTATCATACTAATACAGGGGCAATTTGAAAACTAAAATAAACTTGGAAATTCGATGTAAACCCTCAAAGTAAGACAGTAATGAGTAATAACAAAACCAAGAGCTTCAAGTATCTCTCCTCATTCATCTCATAATCAGATATATTGAAATAATTACCATAGGCTAAAGGTTCAGAAGAAGACAAAAACAAACGAATGGAACTAACGTCAAAAAGTAGGATTGGTTTGCAGCTCTATTGCTTTATTCGTCAACGTTAGCTGAGGAGGTGTAGAATTCTTTTGTTGATATCTAGGAAGCGTAGGCGAACTATCGTTCTAAATTGAGCTATCAACTTCAAATCCAAGAAGCTCCATGAAATAGAGATAATATACACTACAAAGAAGTAAAAAAAAAACATTCCGCCAATAGCAACTAACAATCCAACGAACACTTCTATCATGTCAACTGCTATACAAATGGACAAAGTAATCCTAAGTATACATAGGGTGATGACCTTTACAAATCGACAACAATAAAACTAAAACCAGATGCTACCGTTTGTAAGCAAGCCAGCAATCATAAAAATTTCCGCTTACGCGTGATACCAAAAATTGCTGCCCATAGTTCAGCATAAATGTCTAAAGTGGCAATTTCCCAATGGTGCTTGTCTTGTCCCAGAACTATGATAACATAAGCATAGATTTTGTATACTTAGATATCAGACATACATACCCTTCCTATAAGACTACGGATATAAAGCGAACATTTTTTAATCTTTAATGATTACTTTTTCCCAGGAAGAAAGCGGTTTATTGGCTCTATAAATTCCTTTAGAAGGAATTTAAACCGCTAAATTGAGTCATTTTCAACTATTCTCTCTCATTGATTTTGGTAGAAGTCGGATTGCAAGGTATATTTCTATACCTTTGGGTTGTCCAAAGGAAGTCCTTTCTCGAGATCAACATTGGAAACTTTTATTAAGATTCGACTGTTCCGACATTTTGACAGAAATTTAAAGAATATGCAGCGATTTAACAGCAACGGAGTCGAAAAAGCAAAGTTTCTGTTCTCATTGTTAAAACTCGCAAATCGCTACAGAATGGAAAAGTTCAAGAGAAATGGCAGCAGAACCTAAAGCGGTTTCCTTGCTCATCCAAAGAAGCTCAAATTCCAAACAAAATTATTCCAATTATCGGAAATAGAAGGAAAAAAGCTGGTCCTAGCAGGAAAATTCGCTGCCCTTACGCAACAGCAATGGTCACCTTAAAGTCATAAAGGCAAGTAACATGTTTCATAATGTTCGTGTTGTTTACATCTGAATCAACAAAGATGATTCCCTTTTTTATGAGGTTTTTCTTAAGAAATTTAAGTTTTTTCATAATCTAAAAAAGTAAAATTAATCATCAGAATATATTCTACTCGCCTTTGATTAATTGCTTCTTTATTTCCATGTCAAGTAAGATACGCTTTGGAAACTAAAAACCAGGGATATTTCATCTTTTGCTTTTGCGTAGAGGGAAACAACGGTCATATTTTCTTTCGATCATTGCTTTTAAGCTAATATGCTCGTTCTTGTCAACTGTCTTAATTTCATTCCTTAATGATCATAAAGCAAGGGAAACAACCATAAAATTAAGTCCAAAACCAGGCTTCAATTATAATTTCACTGATTTGGTATAGTTTAAAAGGCGCTTTTGCTCGCTGAAATCCTAGCTTTTCTTATTTGATTCTTATTCCTAGGTGACTTTCCAGCTACTAAACTTCTTTACTGACATTTCCATTTATGAGAGTGAAGAACCATTCTACAAGATATCCAACTATCTTTAATTTTAAAGTTTATTTTATATATCTATATCTATATACACTTTTCTTTTACATATTTACTCATTTCTTTCGATTTATCTCAAAAAAATTTCCCTCTTGTCTATTTATTAACGAAAGCAAAAGAGTGTCACTAAAATGAACAAGAAAGCTCCCTATAGGACTGTAAATAAATAAATAGCCTGGTTCATATCTGGGAAAAACGCTTTGATAAAAAAAAAAGCATTTTTAGTTGGTTCTAATTCTTCTGTATCAAGTTTAAGAGCATTTTTTGGGTCTCTCTTTGAGTAATAAAAAAGCGACAGCAAAACTTGATCGTACAAAACCTTTCTAAACGAGCTTACAAGAGAAAGAAAGCAAAAGCAACATTGTATATCACCATGTTTCGATGGTCTTCAACCTATACCTTTGGTTTGTTATGGTTAATCGTCGGCGGTGAAGCGTATCAATTGACTACTATAAAACAGGATCATAAAGAAACGATGAAATACTACGAGGCGAAAATACATCATCTGAAAAGTTTACAAAGAGAAAAGTGATGTTTTAAGATTCCTTTTTCCTTCAAGTCTATTCTTAATTTTATAGGCTCTCCAGTATGTCTTCCCGTGCTTCATTGGGAATTACAGCCAGAGAAGTAATACTATGTATTCCCATTCTTCTTTGAAGCTGCTCATGCTTGACAACAATCTCGCAAAACGTTCCTGTGGTTTTTCTATTTTGAATTTCTTTGTACGCTCTTTCATACATAACCTTTGCATTCTTTAATAAAACAGATTTTGAATTTTCTGCAATAGCAAGGGGAATATCTGTCCTTTGAAGCTCCAAATCTGCTCTGCTAATCCATATTCTCGTACGGCTAGCATCATAAGTACTTGCCAGTTTGAGTGCTTTTGTAGCTTGGCCAAATATATTCCAAGCCCTTGTCAAGATTTCCACGGACGGGACTGGGTTTTGTTGTAACTGTGCTTGAATTAACGTGTCGGCAAATTCTGCGTAGGCGTCTGCCTTGTCACACAATAATTGAATATGGATGGGCTTCGTCGGAGAATTTGACGCCTGTAACGGATTTTGCACGTTGATTTCAGGCAGTTGTGACAGACGGTCATCATAGACTTGTAGCAACTTCACCCATACTTGTTCTGATTGTTGCCCCGATAATACGAGGCGCTTTTCCCTTGCCAAATGCCAATCCATAAATTTTAAAATATCATACTTTTCCGAAATAGGCTGAACGATTTGAATTAGATTCTTAAAGTCGGACTCTGTGAAAAGACTTGTGCTCGCAGCTAAAGCAGCGATTTCTCCCAAAAGAACAGCAGAGTCTTCGTCGCTTTGGGATACATGTAGTCGAAATTTCTCAAAATCAATGTTTCCTAATCCCGAGGAAGCAATTTGTTCCAGCTCTAGCTTTTTCTGATGAAATTCGTCTTGCTGAAGCATTGAACATTTCATAATTGCATCTAAAGCAGCTTGGATATGGGGTAATGCGAGTTGCTCATTACCAGCTTCTGTCCTACTTTCAGCAAGGTATTTATGCGTTTGCGCAAGATTAAAATATGCTTCAGAATGTGTTTCCAAACTTATGGCTTTTTGGTGCAGGTCAATGCTAATTTGCAGATATTGGGCCGACTGACTCGACAGCATATCGCAATTGGAAACCATATTCAAATAAAGTCTAGCTTTGTTAAACCAAGCATCATAGTCATTTGGCCTGGCTGTCAAATACTCATCGTAAGCTTTGGAAGCTTTTTCATAGAATCGATAGCACTAGAAAACTATTAGTTTTGACCTTTATTAAACTGCGAAATGAAAATAACCACTTTCAATTATTGTTTATGAAAATATGTGAATCTGCTATTTTTGCAACTTACCTTTTCAGGATCTAGCCGCCAGCGGTCTCCACTCTCTTCTAGTTCAATGGCTTCTTCAAAGACGTCGTCTATTGACTGAGGCTTTTGTTGCTTTGTCTTCTTCGCTTTAGCTGCTTCACGTAGAATCTCTTTTCTTGAATTACTCATGACAAAAACAAAAATGATTAATCAGTACATATAATTTCGTTAAATACAAATAAAAGGCTAGAAAATAAAATAAGTCAGGTTTTGTCTTCCTATACACAGAGGTATTTTAGAATTATGATAATATTACATTACACGTCCTACTTGCGAAATTTTGCACCTACTAACCAAAACCTATCGTTTGAAAAAGAAAGGTTGAGATTTACAAGTTAAAATTGGTTTACTGAAACAAATCAATTAAAAAAAATTTGGAATTCAATCTTTACACCCTACGAAAAAAGGTTTCTCTATAAAACACTCCTTTAAAAAAAACTTTTTTGCTTGTCTTTTGGTTCTACTATCCAAGTAAACGTGATCGTCATAGAAAGATTACCAAGTGTTGATTATAATGTCTCAAAAAATTTCCGTTCTTTTTGTATGCTTGGGCAATATCTGTAGAAGCCCAATGGCAGAGGCCGTCTTTCGAGACGAAGTAAATAAGGCGGGCGTGAGCGATCGTTTTGAAACAATTGACAGCTGTGGTACAGGAGCATGGCACGTTGGCAACTGGCCTGATCCTCGTACCATCGATGTGCTGCTAGCAAATGGAATACAAACAGATCATTTGGCTCGTAAATTGAAGTTGACAGATTTCAAAAAGTTTGACTACATTTTCGCAATGGATCGATCCAACTTGCAAAATATCAGACGAGTGTGCCCAAGTGATGCCAAGCCGGAAATTGCATTGTTTGGAGATTATGGCAGCGCAGGCGTATCCAAAATTGTGGAGGACCCTTACTATGGAGGAGATGATGGATTCCAACTGTGCTATGAACAACTGGTAGACTTTTCAAGAAACTTTATTCGGAAAGTAATTGGATAGAAAGGTTTTATTGATAGAAAAGAAATTATAAAATTCATAAGTTATATATCGATTACAACATGTTAGAGAGCAAATATTCATACCCATGACATGAGACGAATATAATGAATGATAAGAAAAAAAAAACAACGATATCGTAACAAAAAAGAGAGCGAGAGGGGAGAAAGAGTTATGCTTTGCAGTATCAAAGTCGGTCATCTTGATTAGATTGTTTAGAGTAAAAATAATTTAAATAGAAGAGACCGAACAATATTGTCGATTGTAGTAGACGAGACCACTAGAGTGTGCCAGGGGTATGGAACCATGCTCAACACGATCAACGTTTGCGACAAACAAGAGATGGTCTTGTACAGGTATAGAGTGAAGGATGGAACAATGTAAGAGACCAAGACTATCCAAAAGATGCGGAACACCTTCTTTACTAAAGGAAACTTCAGATGGAGAAAGGGTATCTGCGGTAGAAGAAGAGGGAGAAGGAGGGCTGGATATGTCCTCTTGAACAGAAGAAAGAGAGGGAGAAGGAAAAACGGTTGGATGATTCGGCTTGGAAAGGATGGAGGCCCATTGGGAGTGACGGAGGATGGAGCTGGAAAGAAGGTGGACGACAACACGTCGGGATTGGACAATGGCAGAAGCAGTTCGGGAAGGAATTTTAAGATTGAAAGAGACAACAGGATTCGGTGAAAGAGAAACGGGGGTGAAAGAAGAAGCGGTCATGGCAGCTTGATGACCGTTAGGAAAACCGCTGGAAAGGATGACGACGGGTTGGGCAAAGCGTCGCATCAAAGCCCGAAATTCTGCATGATGAGAAGAAGAGGAGGGAAGAGAGGAAGAGGAAGAGCTGAAAGAAGCACGAAACGGAAGAACGGTAGGGTACGAAGAAAAAACGGGGAAAAGATGATGCGGATGAGGATGAAGGGATAGCCAAGGACGCATTCGATCAACAACAAATCAGGTCCAATGGCAATGGAAAGCTGCTAATAAACAAAAAATGAGTAAAAGAAAAGGATATTGCGAAGAGAAAGACAAGGAATATACGTTCACTTTTATTAGCTAGTTTTCAATGAACTATTTTTATATTTCGTCCCTTTTATTTTTTTCCATGAATGGTGTTGTAACTAGAAAGTTTGTTGAATGACTGATGATTACGATCAAGGTCTGACCAGATCAAAGGTATGAACATGAATGACCAGGTCAGGCAGGTATGGTAAGAGAAAGCATATGTCGGTTTCCCTTCGCTTCCCACAAGTTTAAACTCTTCAACCTTTAAGGGAGAAATCTAAGAACGAAGTGACTTTAGGGAAAATTCGCCAATAAAGGGGGTTTCATCCCCAAATAGAGAATAAGGAGAGTTAACGAATTAAAAAATTACTCACTTAAAAAAAAGAAAGGAAGGGAGACGAGACAAACCTAGAGACGGCCGAAAAAAATAATCACACGAGAAAGAAAATTGCACTACGACATGTTGTTTTTCTATAGCCGACAGACGTAAATAAACAAACAGATAAGTTTCATTCTACGTTTCAGTTTGCGGTTCTATTCGCCCGTATTTGTGTCATTGACAACCAGCATTTTTAAGTTTGTCTTCATTCTGTCTGCTTATACTGGATGGGCGTTGCTCTGTCTCATTCTCCTCATTCTCCTCACATTCCCGCCTTCTCTTCCACTAGCATCTTTCTTCCTGATATCTTTGCAAGCTCGTTACTTATCCTTATCCCATACTCCAGTTTATGCCGTTCTGTGTTATCCAACCCAATACCGATGATCCTATAAGACGTGATTTCGTCCGGAATTTTCTTGAAGAAACCCGATAAGACAAGACCCATCCAGGCCAGAATCGTAAAACGAAGGATAGCGAAAGACGACGAGAAATCGACGGTAAAGAGATCATGTCACTCTCGCATACAAATGTAGACAACTAGAATGAAAACAAAAAAAAAAAATTAAGACGGAAACTGAAGACAGTAAGAAGAGACAAGACTAATTGTTTCATCGATTCTTGTGAATCATTACCTAAAGTTTAAGTTTCCCGTTACAAGATTCGGGTCACATGATGATATGGAAGGCAGATGTCATTTAACGTAATAAAGCGTAACTCTATAGTATTTTTCAACGAACCAGATAAAACCAAGTTTAAAGCTTGTAGGCAAATCTTAGACTTGCCTGCCCTGCCTCTCAGCTAACTACCAGCAACCGCTTCAAAAAAGTCGGTTTTGATTACCAGGCCTAATTTTTTGCCGAAATAAAATTTTCATCCATGAATTTGTAGTTCAATGAGTTAGTTTTTTTAGAAAGTAAGTTTTTGTATGTCTTGCGTATTTCATCTCCTTCTTCAACCTTGAATTCTTTATTTTTTCAGTTACGATACCCCTCTTCTCGTGCTTTTTGCTTCTCCAGCCCACTCTCAGTCAGTGTAAGGTGTAAGCTTTTACTCAACCCTCTTCGCATTACGTTCCCCCTCCTTCCACTACGAATCTTTTTCCGTCTCTGGATTCGTACGACCCATGCTACCCTTATCTACCGGTAACATGACATAAATTAAGCATTTGATTCGCTGTCGGTTCGAAACCAGCACAGTATGGTCCAATCAAGTATATTCTCTACCTATCTACCTTGTCTAGACGTTTCTTAGCGACGAAATCATCCTATTGCCGACCTCCGTTGCTTCTCGTTACACGTGACCACTTTTGCACCGTTCCTGCTTTTTCGTCCTGCCAATTTTTGGTATAAGTAGGCTCCACCTCCCCTACGCTCCCAAGTTCCTTTCAAGCCCGAAAGTTTTGGAACACTATACTTAACATAGCTTAGTGAATTCGCTAACTACTGTTAGAAGAAAAAGAAACACAACAACCTTTGTGCTTGAGAACTTCTGTGTTTCAACTGTTAGAAAAAGATAATTCTTTCTCTGTCAAGTTGACATTGTCGTTTTCTTCCCTTTTTTCTTAACTTTCATCTACCTATTGTTTTGATTCTCTCCAGATTCCAAAACTTTACCTATTCTCCGTTGTTCGTTTGTGCGTACTTCAGAACGGGTTTTACAAGGCTTAGAATCAACTAATTTTTCTTTTAATCCTTCCCTTATATTTTCTCACGGATTTGCTTCAAGCATTTTAGTGTGAAACTATCTTTTTAGGGCTTTCTTTCTGATTTTGCTTCTGTGTTGTCACTGTTGCGATTTCTGAATCCTATATATTTGGATACCAATCATTTGATTCCCAAAATACCCGTTCGTTTTTCGAGATAATTTTTGAGCTTACGCTCTTGTTCTAATTCGAAAACGTTCGTCTTTCTGTTTTTCGTTTTTCGTTTGTTTCAATTCCCCTAAATATATCCCTTAAACTCTAATTGTTGAAACCTTCTTTGTATAGAAGTTTCTTAAATTTGGATTTCTAATAACTTTCTTTTTGGATCTTTGTGCTGCAATACTTTGCATCTGTATCCTGTAACATTCGTTCATAATGGCTGACCACGTCTCTAACGTTGGTGAATACCAAGATGCTGAAAAGCAAATGCCTCAAGAGCAAGAACAACCTACCCACCAACAGGCTGCTCCTTCTGAACCTTCGGAAGGAGATGAAGAGCCCGATGAGAACATCGATGAATTGATCGAAGAACTCTTTTCTGAGGATGTTCACGATGAAGAAGAAGAAACGGACGAAACTGCAGCTGGTGAAGCCAAGCCTGTACCTGAGGAACTTCTTCAAACTGATATCAAGACTGGTTTGTCCACCAGTGAAGTTGAAGAGCGCCGTAAGAAGTATGGTCTTAACCAAATGAAGGAAGAGTCTGAGAACCCTGTTCTTAAGTTCATCATGTTCTTCGTCGGTCCAATTCAATTCGTCATGGAAGCTGCCGCCGCTCTTGCAGCTGGTCTTCGTGACTGGGTCGATTTTGGTGTCATTTGTGCCCTTCTTATGCTTAACGCTGTCGTTGGTTTCGTTCAAGAATATCAAGCTGGTTCCATTGTTGATGAGTTGAAGAAGTCTCTTGCTTTGAAGGCCGTCGTTGTCCGTGATGGCCACGTCCAAGAAGTTGAAGCTAACCAAGTTGTCCCCGGTGATATCCTCCATATGGATGAAGGTACTATTCTTTGTGCTGATGGCCGTATTGTCTCTGAGGATGTCCATCTTCAAGTTGACCAATCCGCTATTACTGGTGAATCTCTTGCTGTCGAAAAGGGTCACGGTGACCCCACCTACGCTTCATCTGGTGTTAAGCGTGGTGAAGGTTTCATGGTTGTTACTCACACTGGTGACTCTACTTTCGTCGGTCGTGCTGCTGCTTTGGTCAACGCCGCTTCTGGTGGTACTGGTCACTTTACTGAAGTTCTTAACGGTATTGGTACTGTTCTTTTGGTCCTCGTCTTGTTCACTCTATTCTGTATCTACACTGCTGCTTTCTATCGCTCTGTTCGTATCGCTCGTCTTTTGGAATACACACTTGCCATTACCATTATTGGTGTCCCCGTTGGTCTTCCCGCCGTCGTTACCACCACTATGGCTGTCGGTGCTGCTTATTTGGCTCAGAAGAGAGCTATCGTCCAGAAGCTTTCTGCTATCGAATCCCTTGCTGGTGTCGAAGTTCTCTGCTCTGATAAGACTGGTACCCTTACGAAGAACAAGCTCTCTCTCGGTGAACCCTTCACTGTCTCCGGTGTTAGTGGTGATGAATTAGTTTTGACTGCTTGTTTGGCTGCCTCTCGTAAGCGCAAGGGTTTGGATCCCATTGACAAGTCCTTCTTGAAGGCTTTGAAGAACTATCCCGGTCCCAAGTCTGCTCTCTCTAAGTACAAGGTCATTCAATTCCAACCATTTGATCCCGTCTCTAAAAAGGTTACTGCTTATGTCGAATCTCCTGAAGGCAGACGCTGCGTTTGTGCCAAGGGTGCTCCTCTCTGGATTTTGAAGATGGTTGAGGAAGCTCATCCCATCCAAGAAGACATCTTATCTGCTTACAAGGAGAAGGTTGGTGATTTGGCCTCTCGTGGTTATCGTTCTTTGGGTGTTGCTCGTAAGTTTGATGACGAAGAATGGCAGATCATGGGTATCATGCCCTGCTCCGATCCTCCTCGTGATGACACTGGCCGTACTATTTCTGAAGCAAAGCGTTTGGGCCTCCGCGTCAAGATGCTTACTGGTGACGCTGTCGATATTGGTAAGGAAACCGCTCGCCAATTGGGTATGGGCACTAACATCTACAACGCTGAACGTCTTGGTATTACTGGTGGTGGTAACATGCCTGGTTCTGAAGTCTACGACTTTGTTGAGGCTGCTGACGGTTTCGGTGAAGTCTTCCCTCAACACAAGTTCGCTGTCGTCGATATCCTTCAACAACGTGGTTACTTGGTTGCTATGACTGGTGACGGTGTCAACGATGCTCCTTCCTTGAAGAAGGCCGACACTGGTATTGCCGTCGAAGGTGCTACCGATGCTGCTCGCTCTGCTGCTGATATTGTCTTTTTGGCTCCTGGTCTTTCTGCTATCATTGATGCCCTCAAGACTTCTCGTCAAATTTTCCACCGTATGTACTCTTACGTTGTCTATCGTATTGCTTTGTCTCTTCACTTGGAAATTTTCTTGGGTCTCTGGATTATCATCCAAAACCGTTTGCTTAACTTGGAATTGATTGTCTTCATTGCTATTTTCGCTGATGTTGCTACTTTGGCTATTGCTTATGACAATGCTCCTTTCTCTATGAGACCCGTTAAGTGGAACTTACCTCGTCTGTGGGGTCTTTCTACTGTCGTCGGTATTGTTTTGGCTATTGGTACCTGGATTACCAACACTACCATGATTGCTCAAGGTCAAAACCGTGGTATTGTCCAAAACTTTGGTGTTCAAGACGAAGTTTTGTTCCTTGAGATCTCCCTTACTGAGAACTGGTTGATTTTCATTACTCGTTGCAATGGTCCTTTCTGGTCTTCTATTCCTTCTTGGCAATTGTCTGGTGCTGTGTTGATTGTCGACATTCTCTCTACCATCTTCTGTATCTTCGGTTGGTTCAAGGGTGGTCACCAAACCTCCATCGTTGCTGTTCTCCGTATCTGGATTTACTCCTTCGGTGTCTTCTGTATCATGGCTGGATTCTACTACATCTTGTCCGAGTCTAGTACTTTCGACCGCTGGATGAACGGTAAGCCTCGTGAAAGCAGAGACAAGCGCTCTATCGAAGACCTTGTTGTTGCCTTGCAACGCACTTCTACTCACCATGAGAAGGGCGATGTATAAGCCAACGTTCTAACATAATTATTGTTTATATTAAACGTTCTGTTCTTTCATCCCCTAATATATATATAGAGAGTGTTTTATTAATTTCAATATGCCTTGGTTTTGTTAACGGAACATGAATTGTCCGTTCGATTAGTGAAAATATATCTGATTTAATTCGATATTTGATATCTAAATGAATATACGAAGAATAATTGTTTATAAGCTAGTGAATATAAAAACAATTTAATTCATTTTGGTGTCTGCAAGTATATTTTTCGGTCGGTGTATTATAATGCCCAACTTGTTTAATCAGAAAGTGTGTATTATACTTAAGTCCTAAAGCCAAGTGGATTGTTTTCGCTTAAACTATTCAACTGTGGCATGAAGAAGCCTAATGAATGTGAATTAATTTCTACAGTGATATCTAGTCGACGTCCCTTTTAATTGACAATGAAGATAATATTGTAAGTGTTGTAGTTTGTTGGTAGAGCATCGTATTTGTTAATAGCAAGTTATCCTGATTTGTTGTTAAATTTTTCAGTAACAGCGACATTGGCTTTTTTTTTTCACTTGTTTTAGTTGTGACATATAAAAATATCGATTGGAGCAAACATGTATATTGACAAATGTGGTTTCGCCGTATATTTGTAAGTGGAATGCAGTTTGGGATCAATTGTAGATCGCGCAAATTTTGACTAGAACCATCTTATTTTATTGACCATGGATATGGACCCCTATGAGGTTTTGGGAGTTCAAAAAAATGCGAAGAACGAAGAGATTCGACGAGCATATCGTAAAAAGGCACTACAGTTTCACCCAGACCGAATCCGGGATGAAGAGAAGAAGAAATCTGCGAGAACAGAATTCGATAAAGTAGCACTTGCTTATGGCGTGTTAAATGATGAAAAGAAACGAAAACACTTTGATACTACAGGCTCTATAAATTTGAGTGAGGACGGTTTGGAATTTGATTGGAAGGAATGGCTTGATGAAATGTATAGCGGCGTCGTATCTGGAGATGCATTGACCGAGTTCAAAGCATCCTATCAAAACTCAGAAGAAGAAAAGAAAGACGTTTTGGAGGCTTATAAACGCCGGAAAGGATCGATGGACGGCATTTTGGAGGAGGTTATGTGTAGCGAAATAAGCGATGAAGAACGCTTTAGAAGCATGATTGACGAAGCAATTTCCCAAGGAATCGTTCCTAAATATAAACGCTACAAGCCGAATGAAAAAGCTCGCAAGAAGCGCGTTCGTGCATCTGAGAAGGAGGCTCAAGAAGCTGAAGAGTTGGCAAAAGAACTGGGACTTGATGAGAAACTCAATAAGCGTAAAAAGACCGACGAAAGCGGCGAAGAGGCTTTAGGAGCTCTCATTCGTTCTCGACAGAAGAATCGGATGGACGACATGATAACCGCATTGGAAAACAAATATGGAGAACCGAAATCACAGTCCAAGTCGAAATCCAAATCCAAAAAGGTCGAGAAGGAAAAGTAAATCTTAGGAATGCCTTTCTGAAGCAAAACTAAACTGTGTTCCTCAAAATATTTTTGCGCATGAAAATATTAGAACCATTCTTTAATGTTTGCAGAAATACCAAAAATGTCTCATTCCTTTAAAACGAACATGGAGAGAAAGCATTCTTCCTATGTAATCAATCAAATCACCTAAAGCCTTCTGTTTTTACGATATTAAATCATTTTCTAATAATAATGTTGTTTATTGATCTACTGCATGCTGTAGCCGGCCACAGTGAAGTGTACCTAACTTACTTATGAGAAAAAGTAATTATACACTAACTGGTACTAATGTTTACAGGATTGAATCTTACACTCAAAAGGATTCTTTTTATCAACAATACAATAAAGATAGAATTTTATTGACATTCTTAGTCGAACAAACCAAAGCCCATCTAAACATACTGTTAGCATATGTGTTCTCTTTGATATCATTGTTCTTTGCATGGCATCCATCATTAGTGGAAACTCTAAAGGCAAAAAAATATTGTGTAAACTTACGTCTTCATCAGATTCTTCCTCTTCCTTGGCTTCTTCCTTCTTGGCTTCTTCAGTAGCAGGAGCAGCGCCGGCGGCAGCAGCAGCAGGAGCAGCTGCAGCACCACCAGAAGGAACAGTTGCGAGCTTCTCGTTACCGGCAGCAATCAACTCTTCCAAGTTCTTGCCTTCAAGTTCCTTGAGCAAAGAATCAACACGTTGGGATTCAACCTCAACACCAACGGTAGTGAGGACATTTTCGATATCAGAGGCAGAGGGAGCGTTCTTTCCGCCAACGGTCAAGAGGAGGTAAGCAGCAAGATACTTCATTTTCCTTTTGTATTTTGTATGCGGTTGACGGCGCGTTGTTGTAGCGAGTCTTGCAGCTAACTACTTTTCCATGTTTGACTCTCGTGACTGTTTTTTTGTTTACGAAAAAGGCAGTCACAAAAGTTTTGGTTGTGAGGAAAATAACGAGTACCAGTTACCATTCACCTGGATCAAACACCATGGCAGAGGAAAATTACGAGGAAGCCGTACGTGCTGCTGAATTAAGGAAGAGAAGAACCTTCCGCACCTTTGCCTATCGTGGCGTTGAACTCGAGAAGCTCTTGGACCTTTCCGCTGAGGAATTGGTGGAATTGTTCCCTGCTCGTCTTCGCCGCCGCATGCTCCGTGGTCTTGGAGCCGGTGCTTCTCGCTTCATCAAGAAGCTTCGTAAGGCTAAGGCTGAGGCTCCTGTCAACGAGAAGCCTGCCGTTGTCAAGACCCACTTGCGTAGCATGATCATCCTTCCTGAGATGGTAGGCTCTCTTGTTGGTATCTACAACGGTAAGCTTTTCAACCAAGTTGAAATCCGTCCTGAAATGATCGGTCATTATTTGGGTGAATTCTCCATCTCCTACAAGCCTACCAGACACGGTCGCCCTGGTATTGGTGCTACTCACAGCTCTCGCTTCATCCCCTTGAAGTAGATTTGTTTGAAATATATATTTCTCTAATGGCAATATTTGATTTCATGTTAAGCATTGTAACTTAAGTTCGATATATATTTACGCGGTCACGATGTACTCGTAACAGTCCGAAAAACGGCCGTAGAATGCTACTCCTTTGTATGTAAATTTTGGATGCCAACTCTTCTAAAAATCCATATTCATCTCAATTCTATAACTAATGAATCATTGCTTACTATGTATTTCAGTAGGTCCATTCTGAACATATTCATCAAACGTAACATAATGTGAGGCAACAGACTCATTAAAAGACGTCTTCGCGACAATACTACCTCCCAAGAATGCCAATTCTTCAAACATAGCATTCGTGCTGGCATCTGGTTTCCAGGAAGGAAAATAATCCGGTAATGTTTTGCAGGGATTAATGAGCGGCGGATAGGGTGTAGGAGGATTCGTAGTCATACCGATAATAGAGTCTGTACCTTGGGCTACATAATATGGCTCGAGCTTTCCTGTTAATTGAAATCTAAATTGTAATTGCTGAACGAGGGCTTCCCGAAACCCGCGAATGCGAGATCCACAACCCATTACGATAATATTCTCCCATAAATCATTTCGACGATTATAATCGACGCTGTTGTGTTTAATTGTCAGATAAATTGCTTCCGGCAGACTGACGCTGTGGTTTGAAGGACGGTGGAAGAGTTCCTGACATGCTTTGAAACGTTCCCTACCGATTATGCAATCTCCAATCGGTGAGAGGTTTATAGTTTGAAACTCGACTTCACTATTCTCGGGAATTTTTCTTTGAGAAGAATTTCCCTTCCGCTCTTCTTCTTTCCGAGCAAGATATGCTCTTGTTTGACCGGTAGCCACAATTTTCCCAATGTCTTCGACGCCTTCTTCATCTTTGCTTGTATTGAATTCCTCCTCTCGCTTTGTTTTTTCTTTAGATGCATCTTGCTCCTCCCGCAAAACTTGAGTGATCTCGCTACACTTAACTTGTTCCGCAAGCAACTCGGTAATGTGCTCTTGATCAACATGCTTTCCTGTTGCTTGGAGTGTAGGCAGAGATTCTAACATTAGCTTTTGCAGGTGTAAAGTCATGTTTCTTCCACCTAACGGAATTTGCTGTGTCGCAGAAAAAAGAATCTGGCCGTCCAAAATAGGAGTGATATCTGTCTTTTCATAACCAACGTCAATTACAAGCCCATGCAAAACACCAATGGCGTATAATCCCATCAATGACTCATAACCAATTGTAAATGCTGGCACATGTAGCTCTTCAAAAAAGAATTGAGTAGCAAGCTCCCGATCGTAAAAGGACCAATAAGTTGGTATTAATAAGCATACAGGATATTGCGAAAAAGACTCCACTGACTTACTGAGAATAGTAGAATAGAGGTGCTTCCAGAATGCTCTCAATGCGTCCCAATCAACGACATATCCTTTTTGTATGGGTTGAATCTCATTTGGAAGAGGTTCCCAATCTTCAACGTTACAGTCAGATTGAAAAGAGGCACTAAATTCTTCCTTCTGAGTATCTGCTTCTGCCGCATCGTTAGCAGTCGACGAGTCTTGATCCTGTAATTCTGCTGGCTTTTCCAGAATTTCGTTTTGCTTTGAATCCTCTTCTTTTGGAGTCTTCTCTTGTTTTAATCCGTTCTCTTTTTTATTGCTGAACATATATTCTCCTTTTTCATTCTTTCCAACTCTGGTCCTCACGCGAATTGTTGGTGGTCCTAATGATTCAGCAAGCCCAAGAACAGCGCGATGATATAAAGAACCTACTTGTATTACAATGATATGGTCATCGCGAAAGGAAGGCATGACTTTATGAGTGCAGATTCCCCCGTAGCTGTGTTTTGGACTACTTCCTAGTGTTAGTAGTAGTACAGTGGAACTTAGGAAAGAAAATTATGTAGTTTGAGTAGCAATAGACGAATTTGTAGGTGAAAATGAATTTGTATCAAATATTACTAATAAAAACAAAAACAAACATGGAAAAATAAATAGGAAATAGGCGTCTTGACAAGCTTTTCGACTTTGCTTCCATAAAACGCTTCAACTTACACAAGTCATGGCATTTATTAACCAAAAATGGAGCACTAATCAAATAAAAGACGATTCAATATTATTATCCCTTTTTTTTCTTTCATATTGGAAAAGTTTCCAGTCACGAAGCCTCGTGATCTCAGTAGGAAAAAGACCAATCTAATTTACAAAGGCAGAAACATGCCAGACACAAACAAGCAGAGACCAGCTTGAATTAAAAGAGAAGAGAATAACTTTAAAATCACACACCCTAGACATCAGGATGAACGAATAATGGCATGTCAGTGCAAACTTGTAACAAGGTAATTTACAAAGCAAAATTGTTCTAAGAGGAATAGTAAAAGAAGTTTGTCAAGCCGCGTCTTCTCTCTTTCTTAGAAACATAATAGCGTTCTCTACTTGCATATAATATATATATATATATACATAGGCAGAAAAGAGAGAAGGAAAACGCAAGAAACAACAACTAATGATAATCAAATAAAACTTTATAGGAGGGTTGCAACGGAGATCGGGTAACTAAGGATTCTAAAGAAAAGAAGTCTGTTCAATTTCTCGATGAAGATGGTTCCGTAGAAGATTCAGCAGCGGAAGCTCGTTCCCAATATACTATAGATCTTCCAACATTATTGACGGACGACTTTACTGTTTTTAAAGAATCCGCTGAAGAGACAACATTCTGTAATCGATGATAAAACTCCAAAACACTGCCTCCAACACCAAAGTATAAATCTTTGCCAGCGATAAGGGAGATATTCCTAGTGTTTTCTAGTAGCATGTAAATAAAAGGTTCCAAGGAAGAAATAGAGTATATGGTTTCAGAAGCCAAGATCAGAGAAAAGTACTGATCACCGTAGGACTGTTGAATGATACTTTGCATTTCCGAGCCCCAAGGCCCCGACAAAAACTCGCAAGTAATGCTGTTACGGGCAAAATCATCGCTGAATTCTTGGAGTAAACTCTCAGACACGTTGATTGTGCCGTGTTCTTGAGATGAATCATGCTCCTGTGTATTGAAGTACCAATTTAACAACAAGTTTGGCAATGTTATATAACGCAAGACATCAATGTTGTAGTCTTGGAAAATTAAAGTGCTCGGTTCACGTCGTTGGTAAAGCTCTTGAAAACAAGTCAAGATTGGCAAGGCACTTCCACAACCAAGTTCCAAAACCCTAGTCAAGTTTCGACCCAAGATATTGAGCTTTTTTATTTCATGGCATAAATCAATACTGCACTCCCATGTCTTGAAACCTCCTTCATACACCTTGGGCACCAAGTCGTTTGCACTGTCCAGCAATTTCAGTTCTATAGGCGTCGATTCCAGCGAGTCATTCTCCATTAATTGCATTTTCACGTCCCATAATTCTCTTTGAACTAGCTTATAAGGTAGCCCATGGACACACGCATACGACAGCTTGGATGGAATATATTTCAGCATACGACCAAGTGAAACAGATTCAATAGGGACAGGTGCAGGATCTTTGTTTTGTTCTCCCTGCAGTTCCTGTGGCTTTGGTTCATCATAAAAGCCAAATGTGAACCCTTCTGCCTGCATTTTCACTGTTTTCTCATAAATTCCTTGGATTCCCCAGTCCTTGGAACACGCCAAAGACATTGGTAAGGATTGCTTGAGCGAATTGCGCAGCGCGTTTCGTCTCAGTAACAAACAAAATGAAAAAAGAAATTTAAACTTGAAAGGACAAGAAGACGGCTAGTCTAAAAAGGGACTGGCTGTTCCAATGATCTTTTGTCTCTTGCAGATGGATGGAAGCGAGCAATTGTTCTCTTTGAAAGGGGGTTTTCAACGAAGAGTAAAATTTGTATTTTGAAAGGAAGAACACTAGATTCCTTAGGATAAAGTAAGAGTACACTACCTTGAATCTATTTCTTTTGATAAACCGCATTTTTGAATGTCCTGCTTAAAAACGTTCCACTTGTTGGCTTTGCATGCAAATATGTAGAAAAACCATTTATGTAGACACATTCTAAAAAGCATAGCCTTTCGTGTATCCCTTTATGGAACAGAAAACAAGAAAAACACGATGAAAAGTGAACAAGTCCGAAACTACTCTGCATTCACGTTCTTTTTCTTTTCAGCTTGAAGGACAACATTTGAGTCGTCGGAGAAGGGGACCTGAATTGTCTTCCTAGATTGATCCACGTTCCAAAAAACAATCCTTAAGATAACTGAAGAAGCCAAATCATAGACTTCATGTAAGGATGGTCATGTCCCAGTTTTTATAGAGCCAATGCTCAGAACTCCTTAACGGAAATCATATCTCAATTTGTAAAGAGAGAATTCTTATTTTTCTTTCTAATACAAAGACCAAAATAGATCCCAATAGGTGACCATGTCTAGGATCCTGCAACCTGTTTCGCTTCTTTTCCCTGCCTAGTAGCTCTTAAGAAAATATGTCTAAATACAACATTCAGGAATTTGAATCCAATTTTGACACTGCTTTTGTTGATTTCTTTAATCAAAAAGGATATAAGCAGTCTTACTTTGTTGATAATATTCGATTTCTCTTTGGTTTCGGCTGTGTCATTCCCGCTGCGATTGCATTTGGCTTGGAGCAACTCCATGATTTCTCAAAGTTAAAGGAGCATCTTTTGAGTCTTTTACTAGTCTACTTTGCCTTTTCCGGGCTTTTAACTTGGTGGATATCCTTTGTGAAGGGAAACCGAATTTATACGGGTACAAGTCCTGACCAAAAAATATCAATCGACGCAGAGACTACCCTTCCCTTGAAACCAAATCCTCATTTAGATTTGACAATAAGGGTAAAAAGAAACAAAAAAACTGTTCCAATAGCTCATAAGCTTTCTATATCAGTTGCCGACATATTTGACGAAGAAGGACAAATATCCCAAGACGCTTTTTCAAAACAAATTTCGAGCTTCTACAAATCTTATATTGAAAACGAGTAATATATTCGTACCGGAGAGCTTTTTTTATTTGAAATAAAATTTGAGCCGCTAGCTCTACTTTCGTGCTTGCTTTAATAGCTAGCTTCCCCTGAGTTTCATTTCTTTTACTCTACTTGTATTCTTTGCAAATTCATTCTCTCTTTAACACTTGCGAGATTTCTTCTATTACATATCCAGAAATTTGCATTCATTATTTCTACCTTTTTCTACCTTTATCGTTTTTTAACACAGCTTTGATCATGTTGGTTCCAACGGCATTCACTCATGTGCTCTTTTTCTTGTTTCTTTTCTCTTCTTCGTTTCAGCTTAGTACTTGTTACAACAACAAAGGGACTGTCTCGGATGGTCAGTTATTTCAGCAGTGTGTTGCCTCTCTTTCTGAGACAGAAAATAACCAAGACATAAATTCATCTCTTGAGACATTACGAGATCTTTCTCATGACTATTCTCTTGGCCAGGAAGTGTTAAAACCGGGTTTAAGAGATCATCTACTAAACTATATGAATAACTTTACAAGTCCAGAATCAACTCGATCTTTGGCTTCTAGTGTCTTTGCTTCTGCCTTTGGCAATAATCTTGCTGTTCATGAATTGTCCGCCGAAGCTAATCTCATGCCTTTGTTCATACAGTCCTTAAAATATGAGCCATCTTTATCGGTTGTACTAAAAAAGCTATTCTTGCTTAGTAAAGCTGTAGCTTCCGCATGGTCAGCACAAGCCTTTGTCCAGAACTCTGGCATAGATACCATTTCTGACTTATATTCCACTTGGCTTCAAACGTCAAACACCGATGTACCTAAAAGTATTCGTGAGCTACTTCTTGGTAGAATTGCTATTCTCTTGGAATCATTACATCCTTACCTTTCGAAGTATTCAAAAGTTACTGAGAGCTTGGTTCCGAATTGGTGCTCTGTACTACAATCACAAGTTCAGTCAAACTGGTCATCCTACTCTCCATCAACTTTGGAGCTTCTACTACGTACAATTGTGTCTATGCAAGCTGAATGGGAAGCATGCCCTAGTACAGTGTTTTACGAATGGCTTAATGATGATCCAATTGTAAAACATCATTTGATTCGACAAGATTCGGGCTTTAGGGAAGATTTCCTTGATATTATAAACGAAGCTTTATCCCTTCCTTGGCCAAAAAAGTATTTTATTTAAAGGATATTTTCAAATATAGATATATAAAAATATGTTTCCTATGTATACCATTTATGTCTGGTTCGACTTGCTTCCGTTCTCACAACACTAGTATAGTAGTTAGTAACTTCAAGTACATTCATATATAACAGGAAAACTTACCGTTTAATGTCATCAAGGCATGGTACCAATTCACGAATTACTTTCGCTTTGAATGGTTGTATATGAATAGGAGAAACCAGTTCTGGTAGCAAACCTAAACATTTCAAAGCAAGTAATCGAACGGCGGCTGGATTGTTGAGGTCTTTAGGGATAGCTAGCAAAGGTGGGATTAAAGAGTTCATATAGTCAGAAATTAAGGAAGGTATTTCCTTAATGGCAGTCATAATAACATTAAGGGCAGAATACTGTACGCCACTATCTGCAAGTACTAAACATTGTAGGAGTAGAGGTAATACAGTAGGCATATCAGGAATAACAATATCTTTAGGTACATTACCTATGACAATCGATAACACCATTAAATAGAAAGGCTTTTCCTTGGATGTAACTTTAGGTATGGCTTCTAAGAGTTTAGGCATCAGTTCCGCGTAAAATTTTTGCTTATAAAGAATTCTCTCAACGTAATAATTTGTTTTGTTCAAGATTGGATCATCTTTGATGATAACAGCAAACGCATTTACAACTGATGCAGCATCTTCCAAATGCAAGCATTCCAGTAAGTAATTGACTATATTACTAGCAGATTGAAGCTTTCTAGAAACCAAAGCCTTCGCAAGCCAGGATAGAATTTGCAACGCTGCGTGAGATTGCCCTTTGTCTTTGGATTGTGCTTTTCCGTACAGAGATGTAATAGCCGGTGTTTGCAGATAGGTATTGATATCTTCATCCTTACTGCATTTGTTCAAAAGTGAAGATAATAAGCGCAAAGCCGATAACATGACAGCTGGAATAGTGGCTTGTTCTACCATCTCAATACACGAATTCAGTAACGTTTCATGCAAGTCTTTAACGACAGGAACTGATCTTTGAAGACCATTCATACCTCCCTGAAGGAGCAATACTAATCCTGCATACTTCTGATCAGACATGGGCTTTGCAAGGCAGAACGTAGCTGAAAGCTGTCTCACTTGCACATCGTCTTGTATTAGACTAGATTCCTCACTAGTAAAATAAAGTTTATAAAGTTCCTCGGAGAAGCTTATCTGATTTTTCAAGGGACAAACCCGTACAATTTCGTTGATAATTTGTGAAACACTAGTCAGATCTTTGATGCTGAAAACTGAAATAGGAGCATACTTAAAACTAGTAGTATACAACCAAGGTACCAAATGATCTAAGTAAGAAGGGACGTCTTCTCTCTTTTCAATATTTCGATTTCGAAAAGCTAGACAAAGAGTTTGAAGTACGATGCTGGCATATTGAGAGTCATGTTTAGCCACGTTAAGTTGGTCTTTCAAGGCTTCAACCAATCTAATAACTAAAGTTTTGAATAAACTCTTTTCTTCAGATAGGGTTATCAATATGTGAAGCGACTGTTTGAATGTAGCATCTTCGGCGGAGCTGATTTTAGATGATATCTCAGGAAATAAAGAAAAAGCATGAGGAAAAACCACCAACAAAATAATGTCAGGCTTATATAAACCAATGTCTTTCAGTTTATCAGTAGCGCTTTTTCTTAAAGGATCATCTAAGTCAAAGGCCAACTCAACCAAAAATTGAACAATCATCGTGAGTTCGTTCATGTCCAAATATCCCTTTACGGTAGAAAGAGTATACAACACATCGACTGCGGAAGTTCGCAAACTTACTTCATCCTTTGCAACACCCATTAAAGATCCGGACATGAAACTCAACCACTTGTTTTTATGTGGTAACAAAGAATTGGGGCAGTCTACAGAATTTTGACTTCTCCATTTCCCGTACAACAAAGCGTCACATTTAAACACATAATTCAGAAAAACTAACATTCCGTGTCTCTTTTCGAGAGATTCGGACTCTATAGGCAATTCTAAGATGTACGGTAAATATTTCTCACAACAGTAATTGAAACTCTCCAAGGAAACAGAAGCAATTGCAGCGAAAACAGCACCAATAGAAGAGGCAACTTTTACAGTGTAATCTTTAGAAAAATATTCAAAGGACTGAGTTAAAAGAACACCAACAAAGTTGGTGAAGTTTGAGGATAACCCGTTTTCCTTATACAAATTTTTCGTCAGAAGATTCAACGCACTCAACGCGGTATTCTGCAATGTTGTATCAGTGGATTCCAAGATCTCTTGCTTTATGGATTCCCAATACTCAGTGCAGCTCCATAAATAAGAAGTTGGATGCCAATTCTGGCAGACCTGAACAAAAATGTTAAGCGCATCAATTTTAACGCGTACAGCAGAAGCTTTTAGTTTCTTGAATAACTCAGGAAGAAGTAACTTTGAAAAAGCATCGGTTGCAACTAAGGTGTTCCTAAAAAATGTCAGCTTCTATATAAAAAACAGGTTTCCGTACTTCAACTGTTCTTTCAAATCATCGGTGGTTATTGTTAAACCTTGTGCGTCAGGAGGAGCTCGGAATGTAATGGGGAAGTAGCAATAAGTAATGTCAAAGAATTGCTAATTGATATTAGTAAACATCATCATATCAGTAGAAAAAATGCAATTTACCTTCTCAAAGCCACCTATAGGGAATCGTTTCAATATTTTTTGCAGCATAGAGAAAACTAAAAATAGATTTCTTGGATCCTTTTCCCCTGCAAAAGTTGTACATATGCCTGCAAAGAAAGCATCTTTAGTATTTGGTGAAATATCTGAATTGGTTAAATAACAAACTTTGAAAATAATTTTTCACTTACCAAAAAGGTATTCGTCGATAATTGTATCAAAGATTTTCAAGATACTATATCGAGTTTTTTGCGAATATTTAGGCATATCAGTTGCATCAAAATAACTAAAAGCGTTAGTTAATTTTATTGATAATCTCAATCCATACCAGTAGCAAACATCCACAGCTTTGGGGGATGGAAAGTTGTCCATGTGAAGTAAAGCAACAATTCCTAGTGAATTTTCCATTAAGGTAACTTCATCGTCCAAACGATTAAGATAAAATTGAAGCAATACAGATACTAGAGGGTTAAGTTAACATAACTCTCCTTCACTATCATTACTTACCATGCTTTACAGGCAATCGGTCTTTTGGCAATCCTTCCAAGACCTGAGAAAGTAAAAGCAAAGCTAAACAAGGTTAGTATAAATTCAAGCTTAACTGAATTTGGCTAAACTTACCTTTTCCTCGCATCGAAACATTCGTATTAGTCAAATAGTCACCAATTGAAGTAACGACATCAACAATTCCAATTTTTTCATCAATAATATCTATAAATTAAGGAATTAGTAACAGTCGTTTTCTAACTTTATATTCGCAATACCTTTTATGATATGGTTTACAATGTCCTTTGCTTCACTCTCATTTTTATCCACTGTAAACAGGTATGAAGCAACTAAGCTACTATTCATTATGATAATTTTTAAGAAATCTTAGCTAGAATCCAAATCCAGATTCCAAATGTGTAGGCAAAATGCTAGACCTATAAATATTTTTCACTTCGTAATTCCAAAGTCCACAAAACCTAGTGATTAAGCTTTTCTTTTTTAAACAAAATATATTTATGAAAGAAAATTGCGAAAGCAACTTTGTAAATGAAATGAACCAAAATTGGCCTACAAAGTTGTTGGTAAGAATGTATGAGGAATTTGGATGAATCCATAGATTGAGCAAACGAGCTAAATAACCTTTTTATCTAAGCGAGCACAGCTCATATATGAATGATCTCTAAACTAAAAAAGTTGCTTTTTATCATTCTTTTGCTTTTTGCTTTTTTATTTTTTATTTTTTAAATGAATGAAGAAAAAATGATCCATTTATTTAAACTTTCATATTCCATCCTTGACTCCCGTTAAGTTGGTTAGAGCTGCATAGCGCATCGCTATTTGGAAAACTAGGTGAATTTGGACTGAAAGAGTTAAACCAGCACAAATAAAGGAGGATGCAAAGATTGGCAGTATTGTTACATTTCTGAACCATAAAAGCGATATTTAATTAAATAAGATATCAAGGTCTCTCTCTTAAATTGGTATGGAACAGCCAGAGGCAGATGAGCATATAGCGCGTCTTAATCAAGCTCGCGACATTGTCAAGGAGGATGAAAGCCTTTTTCCCGAAATTGTAAAAAACATTCTTTCTGTTGCAAACTATTCTGATTACAGGTATAAAAAATGGATGTCGAGTTTTTTATGGTTTGGGTTTTCTAGTAAAAAGGTCGACTTTGATCAAAAAGTTGAATTGGCTGTCGCTTGCTTGGAGACAATAAATACTCTTCTTTCTTTTGATAATAAAGATGTGAAAAAGGACATAATCTTATGCTCTTGTACACTGTATCCACTCGTTTTCTTTCACTGTTGCATATTCCCGGACGACACTCATTCTTGGGAAGCAATATCAAAAGTAAAGCAGGAAATATTTTCCCTATTCGATTCTTCTACCAATCATCTAAAAATTGCATGTGTTAAATTTATCTCTTCCGTCATTCTAGCTCAGTCATCCGGCATTCGAGATCCTCGTTTAGTTACAAAGTCTGATGTATCACTTTCCAAGGTCCCTACAAATCACCCATTTTTGAATCCTACTTCTTTGAAGCAGGAATCTTTCGACCTTCTTCAAAAACTGTTTACCGTGTTTTCGTCTAAGGCACCAAGCCCTCTTTTTATTACGAGTGTGCTCAACGTGCTTCCAGTAATCTCAAAAAGAAGAAAGGAGCTCGGTCCTTTCATTGTTGAAAGCCTGTTGGAGTTTCATTTACCTAGTCCCAAAGAAACTAGTGAAGAGCCCGGTACATTGGACAAGCTTGCCCGTCGTTGTATTGAAAAAAACTTGAGAATAACTTTACTTCATTTAGTTAAAAATGCTGGAATCTCTTCTTCGCTTATAGAAAAAATACATGCATATCTTTCTGGTCAAATCTATCAAAGTAAAACAGAAGAGCATGCAAAGAAGCGACAAGCTCCGGTACCAGATTTCATATCTTCAAAACGTGCTAAGTCTACTGCAGTGCAGAGTTTAATGGACAGGATACAGCCTCGTGCTCTTGAAGAAGATAATGCCGCTTTAAACAACCCTTTAGTCAATATCTTTGCTTCACAAGCAGCCACGAATCCATTGGCTAGTTTTGATGTGACGGCAATTCCAGTAGAAGTCGTTACAGAGATCGTACTGGCTTGTCTTCGTCAACTAGATAATGATTACTTTCATCAACAAATTAATATGCTTCGTGAGCGAGTTCGTTCTTTATCTGAGCCTGAGACGTTGGGGTTGGATCAAGAAGTTGACGAAGAAGAAGATGATGACTATGAGCCTCCTGAGGTTGATGTTCAGACAATTAATGCAAGCGTCGAGCGGGAAGCGGCTAGATTTGAAGGTGTCACTCCTTCGGCTGTCAATATAGATACCTTTGAACTACCAACTCCGGAAACCCTCTCACCTATGGCAATTTTAGAGTACTTCCACAGTTCCTTGTCACGTCTTTTTGACTATTCATCTCAGTTTGAAAGAACTATTGTTTCTTCTTCAAATTTGCAAAATCTTACATTAGAGAATGTAGATAATACTGTTTGGGATAAACATCATTGGTCTCTTCTACTTCCCAGGTTGTGTACTCGTGGCTTGAGTAATTATCAACCTGTTAACTCTGACGAACAGCAAGGACAGAGCTCATTTACTTTGTCTTCCTTCGTGCGAGGACAATTATTCACATATATAGCTTCGAACTGGAGAGCTTGCACCAATTTAACACTGAATTGGCTTTCGGAGGAATGGTATAATGACCGTCTTATGATGGAGAATGATACGAATGAAGACAGCTTTGTCAAATGGGAAGGGCCACAATATGAAAGATGGGCTTTACGTGTAATCGATAGCGTACTTCCTTATCTTGAAATGAAAGACAAAGTGTTTATGATTTTTCTGTCAGAATTGCCTGAGCTTACAGATGCTATGATTGAAAAGATAAAGTTTATATGTCTCGACCCTGACAAGTCGAAACTTGGTTTTATGACTTTACAGTAAGTGCTTGTCTGCTTATTCTAGTTATTCTAATCATGCTAATATGTTAGATATCTGATTAAATTTCGATTACCGGCGAGAAACCAATGCTTGGATCTGTTACAAAAAATGTGGTGGGAAAATGGTAAGCAAATTATTCCGATGTTTTCAACTAATAATGATCAGATGATGTTCGCAAATCTGCGCAAACTTTGTTGGAACGATGGCGACCTGGTTTTGTCAAATCAGCATCCGAAGAATTGTCTCAGTCTAATTCGCAACCTGCAGACGGGGAATCGAAAACCTCAGAGGAAGTTGGCGCTTAATAAAAATTAGCAATCGTTCGGATAATGCGTTGGAAGGTTAATGCCGTATATATAAGTTATATCATTTTTGTGGATTGATATCCTTTTAAGTTTTTTTTCTTAGTATCATGCTATTTATGTTGTTGTTGTACATAATACGTCGAGAGCTCTTACAATGAATAGTGTTGAAATAACTTTTTATGCAGCTTTTTAGATTGTAACAGTCGGGGTTTCCATACGTGCTAATTACTCTATTGCGAACCTGCGTCAACGGGTTCCTGAAACCATCAGTTCATATGAGAGCACACACTTCCATACTTTTACACGTTGTAACTAGCTTTAGTTAATAATGAACAGTCTAGCTATAAGTCTTATTTTTTGAATCTTGTACATCTGATATGGTTTCATAAGTTAACGCAGTATGAGCCTGAACGAATCGTTAAACAAGTTAGAATGTGAGGTCTAAGAAAAGCAACTTCAGTTGAAACCAAGAAATCACTGGATTTGTTATTAAGTATAATCAGCTTCTATGAGTCTTCAAAGTGCAGGAAAGGTTGAAATCGAAATTCAGGAAACACAAGATGAAATAGGTAAGGGCGCGTTTGGCACATATGGAATGAACAGAAGAATTAACGCGAAAGAACATGGAAAAGAGAACGTCAAAGAGTTGCAAGATATGGCAAATACATTGGAAAATCTTTCTGATAGTATAGGAAAAAGAGGAATTCCTAGAAACAGACCTTCTGACATGAAGGGAAGTACTACGAGAAAAGCATCATCTGGACAGATGATAGCGGCTATGCAGAATGAAATTGATCACTTAAAGGTACAGACGGATGAAGTGAAATCACAACTGAATGTTCAAAAACGAAGAAAGAAGGAACTGGAGTCCAAGAAGCTGAATTTATTGAACTTGCTAGAATCACTAAAGATGCAAGAAACATCGGTCGCCAGTATGGTGAATCGAAAGCAGCGTACGATGAAAGAAGATCAAAAGATGCACAGAGATTTTGAACTACAGATCTCGAAACTGCACGAGGAGAAAGAAGTTTTGAAAGAGGAGATTCAAACACTTCAAAACCAGATGAAGGCAGCTCAGGGGGAAACCGAAACTTATAAAAGCTTACAGAAAGATTTGGAGGATAATTATGACAAAATCGCTTCAGAGAATTTGAAGAAGGATCCGCTGGTTGGTGAAAAAGTGAATGAGCTAAATGAAACGTTACAAGGAGTGGAAGCAACTGTTTTAAGGCAATTGGAAGAAACCAAGCAAGTAGAAAAGCCATTGAGAGATTCCATGACAAATAGCAGTGGTGAAAAGGAAAAGATAGCACATTCGTTGGAAAAAGCAAAAAATGACGCCCATGTTTATTCAGGCTTTATTGAAAACTATCTTGGCCAGTTATGTTCCAACTTGGACGTTCAGTTGGATCGCATAGAAAGCACCCATAACCAGTTGAGCGAAATGCAACAGAGCCTTGAGATGGACGATGAAGAGTTTGCAAATTTGAACTCAAGTCTTGTAACAGACACGACCGGTATGGATTCTATCTCTGAATCAAACTATGATCAGTCTTTCTCTATCACGGAGTCATAAAAGAAATGTACATGTTTCTGGGAAAGAATTGTGAAAGGTGTGTGCTTAAACGATCTTTTTATGACTCTATACTTTATTTCTACAAAAAATTTCCTTCTTTTTCTCTGTATATTAATTGATTATAATGAATACCCACTAAACGCTTTTGATTATACAATTATTTTACCTGAAATATTGCATCGTAACTCGAAGACAACATCAAAGTTAAATTTATATAAAATTTTCTTGACAATTTCAGCAGCGTATTTTATCCTTTTTGTTTCGTCATTACAAAGAACATAGTTCATTCATAGAATCAACAACCAAGTGCAAATTTTCGAAAAACGTGTTTAGGGTGACTCTGGTCATTCTAGCTGAAGAGCAGAAATATTTGGCCACTAGATAATTTCCTTCTAGATAAAGTGTTCTAGCAACTTGATCTTCTTTAAGCTCACGATCAGGTGCTAGCACCTGCATACACAACTTAGCATCTTGCTCTGAGGGAAAAGGAACTCGTACTTCACTAGACAATGGTTTGTTAGAAGCAAGTTGTTTTCTTAATAGAAAATAGTTTCTTAAATAGCTCTGAAGTCTTACACTTTATGAGGAAGAGAATTCATATTCCAATAGAAGATTTTCAATGTATTTTCGACTAGTCCAAAGAATACTATTTTTCAGTCGTTTTCCAGAAAAGAAAAAATAAAAACAAACAAATGGTAAACCACAAAAGTAATCCAAGTGTCTCTTTTCCAATAATATGATCGTTTTTCGTCCAAGGTCGGCCCTTGGTATACTCGACTAAGTAGATTTTAACGCTGAAAAGCACAGAAAGAAAATGAACAGAATTTAATAAAAACTACCAGACGAATGAAGGAAATTGCACAACCAGCTTAAAATGATAAATCTCTATCCGATTTCAAGAGTCTCTTTTTTCTCTTCTGTCAAAAATGATGAATTTTTCCAATACGAAAACTAGGTAACATTGTACCCGGAGGCATCGTATATATACTACCGTCGCGCCTACCTATACGTTACCAAAGCATAAATTTAGGTGGAGATGAGAAAAGACATCAGTCTCTTTTGGTAAGTTTTGTAACGTTAAATGTAGTACAAAATGATGTTTGAAAAATTCTTATCTACATTGCCTGAACAATATTGCTGAAAATTCTTTTCCTGATTGTACTATTTCATCTTTTTGCTTCCTTGTACAAATACTAACATATACTAGTTTGTAGGTAGAATTTGGTTTGAAATATATTCTTTTGAAAGAAATAAGGCTGAAATCAATAAATAAAAATCGATAAAATGAAAAAACCAGTCGTCGCTATACGTTACACAAACTTTTCGTAAGTGTTTTATGTCGGTTGAAACAAGTGAAAAATGTAGAAACAAGAAATTGTCATTACCAACTCAGAATCCATTCATAGATGATCAATACACAAGAATTGAGAGAAAATTGGAATGCTAAACAAAAGAAATACGGGGTTAAATTAGACCCAAGCAAGACCATCAATCATACCATAGAATATTTACTTTAAATCTACGCGTGTGTTTGTTTACAGTCGCGTAAACAAACAGTTTAAAGAAACTGTAACTACGCGACACGAATTTCCTACCCTTGCTTTCTACTCTTTACTTTCATGCATGCATTTCGTTGCTTTCAAGAATTCCATTACTAAATTTCAACGATTATACTATAAAGCGAAAGAACGCAAGAAACTACACTCACTCATTTTCCACATACAAGACAAAAGATCAGATTTTCAAAGATGCCAGAAAAACGTAACAAGGTCGTGCCCGGCATCGCAATCAGGTATCCTTCCATGCAGTTTTCTCATAGAGAAAACTGGGATGGCTTTTCAGGTTATACACGAAATATCATCATACTTCACTTGAATGTGGAAGGATGGGAAACAAAAAGTTTTTTCCGTCTATTTATGTTCAAATAAACCCTAACCCTGTAGTTAACGCACTCGAAGCAGGTTCCTGTATGTAATAGGGATGTTGTTGCGTTGCGTTTGTAAACAATAGATCACCCAATATTTATGTTACTAAAATAAAGACTGAGGGAACTGTTCAATGTATCCCGAAAATACAAGCATATTGTTTTGAAATTAGCCAAGTTGTATATACGAATATGCTTCCATAAGATACATTGAATAGCTGTCCGTCTGATATAGAGAATTTTACCGTTCACAAAGCATTCCTGTAGAACCCAAGCATCAAACATAAAAAACTGTTACTTGGTTGTTACTACAGGAATGCTTTGTGAACGGTAAAATTATATTTTCTTTTATTTTTATTTAAACTGGTTTATTAGAAACTTCTGAAATCCTCATTTTTATTGACTGTATTTGTAACGACCGAGAAAAAAGATTTGTTTACAACCCCCATTTACTGTACTACCCTGTATCGCTCTATTCATTTAGCGTCAAGTCCCAAGTTGCTAACAACAAACAACGAACAGTGTAAACAAAGCAGTATTCATTCGATTCCCCTTTTTTGCTGCTGAAAGAGGCGAAATTCTTCTTTATATAATATTATTCTTGATAAATGAAAATCTGAATGCCTGATCAATTTGATGAAAACTTCGTTGGTGTGGACGATAACATAAAAAACATGGCCCGAGTGGGAATGGCCCTTGATCGTGAGCTAAACGGGAATACGTATTCATATGATTTAAAAGAAAACAGAAACCCTTCGTATGCACAGAATAAAGACTCCTTCGAACCTTTTTTCAAGGAAACGCCCAAATCGAAAAGTATCAATAAGCATTTCCAAGATTTTACGATGAATGGATCTTTAAGTACACAGCCAAGTGTAGAAAAGCCAAGAGGAAGAAACATGAATTCCTTTGAAGAAAATAGCTTCAACCGGTTAAGAAACAGCAGTAATCTGTTTCACATTGGGTCTCCCGCTTTGTCTGATCCTGGAAGCCTCAATCGAGCAACGGAGGATACGTCGAGCTATCGAAATAAGTTTTTGTCTGCTTTTCAGAGAAAGAGGGATCCAAGCAAAGGCGAAGAAGTCATGTTGGATGAATCTCCGTCTTTACTGAGGAAAGGATTGGACCAGACACCTCTAACAAAGCGTCAAAACAGGAATTTATTATTCGATTCCCCAAGTGAACGTCTCCCAAAGAAACCCGAAACTCCATGGCGGAAACCTGGTTTGCGATTTCAACCTACTCCGCAGCCTTCGAAACAGGCACTAAAGGAAACGCCGTCATCATTAAAGACAGCAGCCAAACTGATGGAGCAGTTGGACCTGGACTCGAACGATGTTCCTTTTGATTCTCAAAACCAAACGTCCTATCGTCTTCCAAACATGACAAACCTTTCTCAACTGGTCCAAGATCCAGCAACTGAAAATACGACTCGTGCCTCCCAAAGCGGTCGCTTGCCAAACCTAGATACTGTACCAATAGCAGAAACAGATGAAAAGCTGTTTTATGCTCACAAAGCTCTAGAACGAAAGCTCGAGGCAATGAAACAAGAACATTCTGACTATGAGGAAGAGATTCTACATCTTCGAGAGCGGATTGATCATCTTACGGATGCGTATAATCGAGAAAAGAAGAGAGCACGAAGCTTAGAAGATCGTATGTCGAGAGAATTAATGATGAAATATGACAATAAAGAATCCGAAAGTGTCGATCCCTCCATAACCTCAAGGTTGCTAGCGACTACGAAAGAGAAGGAAGCGCTTATAGAACAAGTCAAATCGTTACAAGAGCAATACGATCATATACAGCAAGTATATAAGAATGTTTTATTAGACCGCGAAAGCTACATCATGAGGTTAAGCACGAAGGTATCTGAGAACCATGAACTAAATAATGAAAATCAAAAGTTGAAGGAGAGGCTTCTTGTTTTGGAAGGCAAAGAAAATAATACAGATGAACTAAGGGATATAAAAGAAAGAAACCTTCCTGATTGGGAAAACAACCAAATTTTCCGTAGCGAAACTTCTGGAGGAAGAAACTTGAACGAACCAAAGGAGGTGGATAGTGGCTTGAAAAACAAGGAAAGTATACTACCTAGTCACAAGCAACACTCTCCACCCGAAAATCAAAACCTTGTGAAGGAACTGACGAAAGAAATCGAAAAGAGGAAGGCTCTGGAGCTAAAACTGCTTTCATTACAAAATAACGGAAAACAAAAGAACCATCGATCAAAAAGAGTTCATGTATCACCAACTACCAACAAGAAGAAATGGAAGAAGGGTGAGGAATCGGATTTTGCTTTGGATGGCGAGTCCGAATGGAGCGATGAAAGCGATTTCTTGGATACAGAAGACGAAGAAGTAGAAGAAGAAGCAAGACCAAGTATTCGAAGGAAAGAACCTGTTAACCAGAAAAGGAAACACTTGGATGATTATTCTGGATTAGTGGAAGACAGTTATTTAGGAGAAGAAGGTTTAGATTGGAGCCCTATGTTACAACCAGCTTTAAATAACACCAAAGAGAGAGCTCATTCACCTGAGCTACCAAAGCATATCCTTGATCAAGTAGATCATATCATAAACTGCAATGCTGTGCATAAGCCTGAACAGTGTACAGTGTGCCACGGACGCCAGCAAGAGGGTCCGGCAGTTAGTGATCTCTGGGGGAAAAATGAAGAGCCTTTGCATCCGGATGTGACAATGCGACCGAGTCAGCCTCCGCAGAAAGCGTTGAAGGATGTTATGGAGCAACTGACGAAGGAGTTGATGGGTTTGAAGAAGCAATATGAGACCTTCTCGAAGCGCTACAATTCGTTGACTCCAGAATATCACAGACGCAGACGCCAAACCCTAAAGGTCAAGCTGATCAAGATTTTAGAGTTGATGGAAAAGAAGTCAGACCAGATTTACGCTCTACATGATATACATATTGCTGAAACGTTTTGTGAAGAGTAATTATAAGCCGGCTGGTACGGTTGCGACTACTAAAACAATATGGTTTTCCTAATTGTTTTATATGAATTTTTAATCTTAAATAATTTTTTGTAATAATGAAGCTAGAATAGCATCGATATCAACGACTATTATTTCTTAATAAGTAGCGTTTTTTTTTTTTTTTTGTATACTCTATAATTTCATCTTTTAAATCTTGAGACAAAGAAGAAAACAAAGGACTCGGCCAGTGGTTCAACATATTTCGTTTTGGTACTTGCTTTGTTTACGCGTAAACAAAGCAAATTCGGGTAGCATGCACCGCTACTTGTGGTCTTTTGATAGTGTAGTTCGCAACTATATTTCATTGGATGGTTTGTGATGTGGACGGCCATCATCTTCTTCGCAAATATTTTAATGTTACCTAAGAGCCGCCTCCGACCCAATAGAATGACGCATGGAAAAACTTTGAGCTAGCGTTTTCGGAAAATGGTCGAAGCTCTTAGAAAATTTTTGAAGTCATAATATCATGACCTCCCCTGAAGTACGTAATACCACAAGTGGACAAACCGCGCACAACCGCTTGTTTACATGCCTGAATGTGCCCAAAAAGAGGACTTCAACGAGTGATTTACCAAGAAAATTTTCATTAATTATCCTAAATAAAAATCCACTGAATATTTCCTTTTCCCCCCATCAAAATATGTTTCTACGAACATAAACAAGAGTGTACTAAAATCCCTAAAAAAGGTGTTGTCTTATACACAATTCTAGACATGAAGTTTCTATCAAATGATAATGTATATTCAAATTTGCGGGTCAATTTCAGGCACCCGAGGTAACTAGATCGTTGATGCCGGGGCCCTCCGAGAGAACATTTTCCGAAAGCTTTATATATAGGAGTTCCCCGTGCAACCTTTTGCTTCTACCAACCATCAACACAGCTCATCAAAGTAAGTAAAAAAATGCAACGAGCATTGTTAAGTACTTTTACGAAATACAGAAAAGCAATGCTTGGCGACATTCAGGGATGAAAGAACATTATAGGTTACTAACCGAATTTATTTAGATGTACTCCGCTTCCAAGTCTCCTAAGCAATGGATTGCTTCTCTCAACTCTGAGTTGGATGTTCCTGCCGTCGACCGTCGTACTTCTATTATCTGTACCATCGGTCCCAAGTCCAACAATGTTGAGACCATGTGCAAGCTCCGTGATGCTGGTATGAACATCGTTCGTATGAACTTCTCCCACGGTTCTTACGAATACCACCAATCCGTCATCGACAACGCCCGTAAGGCCTCTGCCACCAACCCCCTTTTCCCCTTGGCCATTGCCTTGGACACTAAGGGTCCTGAAATCCGTACTGGTTTCACCATTGACGGCCAAGACTTCCCTGTCAGCACTGGTCACGAAATGATCTTCACCACTGATGATGCTTATGCTGAGAAGTCTGACAACAAGGTTATGTACGTTGACTACAAGAACATCACCAAGGTCATTGAAGTCGGCCGTACCATCTACGTTGATGATGGTATTCTCTCCTTCACTGTCATTGAAAAGATTGATGACAACAACTTGAAGGTCCGCACCAACAACAACGGTAAGATCTCTTCCAAGAAGGGTGTCAACTTGCCCAAGACCGATGTCGATTTGCCTGCTCTTTCCGAGAAGGACAAGTCTGACTTGCGCTTCGGTGTCAAGAACGGTGTTGACATGATCTTTGCCTCTTTCATCCGTCGTGCTCAAGATGTTCACAACATCCGTGAAGTTTTGGGTGAAGAGGGTAAGAACATCAAGATCCTTTGCAAGATTGAGAACCAACAAGGTGTCAACAACTACGACGAGATTCTCGAAGCCACCGATGGTATCATGGTTGCTCGTGGTGATTTGGGTATTGAGATTCCTGCCTCTCAAGTCTTCGTCGCTCAAAAGATGATGATTGCCAAGGCCAACATTGCTGGTAAGCCTATTGCTTGTGCCACTCAAATGCTCGAGTCCATGACCTACAACCCTCGCCCTACTCGTGCCGAAGTTTCTGACGTTGGTAACGCTGTTCTCGACGGTGCTGACTTGGTCATGCTTTCCGGTGAGACCGCCAAGGGTTCTTATCCCGTTGAGGCCGTTACCTATATGGCTGAGACTGCCCGTGCTTCCGAGGCTTCCATTCCCTACGGTAACCTCTACCAAGAAATGTTCTCTCTCGCCCGTAAGCCCGTCAGTTCCCCCACTGAGACTACTGCCGTTGCTGCCATCGGTGCTTCCATCGAGAGCGATGCCAAGGCCATCATCGTCTTGTCTGTCACCGGTACCACCGCTCGTCTCTGCTCCAAGTACCGCCCCTCTATCCCCATCATCATGGTTACTCGTGATGCTCAACGTGCTCGTCAATCTCACCTTAACCGTGGTGTCTACCCCGCCATCTACGAGCAGCCTGCTCTCTCCGACTGGCAACAAGATGTTGACGCTCGTGTTGCCTTCGGCTGTGAGCAAGGTTACAAGATGGGTATCCTCAAGAAGAATGACAACGTTATTGTCCTCCAAGGTGCCGTCGGTGGTAAGGGTCACACCTCTATCTTCCGTCTCACTAAGGCTGAGTAAATGTATCACTAGTCTTTGAACTATTGGAAACGGTAGGAAAGTCGGTAAACCTAAGCTGACATTTATTTTATTCATATTTTTGGATTCTTAATGGTATCGATAGTTTTATATACCTTAAATGATTAACTTTTATTGGTTAAGTCATTGTTTTATATATGGAAAAAATTAGTATTTAACGTTGAAAGGTTTACTGAATTTCGTACTGCTACGTATTCAATGTTGTGTAAAGTGTAGTAATAAAGAAAAGTACTTAGATTATGTTTTTTTNTTTTTTTTTTTTTTTCAAGTTTCAATGTGATCAACCTGTAGAGAGTAGTAAGTAGAAGTTTGTATGCCAACGACTAAGAAAAGGTAACCCTTTCCTCCCTAATAGGGAAAGTTGTGATTAATTTTGTTTGGAATAACGACTTTTTTACTGATATTGTAAGGTGAAGTGAATGAAATCTACTGGAAAGCGCAATTTTTCATGGGAAGAAGTGGCTACAAGACAAAAGAAGAGCTACAAGAAAGCTTCATAGGGAAAAGAAGTGAGCAACTTTACAATAGATGAATAAAATTAACTTTCAAGATAATCGTTTCTTAACCAAGGCAAAAAATCACCAAGACAAAAGCAGTAGTTGAATCCTAGATTTTTTTTCTTCTCCTAAACATGCACGTTGAGAGGAACAAGGAGGCGTAGAAGAAGAGGATTCTTCTGTTTACTTGGCTAAACAAAGATAAAGTTAGAAAAGAGACTGATTGTTTATGAGATCGGTTCAACGTACCATCGGCAGCATTTGCAATGTAGTTGACAGCATCAGAAACAGATGTAATTTCATCAGCATTCTTGTCTGGAATTTGGATGCTGAATTCCTCTTCAATTGCCATTACAACTTCAACAGCATCCAAAGAATCCAATCCCAAATCATTGGAAAAAGAAGCAGTAGGAGTCACCTGGAACAATGGTCAATAACTAAAAAAGTACAAAAAAAGAAAAGCAAAAAAGAGAATTTTGACTCTTCTTCTAAACAAAAACCTCTATCGAGGAAGAACTCAAGCACACAAAACAGGCATTCATAAGAGAAATCTAATCACACATACCTTCTTAGGATCTTGAATTTTGTCAAAAGAAGAAACCACCTTTAGAATTCGTTGCTCAGCGTCAGGACGAGCAACACTGTAAAACCGTAAGGGACGAAAGTTGGTCATAGGACGACCAGCGACGGCCAAAGGTCGAAAAGATGCAGCCAAACGAGAGAACATTGTGCTTAATTTTTGAATTGAAGATATATCACTCGAATAATTTGGCGTTTTGGTGTCGGTAAACGATCTTGGTGGTACAAGAAGGGATCTTTACACGACTGGATTGAATTTAGCAGTTCCGTCAACGACCAGATAACGAACTCGAACGAAAGCTAACGCATTTAAAAGGAAGCTTTCGTCCTCGTTTCTGCAATTCATATCTAAGGGATTGTTTTAGTTCACTTGTTTTCTGTTACGTATACAACAACAAAAAAGGCTATATAAGGCAGCATCTCGGCTTTCCTTTTAACCAGAGTCAACCTCCTCCTTTCTCTTCAGCTTTCATTACCTTCTTACTGAACTCCTTTCAACAAATCAGTCTATTTCAGAACATTTCAATTCACCTTCACAATCAGAAACTTTGGTTGTCTGGTGATTGTTAAACGAATTAGACATTTGTTAAAGGAATTCGTCTATCTTTTTCAGCCAGTTCTGCCCAAACTCGGCTGTAACTTTTGTCATTACCCCATATCATATTGATTCCAATCCTCCGGAACCAATACAAGAAGCATTCATATACCCTTTACTTTCATTATTAGGAAAAACTATTTTTTTGAGAATTTCATTTAGCACCTTTAAAAAACTAACACAATGAACGTCTTGACTCCTATTGCTGATGGTATTCCCAATGGATTCGCTAAAAGAGACCATCCTCTACAACCCAAGGCAATTTCCGTCTCTGATCAACCTATCCAAACTAACAAGTTCTATGGTAACCTTTTTTTGGAAGACCAAAAGTTTCCAAGTTTCCCCCAACCATATTCAGTGACATGGAGGAACAAGGATGATGGCTTCTCTGGTCTAGGCATCAGTCATACAGAAGCCAGCCAGTATGCATATGGACCTGATCCTAGTAAAACTCCGTGTGAGTTCTATATCAATCCCTTAGGATTATTCTCGTTGATTATTTCTGCGAATGAGTTTTCTAACGGAAACAAACTTTCCGCGAGTAATCCTCGTCATTTTTCCGTTCTAGTTACTCTGGAACCTTCCTTTTTATCTGATGGAAACATCACGATTCCTATCGTTACTGGAAGTGCATTCATCAGCGCCATTTACAAGAATTTGACCCCAGTCTTCAATTCGTCCATTATGGTAAAGTCGCTTGATAAGAGTGACTACAGTGGTGGCTCTAAGTACAAGGTCACGTTGGAGGATAACAAGGTTTGGCTCATTTATGCCTTCCCTTCCGACTCTAGCTCTTTTGATCTAAAAACAGACAGTAACCGTAAGTTAGTTGCATCCTCCAAATTTAACGGACTTGTCCAAATTTGCAAGATTCCCAGTTCTAGTGTCGATGACGGCACAGGTGACAAAACTTTTGACAAGTATGCTGGCGTCTATGCAACCGGCATCACTTTAAGTGCTAATGTTTCTGACACAACTGGTGAGTACTGGTTTACTTTTGATAAAGCTGGTGACAAATCTAAGAGTCCACTAATGTATGCTCTCCCTCACCATCAAAGTACTTTTGGCTCTGATACCCAGGGATCAAAGACGGGTATGGCTTTACAGAGCACTGTTAAGGGCACTATGATTGCTTATGGAGCAGATAAATGGCATTTAGTGGAAGAAAATCTCCCCAAGGATGTATGGTTTGTCCCTTACCCTTGGAATGGGGGAAATCAAAACAATTCTCGAGAAGTATTAGATATTATCCGTTCTGCTTGTGGGAAAGACGTGGATTTTGATGTCGTGACTGCAACAGATACAAATAGTATGTATGCGTCTGGTAAAATCCTCGCTAAATATGCTCAAATTGCTTTGGTGGCAGCCAAAGTCTTGCATATAGATGAGTACATGAAGACTAGTATTGAAAAATTGAAGCAAGCCCTCCACAGATTTATTGATAACAAGCAACAGTTCGCTCTTAATTACGATAACACCTACAAAGGTATCATTAGTACCGCAGGTCTTGAGGATCCCCTTGCCGACTACGGTAATACTTATTACAATGACCATCATTTCCATTATGGTTATCATATCTATGCAATGGCTATTGCTGGCTTATTAGATCCAGATTGGGTTGCGGATCCCCAAAACGAGTTTGTTAATGCTTTGATGCGTGATGTAGCAAATCCTGTAGAAGATGATAACAACTTTCCTTTTTTCCGATCCTTTGACTGGTTTAGTGGTCATTCTTGGTCTAAAGGTTTGTTCGCAAGTGGTGATGGTAAAGATGAAGAATCAACATCTGAAGATTACAACTTTTACTACGCTATGAAACTTTGGGGAGCGGTTAGAAAGGATGAAAACATGATTAACCGTGCAAATTTGATGCTGGGAGTAATCAGAACGAGCATGAATGATTATATCTATATAACTCCCGAGAACAATATTCAGCCAGAAAAAATACGTGGCAATTACTGTGCAGGAATCACTTTTATGAACAAGGTTGACTATACCACCTATTTCGGTACTGATGAGTACTTGAAGCAAGGAATCCATATGATCCCAATCACTCCTATCAGTGGTTACGTTCGTACTCCTTCTTATGTAAAGTCAAGCTGGGATGCTAAACTTGCTCCAATTATCAACAGTTTTTCGAACAATTGGACTGGTATCCTTTATTCAAATTTAGCTATTACCGACCCCACCGCTGCATGGAACGAGTTTGTTTCTCCCAATTTTGAGGACTCTAATGTTGACGAAGGTGCTTCAAGAACTTGGTACTTGACATTAGCAGCCTGGATGGGTGCCTTGCCTTAAATGCTATATGTGATAATATGTTTGGCATATATGAAAGAAAGTAATGAAAGAAACGACAGTTATGAACAGGCAGGCTTAGCAATCTCTTTACAGAGAGTGCTTTTACGACAAACCTTTAGAAGTTAGTCTAAAATAAATTTACAGGCTACTTGCTACGGCAAACGTAGTGCTTTTACGAGTGCATTGAGGAAGTAAAATTGATTACAACTTTAATTGCATTCCTCTACATTTTTTTGTGAAATTTAAAATATATATATATATATTAACAACATTATTACCAGGTACTTCAGAGAAAGTTTAGAAGGACATTGCTAGTTGGAATAGGCGAGGTTAGGAAGATACTGCCCTACACATAAACGTAAATCAAAAGTGGTTTTAAAGTGAGAAAAGAGTACCAGAGACTTGTTTAAAAGAAGAGAGAAAAAAAGAAATATTTTACAGCTTTTCAAATATACGAATGAGTAGAAATCTTGCTAATCTTGGTAAGAAGGAGGTCGAATTAACATTCTTTTCCCTCTTTTTAGTTCTGGAGACGTTACTCTGTGTTTAAAAAGCATCAAGGTTCATAGAGCAAGTAAAAAGGGCTTGTTCACAACAGTGTTCTTTGGGAAATTCCTAGCTAGAAATAGCATAGCCCTTCCATACTGTCAAGATGGCTTCAATTGTTTATTGGAAATATCTAATGATGTTCTAATAAGTCTCTCTTCAGATATATAGCGAGTTATGTCGCCTTTAGGAGGGCATCTATCCATTTTGTAGACATGTTATTCATAATGAGTTATCAAAGATCATCATTCAATGTATATGTTATTCATTGAGCGTTCCTATTCAACCTCAAGACCCATTTTACCCTTTTTTCTCTGACATCAAAGAAGCAAAATGTAGAGTGTCAAACATACATATATAGGTATACATAGAAGAACAAAGTTTCCTATGGCGGAGATTACCATTCTCGTAATCCTTTCGTATAAAAAAAGAGAAAAAATTCTGCATCATCATAGAACCAAAAGTCAATTCACATCTGACCTGTCGATTTAATTCTTGATTTTGGCAGACCAGTCAAGCCAAGATCCAGTATAATTTCCAACACTAAAACATGTTAATAATAACTCTAAAAATGGAAAACCAATTTGCACATACTGATCATAACCTAGACCGGACAATATCTTAGAAGCAGTCGTACTACGTGCACCAGATCGGCAGTAAACAACCACACTGTCCTTAATGGAAGGTTTATGAAAGCCATAAGTGTCCATAAACTCCTTCTCTCCAAGCTTTAACGCATCTTCTAATTTACTAACAGGAAGGTTGACTGCCGTGTTGATGGATCCTGCTTCATACTCACTTGGCTCACGAACATCTGTGATACAACATGTCAATACAAGAGTCTTAGAAGAAATACTATTTTGTGTTTTCTTACCAATTAAAATGGGACCTTTGCTTTCAGCCTTGGCTCGTTTACTCAAGTCCCTAACCTACCAATGTATTAGCAAACCCCACTCCAATGCAAATTCATGTCCATTTTTTTTTTTTTTATCGTAAAGAGCAAACAATTCTCAATTAAATCACGAATTGACCCTTGAAGACAGCAAATAATTATTGTTACACTTACTTTTTCGAAATCATAGATTGCTACTTTACTTCGGAAAGACGCTGTTTGAAAAAAGCGCGAGCTTAATCCAGTAGGCATTCTCTGAATTACTCTCACAAACATACTCAACAACTATACAGTACCTGAGCCAATCCAAGAATGGAAGGGTATTGGTTAAAGGTAGGTGATATGGAAACCTGAAATCATTTTTTGCTTAGGAATATCAAATAACTCATGATGCTTATTTCTTCATAATAATAATGATAATCATGTCATTCAAGATTATATTTCAAAATTGGATTTCCTAAAGCGAAATCTCAATATTCAATTCCTACAAAAGCGTGAACAGGGCCAGATGGTCTTCTTATTTCTATTAACTAGCTTCCGCAAAACCATTAAACCTTTTAACCAGAGATATACCCCATTGACATCTGTTCTTCATCAGGTCATGCTTGGTAACCAATGGCAATTTACTGAATTTTGTCCTGCAAGAATTATGGCTTTCAAAGAAGAATAAAATCTATAATCTCCTTATTTTCTAACTTGCATAAATATGGAATGAACACTCCAATTCATTCTTTAGTGAATACACGTCCTCGTAACCAAAAATACCTTTTATAAACCATTTCCTGGAATATTGCAAAGTCCCATTAAGGCTTACAATTAATGTGAGAAAAGAATGCTAAAATTTCGTTTCGGCCTTTTCAGAATACTTCTTTTATTAATGCCATACTTGTAGATTTGTTTGAGTAGAATATACCGAACCAAATAAAATCTTTTTCTTTTTCTTTGGTTTTATTTTTTGAATCTTATTGAGACAGTAGACAGAAGATTCTTTAATTCGCATTTTTTGGCTAGTTGAATATGCCCAGGAAAGCCAAATCATATTAACTCAGAGTTCGTCCTTTATACACTGGATTGTATCGTTGATCTTCGAAATTATAGCATTTATCCTTTTATAAAGTCAGTAAGCGAATGACCGATAAGTCTTCAGAAAACGTACTCTGCTTTCAACTGTTCAATTTCTGAATCATGATCTCTGGTTTCCGAAGATAGGGATAACTGTTCGATTTTTATTGTCTAAGCATTTGAAGAATGAGCAATCTGTACTTGACTGGCCATATGTTTCTTACTTTCTGTAGCTTGGATCGCTCCAATCCTTGCAGTTGATCCACATAACCCTGTAATTGAGGGCTACTCAAATTCGCTTGAAGCTTTCTGATATCCAAAGAAACCTCATTTAAACCTTCTGTTACCAGTTGGACGACGATCCCCATCTGCTCTAATCCAATTGTTTTTTCATGGTTCGCCTTCAATGACCTTTTCTAGGTTAAGCCAGAATCTTTGTGCTGTACACTTACTCCTCAAATTCTTTATATAGTTGTGTCCTTGTATCTTGCGCTTTTAAAATCTTCTGCATCGTTTCCTCCATTTTGGAAGTATGGTCAAAAGCAAAAACCTCTACATTCGTAAACATCGACCACTGCAGAATTCGATCGCATTCTTTTTCTTATATTCCTATCAATAACAAGAACATAAAAGGGTTCGAAGTTTTTAATAGTTCAATTCACTGTAAAAATATTCCAAAGAATTAAAACTACATATCCTATGCTCATTGAACATAAAAACCATTGATAAAAAAAAAGGAAATTAAGAATCAATAAAACTACTTCGTATAAATGTTCCTTGCTTCCTATTGTTCCCATTATTTACACTCTTCATTCCTCTTATGCAACCTTCCACATTTGTTCGAAACTTGTGAAAACTCTCAAACGACTGGTTTTTAGGAAATTGATGATCAAATTAGATTAGAACAAAAAGAAAATATGAAACGATGTCGAGAGGAATCTGCGTGTCTTGAGATGAACACAAAGAAAAATAAAAATCAAATGGACTGTACGTAGACCATATTAAATTGTTCTGGATTTGTTCATTTAACATTACAGTAAAAACATTCGTTGGTTTATTTTTTATGCATGATGATCGCAGCAAAGATACTACTGGTTTGATGTTTTCAGAAAAGGTAAACTTTGTAACAAACGGAGATGAAACTTCTTGTGAAGGCCCTTGCGACTTTTGCGAAAAATCAACTCTTCTACACGATTGCGATCGCTGTACTCGACCCGTCTGCAGAAACTGTTCGACGCTTGTGTAAGTCCCATACCAAAGGTCTTTGGATTAAAATGCTGATACGGTATAGTTATATGAAAGAACAGACAAAAGCAAGATGTTTAGACTGCTTTTAATTATGTTATTATAGATCTAATTTACAACATCCGGGAAGCACGAAGTCTTACCCCCAGTCGCTTTTTTCTCGGACCTTGCGATGATTGTAACGGGTTTTTGGAGGTACTTCCATTTGGAGATTCCATTTCGCTCGTTTCTATGTTTCTCGATTGTTCCGTTCCCTCATTGTGAAGAGAACACATGGGTCGTTCAGATACGTTTGGACTAGATAAAGAGCTGGCTTTTGTGAACATTGAAGATTTCTCATTGGAGACGGTCCTTCTTGGTATTTTTCTGTTCCCTATATCTTTTACCGAAATCCCATGCAGTTTATTGTTTGAACCGTCAGTCAGTAACGTCTGCTTTCCTTGTTGATGAAGAAACCTAGTTTTACCTACGTCTGATGTCAACTGAGGGTCTTCCTTCTTTGAAAAGAATTCTCTAATGTCGAAATTTCCCTTCCTTTTGAGAGTATTTTCTTTATTTAATGGTTCATCTGGAACTTCCATGAACTCTTGATCCCTAGCTCTTTTCTGTAGTTCCTTCTCCGCCAGTGAACGAGAACATACAAAAGCGGGCTTTTCGGTAGAACTTTTTTCATCCTGATATGTCTTATTCGGTCGATCACTTATTTCTTGTATGCTAACGTTTTGAACGGTGCCGTACTCCTTTCGATTTAATATTATACTGATTTCAGAAGCTAACTGATTATTAAATATAATATCCCTTTCTGATAAATATTTCCTTGTTTCATAGCTTCTCAGAAAACTACTAATATCCTGCTTTGAGCTGAAATTCTCATTATCGTTGTAGGACCCGACTGAATTTTTGAATGACGATATATACAATAAAGCTTGAGCTCGTGTTACGCCAACATATAGCAATCTTCTCTCTTCATCTACGTCCTCTGAACGTGAATGAGGGATAATATTTTCACAGACACAAGGAAGGAAAACGACTGGCCATTCCAAGCCTTTTGCAGCATGCAAAGTAGATATAGTGACCTTTGAAGATTTTTCTTCTTCTTTGTCGTTGCTCGCTAAAGTGACATGTCCGAGAAACTTTTGAAGAGAAGTTTCTTGTGGTCCTTCCTCTAATAGACCCACCTCTTCCTGTTCAGCAAGAACATCACTTTGCTGAACCAATTCCATCACATTGTCCCATTTTTCATCATATGTCTCTGGATTTTTTTTGCGTAAAAAGTCATAGTATTTAATTTCGCGCAGAACCGAAGATATTAAGTCACTAACTGACTTCTGTTTGTCATGAGATTCTCTGTCGAGCCGTTCTATTAAATCAATAAAATTTTTCACAGATTTTAGAAATGATTTGTCTTGTCTTTGAGATAGGAGGATATTGTTTTCGCTTACTTTGACTAGGATTTGCCAGAGTGGAAGATTTCGCCGTTCACTTTCTTCAAGAAGGCGATCAACTTTTGTCTTCCCAATATTCCTAGTAGGCGTATTTATAATTCGAATTAACGATGTCGGATCTCGATTAGCAATCACTTTCGCGTAAGCTACAACATCACGTACTTCCTCTCTGTCAAAGAACTTGTGAACTCCGACCATCCGATATGATACTCCAAGCTCTGTCAAAGCATGTTCTAAGCTCCTTGTCAAACTTGACGACCGCACTAGAATGGCAAAATCATCATATGTAAATAAACGGGGACAGCATTCCACGATGCGTTTTATTTCACATGCAGTCCAATATGATTCCTTCTGATTCGTCTCGAATTCTCGATATGATGGCATTAAAGACATAAAAAAATCACTCTTAAGTCCTTTTTGCGGTCTTGCCTTGTCTTGGGATATGATGGAGAATGCTAGTTCCAAAATGGAATACGCGGACCGATAGTTCATTTCCAAATTCAGTACTTGTGTTCCTTTAAAATCCTTTGTCATTCTATTTAAATTTTCTATTTCAGCACTTCGAAAACCATAAATAGATTGATCGGGATCACCAACAATAGTAATAGCTGTATCCTTTTGAGCTAAAAGCTTTAATAAATAATATTGAATTCTGCTAGTGTCCTGGAATTCGTCGATCAGAATATGTTTAATGTTCGCAATACATGACGGATATGTTTGAAGCAAAAGAATAAAATGTAACAACAGGTCGTCAAAATCCTGATGTTGTTAGTGAAATGCTACTATCCTCCAAACATACCATTAAATTGTTCTTTCTCAGTGTTGTCTGATATAGCTTATAGAGCTCGGTGGATTGATAACTTTGAAGTTCCGGTGGAGGAGCATCCATTCCTCGTAGTAAAATTAGTTCAGGGCTATTAGCTTTTGCAAGTAAGCCAGAAGATTTCATTTTTGATATTCTGGTTAAGACATTTTCGGGTGTTAATTCTTGTCCTCGAATACCACTAGCTAAGGAATTTTCTGCCTTTTTAAGTGTAGCCAACAGTCGCTTAACTATAGCTTTCCTATTTCAATAAAAATTAATATATTCAATCCTCAAGTCTCAAACTTACGCGTCGCTTCTGTCAGCCACCAACCACTTCGGAGCTAGCCCAATGTGCTTTCCATATACAGACAGGTACTTATACGCAATGGAATGAAACGTACCAGAAATGATTTTGGACGATTTTTCGTTTCCAAGAAGTGTATGGATCCTTTGTTTGATTTCGTTTGCTGCTTTATTGGTAAACGTTGCGACTATAAGATCTCGAGGATTGCAGTTTGCAACTTGTAATAAATAAGCGACTCGGGAAGTCAAAACGCGCGTTTTTCCTGAACCAGGACCTGCTAAAATTTGCGTATATTTATGAGCAGACTCGACGCTGAGTCGTTGTTGAGTGTTTAAAGACTGTAAATAAGACGGTGCGGACGCCATTCAGTATTTTACTAACATTAGAAATCTTACTTAAATAGAATATCTGGAAAAAAGAGTGCTTGACCTGTAATTTGGGACAGAGTAGGAAAGGTTTGGTTGTTTTCAGTACAAACATATATATGTCTAATAATAAATGAAACGCGTCGTGAAAAGTAAACAAAATTCCGTTAAAAACCGACCTGAAAAGAGAATGGGGTACTTCATATCAATAAAAAACGCGTAAATAAATAATTTATAATCCTCTCAGGACGAAATATCATGTCGAAACCATTACCAGATCCATTTTTACGTTTATTGATGAGCTACCTACTCGGATACTACCAATACTAGAAATAATCCCTATGCGGAAGATAAAATGAATTACTAACCTATTTTTCTTTATTTAACGCAGAAAACAATGTTGAGAAAAACGTTCCAGCTTTTCAGCTGACAATGACTGTCACCCACGTAATGTATAAAACCTCACCGAGTTCAAAGTATCTTACCTCACTCTCCTTCAAACATTTGCCTATTTCAAACGAATAAATTACAAAAGAAAAGCTATTAAATTTTGGAATTTTGAAAAAAAAGGACAATGGATAAAATGCGTAATGCTACTCACGCTGGCTCATGGTATATCGATAATCCCACTTCACTTGAGAAGCAACTTGGAGGCTTTACATATGCTTCTGATCCTCCAATTGAAGGAAAACGATTCATAATATCACCGTAAGTGCTTGGGATTGACGAATGGCAATAAGTCGTCACTGGATAATTGGCTGACAGTATGCTTTAGACATGCAGGATACATGTACAGTGGTAGTACAGCGACTCAGGCGTTCCAAAGAATTAATTTTGAAAACAGAAAACGAGTTTTTATCCTGGGACCTTCACACCATGTATTTACTCGAAAGTGTTTAGTGAGTCAAGCCGAAGCTTGCATAACACCCTTTGGAAATTTAACAGTAGATCGAGAAGGTAAGAAAAAATTACTTTAAATGGAAGAGGAAGAATCAATTCAAAGTTTGCTAACTGTCAAAAGTATGTCAGGATATTATTGAGCAAAATGACAACTGTTTCAATGAAATGAGCCTAACGGCCGATGAAGAAGAACATAGCATCGAAATGCAATTTCCGCTACTAGCTTACCACCTTCAAAAACAAGGCTGCCTCGATCGAGTAAAGATTGTTCCCATCATGGTTGGTGCTTTGAGTTCAGAAGCTATTCAAACAGCAGCAAACATCCTTTGCAACTACATTGTAGATGAAAAAAACGTCTTTATTGTTTCTTCTGATTTCTGTCACTGGGGACGTAGGTTTGGTTACACTATGTACTTGAACGAAACGAATGATTTGGAAGATGCGATTATCAGCTTTCGAAGAAGAGGTTCAATTGAAAATCCAAAAATTTATGAATCTATTTCCGCTCTTGACCACATGGGTATGAAAATTATATCAACGAAATCAAGCCGAGAGTTTGGCAAGTATATTCGATTGACCCACAATACGATATGCGGACGTTATCCTATTCAGTTAATTTTAAAGTCCATGGAGCTAGCTCAAGTGTCCAATCAATTTGAGTTTATTGCTTATGCTCAAAGTAATCGTGCTAGAAATGTGTCCGACAGCAGTGTGAGTTATGCTGCTGCAATTGCATAGCTAATACAGCTATGGTCGCTAAGTATTAGGATCGTGTTTTATGAGTCCTACAAATTTTTTATTAATGATTCGTTTTTATGACTATTATTCCAATTATGTTCCTTAATTGCCTACTGCATTTTGTTTTATTTTCATCGAGTTTCGATTTATGGTTAATGTTGCTTGACTTTTGAGATTAGAATTGAGCAGATGTATCATGCTAAATGTGATCATGCGAGCAAATATAATATTTTTCCTACGACGACGAAAGCAGCAGATTATAACCTTAATAAATCCGCAGTCATGGATCTTACTTTATTAGCTTCGCTGTGTTAATATTTATGGAGTAAAATGCAATTGTGCATAAGAAGTATTTTAAAAGGATAAACAAAATGGGTTTCCTAGCTAAAAAAAATAAAAAAAAATTCTTTTATTTTTTTGGAAAACCGTGCTTGCTTCCTATTTACTCTTATATGCTGAAGATTTGCAGTTTTCGGAAACGTAACAGCTTTCAATCAATTCGATTAAGGAATTTGGTGTAATTTCGTTGCGAAAATTTGATTACAAGAGAATGAATTCATCATTAGCAAAACATGCTTGCCTTAGAATTCACTTACGAGTGATATGTCATACGGACGTTACCTTACGAAAGTCGCATATGTAACAAATTGAATTTATTCAGAGCCATTGAGAATTTAAAGTATCTTGATTCTTCTAACATTTATTCTAACAGTCGTCGAATTGAAATCAATTTTCTGGAATAAATCGTTCGCGTACATCGATTGAAGGTCTTAGTTCGTGAAGGAAACACTTGTCACTTTATAGAAATACTTGAAAATATCCATAGGAAAAAAGGTTTGGATTCCTGTGAACGAGTATTCGCTCCTTTCACACCCGTTTTATCGAATTTTGATGATAGTAGTATACGTATTCTGGTTTCTTCCTTAAACTAGTCTCATTATTTTTTTGGATAAAAGTTGAGAAGAGCAGTAAGTTTTGAGAAAAGATTCTACTTAATCGATATTTGTAAGTTTATTTGCTCTCTTTTTTTTTTTCTCTTTACGCAAATCTTTTTGGGAGTTTTGTTTTGCTTCAGGAATCTATTTTGATTTTGTTTTTCGAGGAATAAGTCCTTTTGGGCCTGATTGTTTATTTTACAATGCCTCCTCATTCCAGGTTATCGTATGGTGCGGATAACTATTCTCCAAGAGAAATTGACAACCACGGTTTTGTAGGTAATATGCATACTTCAGCCATGATATCCGTGGATGGGTCTGTGGAAATGATGTGTTGGCCACAATTCGATTCTCCTTCGGTATTTGCTCGTATATTGGATGCTAGAGCTGGACACTTTTCCATTACCCCTGTAGAAGAATCAAGCTGTAAGCAAATGTACGAACCGTCAACAAATGTGCTACATACAAAGTTCTATTCTGAGCGCGGTGTTGTTCGACTGCTTGACTTTTTTCATCGACAATGGGAAGATTATGAGCCACTATATCCTTGGCTTATTAGAAGAGTTTGTTGTATCAGAGGTAGCACTCGCATTAAGATGGAATGCTTTCCAGCATTCAATTATGCAATGGAGAACCATGAAACAAAAATTATGAGAGCCCCTAATTATCTTCAGGCCGAGTTTTATCCTGCTTCTGGATCCCCTCATTATATTTTGGATGCTATCCCAGCAGATGGCGATATTTCAATTCCTTTGGAAATTACTCGACCATCGGAAAGACTCGTTGATGGTGGAGGAATTACTTGTTATTTGGAGTTAGAAGAAGGTCAAGAGATAACGTTTGTATTTCGACAAAATAAGTTAGGTCCTAGTGTTGATTATATAGCAACGAATTTGCTTGATAAACTTGAAGATTCGACTAAAAGGTATTGGAGAGCATGGATTCAGCAGTGTACTTATACTGGCCGCTATCGGGAATTTGTCCAGAGAAACGCCCTCACCTTGAAACTTTTAATTTACGAACCTACAGGAGCAGTTGTTGCCAGTCCTTCGTTTTCATTACCAGAAGACTTAGGTGGTGTGAGGAATTGGGATTACCGATTTACTTGGATTCGTGACTCTGCTTTTACAATCTATGCCTTAGCACAGCTTGGATTCCGAGCGGAGGCTGTCGAATATATGTCATTTATATACCACATATTAAAAAAAAAGAACACGGATGGAGGTATAAATATCGTTTACTCTATCCGGGGAGATACAGAGGGTCTTGAGGAAAAAGAACTAAATCATCTGCGAGGATACTATGATTCTCGGCCTGTTCGTATAGGGAATGGTGCCGTTAATCACCTTCAACTTGATATTTACGGCGAACTAATGGATGCTATATATATTTATGATAAAAAATGTCAACCAATAGCTTATGACTTATGGTTAGAAGTTCGACATATATGTGATTACGTATGTGCCAATTGGAAGCGACCTGACAAAAGTATATGGGAAGTACGAGGGCAAAATAGGAACTTTTTGTATTCAAAAATTATGCTTTGGGTGGCCTTGGATCGGGCACTTCGCATTGCCTTTTTGAGGTCTCTTCCCTGTCCCAAACGAATAGAATGGATGGATATCAGGGATGAAATTTATGAAACAATTATGCAATCAGGATACAATGTAGACAATGGCTATTTTGCTCAGTCTTTTGAAAACATAGATATTCTGGATGCTGGTGTTCTTGTTATGCCTATGGTTTCTTTTATTTCTCCCACAGATCCTCGGTTCCTTAGCACTATGGATAACATCATGAAACCATTGGAAAAAGGTGGATTGATGAGTAATGGGTTAATATTCCGCTATAATAACTTTGCATATGAAGATGGTGTGGGAGGCGATGAAGGTGCTTTTACAATGGTATGTTTTTGGCTGGTGGAAGCACTAGCTATGGCCGGCTGTCGAGGATATCCAAAGCTTATATCCACTGCTGTAAGTATGTTCGAGGATTTGGCTCGTTATTCAAGTCATCTATCTATATATTCAGAAGAATGTTCCCTGTCCAGTGAGTCTTTGGGCAATTGTCCTCAAGCCTTCAGTTCAATTGCTGCGATTGCTGCCGCTCATATTCTGGATAAGGCTCTTTCTGTAATTAACGATGTTTAATGAAAGTCCAGTCTTTTAATTTAAAAGTTATAATGTATTAAGTACTCACCATAGTTTCTCTCTTATTCTGTCATTTTTCCTCAATCTTTTCTTAATGATTTGACTACCTATATCAATCCCTTACCCCTTTTTTTTATAAGGAAAGCAAAGAATAAATTAAGTAAGAAAAGTTGGATTCTTTACTAATTTTTACGTAAACAAATTTTTATCTTCCTTCATTTGGGGGGAGGTATTCGAAGAACCATCTAGTTTGCTCAAAATCATTATATTACTATTCACGACTCAAATACTACCCTAATTACACTCTCTTTTCTTTCTACTTTATCATGTACATTACATATAATTGCAAATTTTTACAGTAAATCAGTGCCTTTTTCTCCTCCACCGTTTGTTTACTAGTGTACTCCTTATCGTTTAATGCACTTCTTTAATTCGCGCTATTCACCATTTGAAAGGTAGGCAAATTTATCAAAGTAAAACATGTCCATTTTACTAGCATTTTGATCATAGTTATATAATTATTTATGGAAAAAAATGAGTATGGACGAGAGCATTTACTCTGCAAATGATGAATTGGTGAAAGAACGCGAAGAGTCAGAGTCTTTGAAGCTTGAAGCAATTGTGAGCTCAAACTTTTTACTACTCCCAAGAGCTAGTGATGCTTTTCACAGTTCTTTGGAAAAGGGCTATCATCCTAGGTAAAATCAGTGTATGGTGTTTTGTTTGTATAAACTAACCAGGCGTCAGAGTTATCTTCAGTGCCCTCAAGAAAAGTCGGGAGTCGATTATAAATGGAAGCCTTTTTGAAAAGTATTCGGCTAAGGAAAATCATTACCTTTCGGGTGGTATTCTCCATCCTCATTACCGTTCTTTGGGAACTGCTACCTTATGTGTCGGCCCTCTTCGATTTGAAAATACTAGTTTTACATTCGTACATTATTCTAATTCAGTTAAAGAACCATTCAATGCTCCAAACATATCTTATGTGAATCCCCAATATAATGGTTTAGATTACAGACCAAACCTGAAAAGACCAGCTCCAATGATGAGCGCAGGAGGAGAGACTATCGATGACAAAGAAAAAGATTACGAAAAAGATTTACTACCACCTCCTCAATATAGACCCCCGTCCCCTAAAAAACCCGAAGACTATGAGAGTACACCTGGAGAACCCGTCGAGCCTCTAATAACAGATGAATCAATACAGCACTTGAGAATACGAGCTCAACAAGATCCCACAATAATGAATATACTGAAGAAAATAGCGAAGGGATTGGGAACTCCTGAACAGTGCATTCTTCTTCATAATGAGCTAATAGGACCTAGTACTTTTCCATCACCACGTCGTGCCAAAAAGCCGCCTCGTAAACGTATAACTTTAACGTTAAATCAACATGACAAAGATGAGTTTGTAAACAGTCTTCTTAGTGATAGGAAGACTGTCCGTCAGCATTTCGATATCATTTTTCAGTTCAATGAAGCACCCGAACAACAATGGATATTACCACGTGGCTCTGTACTTTCGCATGTTTTTAATACTTCCACAAAAAGTCTGAACGCTTTAAAGCTGCTTTTCCACGTATACCAAGCTACTCAGGAACGGTCAGTGACTGATATTAAAACTGAAATACAAATAAAAGATTTCAATCCTATACTTCGAGCAGCAATTGAATCTCTAGTGAGCGGAAGTCATTCAGAACGCCTATTAATGGAAAAACACCGGCGACTCTCAACTCCAGAAGCTAGGTATTATGTACAATACTCTGAGCGAAATTAACCTTTAACGTATATGATTTTAAAATAACACTGTACCATATAAAAAGAATTCAGCGTTTCTATAGTCTAAGATTGACATGTAGCCAACATGGAATAATTACATAGAAAACAAGGCTTTACGGGCTTAAAGGATTATGACCGTCTCTAAGACTTTGGTGGATTTTTGGTAGAGTTTTCCTTATCCTTTTTTTTCTTTTTCTTCTTATCTTGCAAGATTAGGTTCTCAAATACTCTATGAGGATCATCAGGGTCAGCTTCTACCTGACTAAAAATGGTACCAATTTCAAGAAGAGCATTCGCACGCTTCATTCTTAGATCAATAGGTAGGCTCTTTCGTAGAAGATTGTTGCAAGCATCCCGTAATACACCTTGAATGTCGTATCGAGCGCCACACCAGCTGGCCCGCAAAACTTTTCCTGTAATATCCATTTCTAATTGTGCGCGTTCTTCAGGTGTAGTACTTTCATCCATTTTACCCTCCAATTTTTGCATTTGATCAATACTTAATTTAGCATCCATTGCTGCAGAAAGAGTATCCCAAGTGTCACGAGCAATCTTTCCTTTTTCTTTCATCCGACTCCAAAAACCGCCAATTCCAAATTTGCTTGATTTGATTGTGTTTCGTGCTTTTTGAGTATAGACATCACCCATAGCTTGTAAGATTTCGACACCGAATGATTCAATTCGAAGTGTTTCTGCCTCCTTTTCATATTGTTCACGAAGTGCCTGAAGTCCTTCTTCAGTAGAGCTCTTTTCAACCCAACTGTCTAGACGTTTTTGAAGATTTTTCGTAATTTCAGAAATTCGTTTCTTCCTGTCTTCGAGCATTTGCTTTTCCCGTTTAGCAGCAGCTTCTCGTTCTCGAATTTGCGCATTTTTTTTTCGCTCATTAAATTGTTGCTTTATAGTCGGGGTTGCTTCCCCTGAATCAAGAAGAAGCTGTTGCTTATTCATTTGATTCATCTCTTCCTGCATGGCTTCCTCCTCTCGGAACATTTCTCTGACAAAAGAAAGCTCTCCTACCCATTCACGAAAAGGGGCACCACCGAACAGATTGGCAAAGAAATCATACGCGTCAGTAAACCCTTGCTCTGGAACTGCCTTTTCTTTTCCATGCTGATCGTATCGAGATCGAAGCTGTTCGTCTCCTAGCACTTGATATGACTCGCTGATTTTTTGAAACCTCTCGCTTGCACCTTGAGGGTCCTCTGGGTTCTTATCAGGGTGATACTTAACCGCTAGTTTCCTGTACGCCTTTTTAATCTCTAAACTTGAAGCATCCGGAGACACTCCCAATATTTCGTAATATTCTGTGTCGACAGGCATAATTAAACTAACCTTATAGAATCAAAGTTGCAAAAACTCTTGCTGAAACGATCTAGTTTACCAAATCAGTAGTACTTGTTTTGAGGCGTCGCGCGTCTTGAAATTTGAAACAGCTTGAAGGGCTTTGCTTATAAGAATTTTTTTTATTTTACTTTTCTCTTTTTTCCTTTTTCTTTAATCAATGACCGCTTGCAATTGAAAAGCAAGTTTTGACGAGAGATGATCCTGTAAGTCTTTATAAATTACAACGACGAAAAGAAAAAGATTCTTTCTTTAAAAAAAGAGAATAAAAAATACAAAGAAGTAGAATGTTTATTTCAAAGTCAGATCCTACAGTTCGTATATGGTTAAAGGTAAGTATCTTACTAATGAGAAATATGAGTACATAACATAATTGAAGTGAGCCTTCGTCGACTGTGACATTTGAAGTTACATCCGATTAAAAGTAATGGAGCGAAAAAGATGATTACAGTTCTCATATTTGTTATCAATTTACTTGGCACAAACTCTTGATTACTCAGATGAAAGTGAATGATGCTTCATCAGCAAGTTTGTTGCCTAACCGATTTATATGGAAACGATATTCTTTGATCTAATTGTTTTTAAGATAATTCACATCAAAGTGAGCATTCTTTGACACACATAAAGTCCACGACTTGCGTTTCTTCACCTTAACAGCTTCATAAAAGAAGCGATAGGAAGTTACAAATACCCTAAACAAAATCCGTTCATTTATTCATTTCTATCTTGTTTATTTCTACTGATATAGTGTTTATTTACAAAAATACCTCAACGTCACTTTTCTGACTATAAGCTCAAACAATTAGCGAAGCTTAATGCTCGCTTACATCACTTTTAAAATTACAGGTAAATGTATGAGAATTCCAAATGGTAACAAAATTTGCCTTTTGCCTATACTGAGGTCCCATATTGAGTAGTCTTTGTTTTTTTTAGAGTTTAATTATAAAAAAGTCGTTAATATCAGGATAAATGGTTGCACTTTTCAAGAATCTAGGTATAGGAGGCAATGCTGGAAAAGCTGCTGATGACACCAAGAAGCCATTACCAAGAAGAGGTAAATACTCCGTTGCCCCGGGATACTCTCAACTAGATTGGGCCAGAAAAGTAGCCAGTGGTGAAAACTTATCTGTATGTAACAATTATTTCTTGTAATGATTCCTTAGTTGTCCGCAACGTTGGTTTCCTAAGAGTATAGGGGGATGGAAATCTCATACCTCACTCTATTTGGAAAGTTTTGAAGTTCACTATGTATTTTTTTTATTTCAATTTCATTTAGCTCTTTATCGATCTAACATATCTTTAGGGAGTGGATAAACCGACGAGAGTTACTAAAGATGAGCTAAAAAGACATTGTTCGGAGGAGGATTGCTGGATATCAATCAAAGGGAAAGTTTACAATGTAACTCCTTACCTTAATTATCATCCTGCCGGTGTTAAGAAGATTGTAAATAATTCTGGCATAGATGCTACTCAAGTCTTTAGTAAGAAAAATAATTCTACTAGCTTGCATAGACTGACGCTTTTTTTTTAGTGATGAATCACGCTTGGGTAAATGAGGAAGCAATACTAAGAAATTGTTTTATCGGTTACTTGACTTGAAGATATCCAAAAGTCCTTTACTAGTCGTCTATGGAATACTAATATACTTTTTCTCTTTCAGGTTCTATTAATTTCTCAATATGCCCTTATATATTATTTTCTGTGTTTTTTCTTTCTTAGACAATACCAATTCTGCCTGTACCATAATCTGTTTGTCCTTATTACTTAAAGTCCGAATTATAATTTTCTTAACAATTGCCATTTTTCCTAGAAATGGTGAATTATAAATCATTAGTTTCATTAGTTGATGCCTTTCGTCTTCGAAAAGAACCAAGCATTGATTTTAGTGCTCCACGAATTTCTTTAACTAACGACAGTATCAGGGGAATCATAATAGGTGCAAATAAGGGTGCATATATTCCATACTTTGATTCATCAGGAAAATAAACAGTGGTTACCATACTTGAATGAAATAAGGCCTTTTGTGCCTTTTCAAACGCATTCGTACTATGGGAAAGAGTTAGATTTAATTTCCTCTCTGAAAGGGTATTGTATGCAAGATCCAACGACTTCAAAGCCTCCTTCACATATGACTGTATTTCTTTAGGTACAGCCATATTCTCAATGGACTTGATAAGCTTAGCAAGGTTTAGGAGTGTATCAGTCGTTCCAACCAGGCTTTCCGCTATCCTTTGCCTTAGCATTCTCTCCATTACTACTGGGCTTAGACTGAATGACAAAAAATCATCCACACCCAATAGTAAAAGAAGATCTCTTGATATAGTACGAAACTGAGACTTCATGTCAGAATCTTGCAAGTAATTAGAAGCAGAATTATTAGTATTTGTAATGATAATCGAACCCCATTGAGGTAAAAGCATTGAATTCGTTGCAACTTCTTTACCATATTGATCTTCCAACTTTAATGGCTGTATCTCTTTGGGAGGTACATATAACACAAAATGTAAAGTAGGCTCCCTCACATTTGGGTTTACTGAGAGATATTTTTCAAAATTATTAACAACTTTAGGGAAATCAGCAAATGCTGTTCGGTACTCACCTTCTTTAAAGTAAACCGGTGGATCGTCGACAAAGTATTGTACCTGAGACTCTACGCTTAAATTCATTATTTGAGAAAGTTGCTGGATTAAAGGCTGTAAATACTTGGCGATTGCGCTCTCAATTTCCCAACCTCTAAGATCATGGGATCCTTCACCCAAAAATAAACTTAATAGAATACGGTATTGAGGAGAAAATTGAATTGCCCGCTTATTGTAAAACTCAAAAGGAAGGTTTTTTGATGTCAACCGTGAATACTTTGCGGATATATCCATGATTTCTGGACTAAAAACCTCATATAAACGATTAACTAACATAATGGCAATCTCATTTTCAGAAAAATTCTCCTTGTAATTTAAGTGTAGATCTCTTCCTTTCCAATACCAAGAGTTTTCAGAAGATTTTGCTAAACAAATGGCGTAGTCGGCCGCTTCTGATGTTGCAAACTGGATATTATAAAACGAATACTGAGGTTCTTCATTTATGAGCTTGTCAGAAAGATGGGTTAACTTTCCCGTTGGATCACCCGTAATTCTGAATGTTGGGGTAAATCGTAGGTTGGATTCTAGTTGATATCTGGTATTTTCCATCTCATAAAAAGGCAGAGAAGCCCGATAGTACGTAGTTGTTTTCCACCAGATTGGAATTCCCAGTAAAATAATCAACTGTATCTGGTTAGCCCTGGCTGTTTCAGTAATTTTTATATAAAACGAACATAATAGGTAAGCATTATATATCTTCTTAGTTTGGAGTCATCATTACTAAAATCCTTTTTTTCTTTTCCTTTTTCATTCTTTGAAGCTCGACTATATTTATGAGAATCCATGAATCATATTTTATGGTGAAGTAAGTACTTTTGGTGTAAGCAATTAGTGTGTGTATATTCAAAATTCAACAAAGTAAAAACAAATTAAAAACAAATTGGAAAATTGACGGTTATATTATTCTTAGAAGTTATTCTTAGCTAACTCTTTTCTTATAGCTGTTGAACTAAGTTTTATAGGATCACTATTTTCAGGCATTGTAGTACGTGCAAAATTAAGAATATCGATGCAATAAATATCTAGTTCAGGCAATCCTCTTTTTCTTCGTTCCATCTGTACAGCATCCGCACCTTTGACAGTTTCTTCAGAAACGAGCAAACTGTCAATCTCGCGAGTTGTTATAGTAGGGCCGAAAGGATCGTTTATAGTTACAATTTCGGATTGAATATTTTTTTTTATTGAATGAAGGAAATCATAAACGGAATTTTTCCTCACTTCAATACTTTCTAAATACGCTCTCTCTATTTTGTTCAAGAGTAATTCATTTCCTAGAAGAGTAAGCTCGTTTGCACTGTTACAGCAGTATTGGGCATACCAGAAACACCAACATAAACTTTAACTATCCCAATCCATGCAGATAATGTAAGTAGAACTTTATGACCGACATGTAAATGGTCAAACGTCCCTCCAACTGAAATAATCTTGATTAGTATTCGTGACTAACGAAAACCAGCGTACCAGCTGCAATACGATTGCTTATTTTCTTTTCCTCATTTTCAATCTCCACGAAGCTCTGTTCAAGCTCACGACCTTCAAGCACTTCGGCCTCGATATCGAGTACTTCAGTATTTGATTTCGAGATTAAGCCTACAACAGCAGTTAGATTTGACAGAATATGAATTAAAGTACTACCATCATAATTTTTAGTGCAGTAAATGGTATCACATAGATTCGAGATTTCTTGAACAGAATATCCAGACCAATCTTCGAATAAAACGACAGTAGGAACGACATTGAAAATAGAAGGGTCTTTGGTAGTAATTGAGCAGAGATATAGTTCACTTAAAGCTTTCGAAAGCTTGAAAAAAATACGTTCATTCCTTTCTTCTTTTAATTCAGGACTGCATACCCAAATATATAGTCTATTATTGCGATTCTCACTCAGCCGTTCCGCTACCTTTGATACGGTAGACAAATACTTTGTAATAGTTTCCAAATAAGGTACACGAATCGCGATTAACGTATTTTTACCCATTCGGCAGCTTTTCTTTTCGTGTTCAAGAGGAAGTGAATAGTACGATACCAGCATTCAGTACAATGAAGAAGTGTAGATGAAAACATAGCAAACATTCTTACAAAATTTTTTGTGTTCTAAGTCCAATTATGTTTCAATTGCTCAAGCAATTTATATTTCTACCGAATTTGTCACTTTAACATATGGAACTCTTTCTTTCTACTTATAACTTGAATTGGGAGAATCCTACACAATGAGATAAATGATATAAAGCTTTTCTTTAATTAATTGTCATAGCTATTGACGATTAACGTATGACAGTGAACACTCGAAAAACCATTTCAATAATTGGAAATTTATGTGGAATGCTCAGCACCGAATTTTTCAAGGTATTGGACTAAACGTTCAGTTTGTTCGACGGTAATAGCATTATACAAAGAAACACGAATACCGCCAATACTACGATGGCCTTTCAATTGCATCATATGAAGTTTCTCAGCTCCTACGAGGAACTCATTTTCGAGATCTTGATTTATGATTCTGAACGTAACGTTCATACGACTTCGAGCGGAAGAATCAACGAAGTTTTCATAGATAGGGTACTTGTCTAACACGGTGTAAACCATATGAGATTTCTTCGAAGAACACTGCTCCAAGAATGGTAATCCTCCCTTTTTTTCCATATATTGAAGCCCCAAGTTAATAGCGTGAAGAGTAGGGATCGGTAGAGTGTTGTAAAGACTGTTGCTATCGGCCATAAGTTTGTAGTCACCCATAGTAGTAGAAACAGGGATACCGAGCTTGTGAAGATCTGGAACCAAAGCACGTTCCAAAATGAAGTCCCTGACAAAGACCATCGTGATACCGGCAGGGCCTGCGTTCTTTTGAGCACCTGCGAAAATGATATCATGCTTGGAAAAGTCAATTCTACGAGAAATAAAGTTCGAAGAAGCATCACAAACACGAATAGCGCCTTTGGGGATGTTTGGAGGAGGCTCATTAAATTCTACACCGTGGATGGTCTCATTATCACACCAGTAAACCAAAGAGGTTTGACCAGCGGGAGTATAATTGAGATCAGATTCTTTAGGCAAACAACCATACTTTCCAGTCAAATCTCTCGTGTCGCATGCCACATGACAACGAAATCCAAGACGCTGTGCTTCGTTCAATGCTTTTTTGCTCCATGAACCGGTAACGATATAGTTGGCTACCAATTCCTTGGCATTGGGGTTGTAAAGTGCATGATGCGCATATACATTATACAGGACGGCAGCAAACTGTTCAGTACCACCTCCTTGCATAAAAAGAATACGGAAGTTATCAGGAAGTCCATACATTTTACGAAGAGTTTGTTCAGTACGATTCACGATACCAGTTCCTTCCTTACTACGATGGGATATTTCTCCTACACCCATGCCAAGGTTTTGAAAGTTTACAAAATCCTTGGCATATTCTTCCACGACATCCGTAGCCATACCTGCTGGTCCAGCAGCAAAGTTTATAACATCTTGTCTAGTAGGCATTTTGTAGAAAAGAAACGTCCAAAGAATATAAAAATAAAATTTGATCTGTTAGGCGTTGTAATTGCTAAGATGTAGCAACCATGGTGGAGTACCATATAAGATGATAGATGCTGATGTCGTAAACTGATGAAGAATATCGTATAACTATCGTCATTCTTTTTTTTTTTTTTTTTTTTTTTTTTTTTTTTTTTTTTTTATATATATATATATATACTACTACGTACTTACTTACTTTACTTTATTTATTTAGTTACGTTACGTACTACTACGTACGTTACCGTTACCGTTTACCGTTTACCGTTACCG